TTAAATCAGTAATTTAAATAAAAGTCACACTGTAGTTGTATTTTGTGTATTATACAGTAGTTACTTTTTCCTTAAGTTACATGTATTTAATTTATATAAATTTAACTTTATATGAAAATTGCGAGTAGTCTTATAAAATTGCGAGTTCACTTTCTTGGTACCAACTAAGATTTTGTGAGAATCATAGACCCAAATGACGATGAACTGGAACACACTCCAGTCTGTCACCTTTAAAAAATAACTTTGGCTTACTGAAAAATACACCTTTGTTTTGGATGGATTAAATCTAAGTATCCACTTATTTGACCATAGTTCCAAAATATGTACATCATGGTTTAATTCAATTCAATATTTAATACATCGTGTGATGATTGTTGAAGTGAATTGTCATCAGCAAACAATCTGCATATTGAAAGCATATTTTCAGCAACATCATTTACATAAATGAGAAATAATAGTGGCCCTAATACAGACCCCAGGGGTACACCTGCAAAAATATCTAATTTTGATGATAACAGATCCTTATACATTACTTTTTGTGACCTTTGACATAGATAAATAGAAAACCACTGGAAAAGATCACCAGATATTTCATAAGTTTTTAATTTAAAAAGTAGACCTTTGTGCCATACTCTGTGAAAAGCCTTTGAAAGATCACAAAAAAAAACATACAACATGATTTACCTTCATCAATGTTTTGAACAATACTATGATACGTTTTAAGTAATTGGTATACAGTTGAATGACGAAGTAGGAATCCTGCTTGATATCGATAAAATAAATCATTAACATGAATATAATTGTACAAGTGTTTGAATATTATTCTCTCATTAATTTTACTGACACAAGATAATAACGACACAGGTCTATAATTGGAAACCACAGAGGGATCATCCTTTTTAAAAAGATGAATAACATGAGCTAATTTCCAAAAAGATGGAAAAACTTTTTTTCTGACAAAGACCTATTAAATAACATAGTAAATGGTTTAAAAACAGTATAAAGAGTCGATTTTAACATTTTATGCATATGACTAATACAGTCTGCACCAATAGCTTTGTTCACAGGAAGTATTGAAATAATCTCTAATACTTCTTGTTCGTCAAGGATAATATCGCATAGTGTTTCATTACACAGATAATACATGTTTGGCAGTGTTTCATTTGAATCGTCAATAGAAGAAAAATACGAACTCAGAACTTCAGTCTTATCAAAGTCAGAATAAGCCACGCGTCTTAAACCGCTATCATTAAGTATTTGTATTGGTGGTATTTCGTTAGATAATTTCAAATTAAATGTATCTTTCATCAGCTTCCAATATAAAGTATTATTTTTACTTGAATCTTCCAAGTATGTTTTTATATTGTTTTAATAGTTTGATATCGCGTGCTTTTTCGTATTGTTAACTGAATTTCGGACCTCTCTATGTGCGGACCAGTCGGAATCTTCTTTAGTTTTAAGTGCTTTGTTACGAAGACGATTTCTGATTCTTATTGTTTTACGTAACATTGAATCAAATCATGGTTTGTCACGAGGGCGAATGGTAATAGTTTATTCAGGAATGCATTCACGAACACAGCAAAGAAATTCAGACGTAAAATTTTCAGTTGCAATGTCTATAGCTTCAGCTTTGTTGATGATTTTAGTCCAATCACAGTTTTTGATTAGCGAATTTAGTTTTTTAAAGTCTGCATTTTTATAAGCCCACACTTTACCCTTGTACGAACGATTATAATTCATACTCAAAGAAAGAGAGATATAAGTTGCCTTATGGTCACTAATAGAAGCGTCTATTGTTAGAGCGCCCGATTCACAAACTTGAAGAATGTCAACAGACGTGAGAATTGGGTCAAGAAGCGTGTTCGACGTGTTTGAAGTTCTAGTCGGTTCATGGATATTGTTAAGAAGACTCTGCATTGAAATAATTTCAAGAATTGTATGTGTTTGTGGAGCATTAAGAAAGTCTATATTCACGTCACCTACCAGTATTACTTTATCAGAAATTTCGCCTACTTTGTCAATGCACCATGTGAGTCTAGTCCAGAAATTACTATCGGAGCTTGGAGGACGATATATGCAGCATAAAAAGTATTTCAGGTATGGTTATCGATTTCAATATAAATACATTCGACGCCAGTGGGTTCGAATTCCTCACGTCTAAGCGCACGTATGTGATTAGACAAGTAAATCATAACACCGCCCCCAAAACAGTTTCTATCTTTTCGCAATATAGTGTTAAAAAATATATGTCATCATTGCTAACTGTATGGTCCAGATGAGTTTCAATAAAATATAATATATCGAAGTCATGAACAAACGAGTTTAAATAACCTAGTTTGTGTCTAATATTACGGATATTTAGATGTAAGATGTCAAGGACACTTTCCATACTAGGTGCAAGGTAAATTAAAAACTTGAAATGTTATATACTTACTTTCGAATCGGGTGTCCCATATTGAGCCTTTCCCTTTCCTCCTGTCATATGATATTCTCCGAAATCAACATTACTGATACTTCTCTCCAAAATCATAGATATGTTTTGTAAAGTTGTATTGGGAAGAGTCACATTAAGGAGGATTATTCCTTTTTCTCCAATAAATATTTCCGTATCATTAGCATTCTGTGCTCTATACGACATCGTCATATTAAATCTCCTCAGCGCTGTAAACAAAAATTTTGATTCATTTTTCTGATCGTTGAATCAACAAATTTATTCTTATACTAAAATAAATTTTATAACGCCCATATACCGTTCATAAAAGTTTATAATAGATCAAATATACAGGTAGATTACTTTTGTATGTCATCATTTTTGTGATCATGTTGCAATACATATTAGATACTTTTAGAATTACAGGTAACAAAAAAATATAAACAGAGCAAAGATTCAAAAAATGTAAAGCACTACATAATATTAATGTTTCTTCTAAAAGCATCTTGAAATTTCGAGCACTTGCTCACGTATAACGGCTTCCTAGCTAAACGCAGTTACTCCTCTTTCAAACATGGATATATATGGAAATCGTTAACCAATTGCAAATAACTTCGCTAAATGAATAAGCATTATTAAGCCATACACTGTAACTTTTCTACATAGCCAGTTAAGAAGTAAATCGTTTTTGTCATTTTATCATTTTGCACATTTTAAGTATTATATATTTACTAAAGTAGGTTTCACATTAGGGCAAGAATATTTCCGATAAGGATTCTGGATTGTCATTTTATAGTGCATCAAGCTACGAAATTCAAATTACAGTTAGTTTGTATATAGTGTCTCTTTGTTAAATATACAGCAATTCCATAGAGGATAATAATACATAAAGTCCAAAGGCAGAGAGATAGGAAGCTTTTTTTCAATGTGAAAGAATCCTTAGACATGCATTCCTTTTGACTTTTCCCGGGGGAAGACTTTCTTATTTGTACGACACCGGTGATGACGTAAGTTTTTTTTTCGGGGGGGGGGGGGTCTGATTTCGATTATAACACTGTATTTTCTTTTACTCGTACGAGAGCTATTTGAATATAATTCAGGCATTCTGTTTATTCTACATTACCGCTTGCCAACAATAAAGTATTTGAAAAAAAATAATTTAAAAATTGAAAGTACAATTCACTTTAAATTACAATAAATTGATGTATGTAAGTTTCCTCCTTGTTGCATTTATTTTTCAAAAAAAATTACACCACGGAGATATGCACATACTGGGTATTAAATTGATACTAGTCAATGTTGACAAGGACAACGTACGACATAATTTTTTTATTTTTTTCATTTTTCGCTCATTTCGAATTAATATTGATGAAAAGTGTAACACGTATCATAAAAGTATATTCAGTAAATTAGAAGTTAGAAATTAGAAATTTTAAGTTTACCTTCTTTTGATGGTGCAGTAGAATCCCCAATAAGACAGGAACATAAGATTCCCAGAAAAAATAGGATTAGTTTACACATCCTGACAAAACGGAACTTCAAAACAATCAAAAAGGAAATACTCGATAAGGCCTATGTCTTAATCTTCGTCAATTTTCTTTGCTTTGATTTTTTTTACTTTCATGAATGAGTAGTGAGTTGTCTAACTATTGAAGATAGTCCTTGATCATCAAACAATAAGTATTTGTTTCATTTTGTAGCGATATAATTTTAAAATATGTAATATTTATGAGTTAGTTGACCTTTGATTATCAATGAACAAGGTGAGAAAACGTCTAAGAAATTAATTAAGACTAATTAAACTATGAATACATAATTACTTGTCTTCCCTGAAAGAAAATTTGATACTTTAATTTTGTCCTTCACGGCTCATTATGTTTGTCCTTAATTCCTTTTTTCGACTTTTATGTTATTGATTTGTATAAGATAAGTGATTTTCAAATTGATCTACCTGTAATTATCTGTTCTCAAGCCTATACGCCCAAAACAGATTAATATAGTTTTTTTTTTTTTTTGTTTTTTTTTTTTTTTTTTGTTTTTTTGTTTTTTTTTTTTTGTTTGTTTGTTTGTTAGTTGCAGCATCGGTACAACAGCACTAAAATTCAGTATTGCATAGAATTTAAATTTCAATTATATAATAATTTTGAGCAAAGCTTGAGACTTTTAATAGTGTCACTTAACGCTCTCGTCCCGTCTTTACTCTCCTTTGTTCAACAGGAACTACCATCTCGGATGTAAGCTCTTATATGTATCTCAATGACGTAATTAAAAATTAATTAAAACAATGTTTTTTATTTTCTTTTAGTGTATGCTCTAAAAGTCAAAAACATGATATTTTTCTAGGCAAATTGCATGTTGCTCTCGAAAGCAACAAAGACATCCATCTGAAATTCAAATTAAATAACACAGTATATAAATTTCCGTACGTGTTTTATAAGCACTCTTTTGTTACACGTGACACAATCATGTTGATTGTGACTACTACTTAATAATCGGATATTACTCTCACTATATTTTTATGCTAGTAGTATAATCTTTGTATTTATTAAAGTAAATGACATTTCATAGGCGAAGAAAAGTTTTAATTTCTCGCGAACGTTCCACTGGGCACTTATTTCTCTTTTTTTGAGAAGAATTCTGTTAAGGTAAGCCTCTTAAGAACTTATTTTTTTCAACAACAAAAAACTAAAGATATATCAGGATATTTTAAAAGACATGATAATATGAAATGGGTACATGCAGGCCCGTAGCAAATGTTTCAAATGTTTGAATGTTGGGTGGGGGTGGGGGGCCTCCCACAAAAAAATCTGACGAGCAAAATAAGTCCAAAATGGAGGGGGTCTTACTAAAATACATGTTATCTGACAAGCAAAAAATAATAATAATAATAAAAAAACCAAAAAACCTTTTTAATGTCCAAAAATTCGGGGGGGGGGGGGGGGATAACTTCCCATAATCTGACGAGCAAAAGAAAAACACTTAAACTATCCATTTCCTGAAATTTGCCAGTGCTCTACTTTAATTTGCAGCAACAAAAAGTTGAGGGAGGGCAGCATCTAAGTGAAAATTTACTATTAAAATACTGTACTCAAATACCACCCCATCCCCACCCCCGCGTTTCGTCAGCCAGCGTACGCCATTCAAAAATATGAAAGTGGTGTAACGTCACATTAAATTCTCCAACTCATTGCCAGAGTCGAGATTTCTCAATTACAATTTTCCTCGTGTTTATAATCTATGACTTACAATTGCAGATCATATGATCTATTTTTTATGTCCCCGTAATAAAAGATTCGGGGGTATATAGTCTTTGCCCTGTCCGTCAGTCTGTCTGTCTGTTTGTCTGTTAATCTGTTTGTCCGCAAAAACTTTAACATTGCCCATAACTTTTAATTGGTTTGAGCTATGGATGTCATATTTCAAATGTGTATTTCTTGTGAAAAGGCTTTTCTTTGGGTACAACATATTTGACCTCTTGACTTTGACCTTGGAGATTAACCCAAATTTGCAAGAATTTACCCAACTTTAACCTTGATGGTGCAATGTCTTTCATACTTCACATGTGTACTAGTATTCATTGTGATAAGACCTTTCCATGGACATAAATATTTTTTTTAACCTTTTGACCTTGGAGTTTAACCCACTTTAAAAAAAACTTTAACATTAAACATAACTTTTGAACAATAAGTACTAGGGTTTCCATATTTCACAAGTGTATTTCATGTTACAAGGCCTCTCTTTGGATACCAACAATTTTGACCTTGGAGTAAAATTGACCTACTTTTGAAAAACTTTAACCTTGACCATAGCTTTTGAACAGTTGGTGCTAGGGCTTTAATATTTCACATACATATGTATGCACTTCTTATGACAAGGCCTGGGTACCTTTGATTTGACCCTTTGACCTTGGAGTTTGATCCACATTTAAAAAAAACTGTAACCTTCGTCATAACTCATTAATGGATAGTGCTCGGGCTCTCATATTTCACAAGTATATTCATTGAGAACGAGTCCGTTCTTTTCGTAACAACATTTTTCATCTTATTATGTAAAGTCAAATCACATAAATGGATTGGACGTCAGGCATAGCCTATACAAGTCCTCTCCAAGAAGGCTTTCAAACAAGTCAAACAAATGACTTACAAAGAAAAATAATTAAACAAATTGGGGTTTTTTCCGTATATCACAGAGATTTTTTTTTCAAAAAATCTGGGATAAAAAAGACTGTGGTTTACTTTCTCTTTTTCTTAAAGAAAATTAATTTAAAAAAACATTTAAATAAGGTAATATTTTTGTAATAGTATAGAGCTTTTTACTGTATTTTGCATAGGTATCATGATATATACAGTCAGCGAAACTTTCCAATGCCTTGAATTCGAACTTGATTGCTGTGAAAATATCTACTTGAGTAACCCATATGTGCTGAGTGTGGAATCGGTTTCCTTGTTTGACTGCTATGTGAAGGAAAATGTTTGGGGCTTCACTATTATATTTTTCGACAGAAATCGTTCTCACATTAACTATACTGATATTAAGCGTTGTTGTGGAGGTCCTGTAAACTTGGAGTTAGGTAAGTAAAATTTAAACAATAAAATGCTTTCTTTGTTAATCCAGGAATAACAGTTGCAACATTTCATAAAAGATACATAACTCGCAAAAGCGGGTTATGTTTTTTTTTTTTTTTTCTGCAATTTTCACCGCATTAACAAGAAAGGCTAGACGTTTATTATATACATTGTATATTTTATAGATTATTCGTATAAAGTGGGTGTAAGTGCGATTACTGTTCATTATATTCCTATTTCATTTATTTAAAGTCTATATTATTTGACCGTATGATACATTGATGGAAGAGCCACGTTTTTAAGAAATCATACAAACGTGGGGGTTTTTTTTTAATTTAAACCGGTTTTAACTATTTATTTCTTAATGGATTGATAACGGCAATTTGATTTTCGTAAGAAATATAGAGAACAAATATTCAAAGAACGGAAATATCTTACTTAATATTTATATATGCCTTGCCTTGTCATTTCTTAATAACAAAATGAACGTGAATGTAAAATCTTTTATTGGTTACCTTTGTGCGAGTTCTTATCGAAAATAAGACATCATGATATACATATATCATTGAATATGTCCTCTGCAAAAGTTTAGAATATTTCAATTTTAAATTTGTAGATACAAATTTAAATTGTAAAAAAATAAATTTTTGTATAGGACATTATTAGAATGGGAGGATATTGATATGACGTTGTTATTTTTCTTTGAACAGTGGTCTCTGAGCTCTTTGCCAATGATGTTACTGATACAGTGAACACACAAGGAGGTTCAGGTAACACTGAAAACGCCTCCGTTGTCAGCGTGGTCTTCGCTGTTCTTTTTGCTGTCGTGTTGATCATTGTTGCTGGTCTTTTTCTTCGAAGTAGATTGAGAAGACGAAGAATTACAGGACAAGATTCTCGGTACATTTTTTTAACAGATTAATTTATTTTGAAACTTTGTTCTAATCTAATGGGAGAGAAGGTGTGTGGGGGGGGGGGGAGGGGGACGGTCACAATGAATGCATAAGAAGAATATAAAAGCCTTTGCAGCAACCGTTCAAAAGTTATGGCCAAGGTTAAAGTTTTTCAAAATAGGTCAAACTCAATGTTGGTACCCAAAGAAAGGTCTGGACGTATGAAATAGCCAATGTTAAAGTTTGGTAATTTTTTGCAAAAGTAGGTTAAACTCCAAGGTCAAGGTTAAGATGCCAATTATATTGGTACCCAGAGAAAGGTCTTTGCAGAAGAAATAAACTATAACTGAAATATGAAAGCCATAGCACCAACCATTCAAAAGTTATGGGCAAGGTTAAAGTTTTCGCGGACAGACAGACAGCTAGACAGGCGGACGGACAGACCAAAAACTGTTTATCCCCGGGTCTTCGATCAAAGGGGCATTAAAATTAAAATATATAAGCCCTCAAAGAAGAATAATCATTCTATGAATAAAGGTAAAGCAATGCAGATAAAGGCTATTAGGAGCAAGTGGTGTATCCTGAAATCAAACCCTAAAGTGCCACTCCTGTTTAATTTTTGTCTTTATATATGTGGGTTTTATTTATTTATTTATTTAATTTTTATTATTATTATTTGGGTTTTGTTTTTTTTGGGGGGGGGGTGTTTTTTTTTTGTTTTTTTTTTTTTTTTTTTTTTTTTTTTTGGTTTTTGGGGGTTTTTTTGGGGGGGTTGTTTTTTTTGGGTTTTTTTTTTTGTTTTTTTTTTTTTGGTTTTTTTTTTTGTTTTGTTTTTTGTTTTGTTTTGTTTTGTTTTGTTTTTTTTAGCTTTTATTGCGAACAAAGTTTATTTTATAGGTATGTGACTACAGCAAACAGAAATTCACACGTGTATGCTGTGCCAACGGTTAGTACAGGATACTTGTATCCGGAAACTTCAGCTCCTATCATCAAAACACCACCAGAGAAAACTCTATCAAATCAAAATTATGAACACGACTATATGGAAATCGTAGAATAGCTCAGATTTATCAGCATATTCTGAATTTAAATTTTTTGTGATATATACTCATATATTGGATTTTGATCGATATAAACGAAATCTTAGCACCTGGACCTACTGATACTCCAAGATATATTATCCATCGAAAATCGATCATGCTATTATACTGCGTACATGGTTATTTTAGCCCCGTGTTATTTTCGATTTTCACACTTGCAAATAATTTTCCCCCGTTTTAAATTCACCCAATCACAGTTCTGTTTACGAATTTGAATTCTCCCCATTTAAAATTCTCCAACCTGTGAGTAGGGCAAAAGGGGCGAAAATATTTCCCTGTATACAGTGTACATTTGATGTTTTATAAGCTTGTTACCGTTTCATGTACTTATTGGCGATGACAATAAGGAATGAAAGTTTTTCAAGAATAAATATCTGACATTCTAAATGTTATAATAGTAGTGCATTTTATAATAGAATTGGTATAAGACATGGCAGTGTCTCTAATTACTAGTATAACAAGAACTCTTTGAAGGGGGAGGGTCACACGCTTTTTACATTAACTTTTAGCTGGTTTTTATTTAATAAAATGGCACCTTTATTCTGTAAAATAACTATTTACTAGCACTATATATTGTAATAACAAATCATTTGAACTTATGAAAAATAGTTTAACGTTTTTTATTACATTTTCAACAGTGAAATACTGTGATTTATTTATTGAATAAAAGTGATATTCTCTCACAGTGTGAAAGGATACCAAAGTGATATTCTCTCACAGTGTGAAAGGGATATCAAAGTAAGAAAAAATAATTAATTTCTGGCCTGTCATAAGATAGAGATAGTAATTAAAACTTCTTCATAGAGACTAAAACTGCCAATTTCTTCACAAATATGTTGCTAAAATCCATGTTAATATGTTTTCAATCACACAAATCCTAAGCTATGACGTCTCAACGGTGACGTCACAGCCTATGACACTTTGTTAAGGAAAGACAGAGGCAAAGGGAAAATTAAAGAAAATGTAATAAACAGAAAATTCAATGTTTTGTAGTTGGATATGGAATTTATTTCACTCGTGAGACAGGAAAATATTTTCACTCGTGATCTGCACTCGTGAAAATATTGGAAAAAAAATCCTGTCCCACTCGTGAAATAAATTCATATCCAACTACAAAACATTAAATATTTTCTATTTATTCAACATATAACAACGACATTAAAGTGTGTTTAGACAGCTCAATGAAATTACCGGTTTGTTCGCGTTATACAGGAAGTGACTTCGTCATGTTCAGTTTCGTTTCATAATGTTTTCTGTGTTTATTTAGAATATTCAAATAGAAAACATTTTATGATAAATAAATAATACTTTTCATGGGTGTGTTTTGTTTTTAACATTTATTTCCTGACTTTTTGTGCAATATGAAATTAAATGTCACGGCTATACCGAAATTTAAGTTGTAGACTTCGAGGATACTTGAAAAAACAATGGCTAATTTCTTTTCCAGGTGGTTTCTCCGTAAAGAGAATTATTTAAATGCAATTGACTAAAATTGTACCGAAATGGTCATTAACAAAAACTTCACAAATATTAAAACAAATTAAAAAAAAAAAAACTGGTAAATGGTAATCTTGTGCCTTAAACCATCCTTTAATATCAGCGAACTTTTCTATACAGCATTATATGACAAGCGATAGAGGTAACACTTCCTTTAATTTGTTCAGAGTGTGATTAGTCTTACTTATGTCGTGGCAAGAGATACATGTTTTTGGTGCAAAATGAAAATTAAAATTCGAAAGAATCAATTACTTAATTTCGTTAGTCTCTTCCCTTCCTGTTTGGATATTTCACCTCAGTGAGAAAGGTATGTATACCTGTATAAAGCATTGATTGATTATTTTCTCTCATTGATGTATTTTTGCATTTTTCTCTACCTTGTCATGATAAGGTAAGCTTAAACATATCTGAGATTGGTTTAGGTATCTAAATCATATACCCCGGTACATTAAAAATTTGAATGAAGTCAATCAGATTTTCAAAATTCTTTGATTTATGTAACATCTAATTGTAAAAACACATCATATTATCAGAAATCTGCATTCTCAGTAGTATGCTAAATATCCATTTTAATTTAAAATATAATTTTTTTCTTCTTTTTTTTTTTTTATTTAAATTGAGGAATATTCTACATGATCATATACTTTTATAATGTAGATTTCCTAGATCCACCACTCTGCAGATCAAAATTCGAAAAGATAATTACAAATCCTCATTATGTTCAGTGAAAACAACTCACACGAAGAAACTACTTCCGCTGTCTCACAGCCATTCAATGTGGATGATGCAGATGGAAACTTTTTGACGATAGAATGGCAATATGTTATTTTGAGTTTGGGAATTGTAATTGTGATGGAAAATTTGCTCATTCTTGTAGCCGCCCCACGAAGTCGGAAACTAAGAGACAATATTCATTATAACCTCGTGCTTTCTCTGTCCTTCACGGATTTTTTAGTTGGTTTGAATATGGTCCTCTATGGAATTGTGATCATACAAACCCATAGAACCGACGTATTGAATATAGCTTGTGTTGTAAACTTATCCATGTGGTGGGCAACAACACAGATCTCATTGTTACAAACATTTTACATCAGTCTTAACCGTTATCTCTTCATCTCAGAGAGGAAATTGAACCACGTTTTATGGAATGGAGAGAAATATCTTGTGTACACCATATCCTGGATGTTAATTCTTATCTTGGACTTTTCTCTGATTTCCCTTTGCGGAAATATATGCATTTAATTTGAAACATGTATATGGTGATAATCTGTCGATTTTCCAACGAGTTTACTATTCTGTTAATTCGCTACTTTTGTGTATAACAATTCTATTTTATGTGCTTACATTGTGGAATATACATTAAAGATACAAGAAGACGGACCAGATGCCCACCTTTTCCAATACCACGGATTCTAGACAAACGCGAATAAAACATATCAAGCAAACGCGAATTAGAAAATCTATGAAGCTGGTCAGTGTAGTCACGGTAGCACTCCTGGTTTTATCAAGCCCTATGGCACTGTGGGGCATAGGATTTTCTTTTTCGCGAGTGACTGTTTTTGTTCTTGCTGGTGGCGTAACATTGAATTCAATTTTAAACCCTATTATTTATTGTTTTCATATAGAGGATCTAAAAACTAAGATAAAATCAATGTTTAGGATCCAAAGAAATTAGCTTAAATCTGATAAGTTTTAAAAAGTTTCCTATGAAACTAGATTAGATTTTATAAGGCTAATTTCAACAAGTTCAAGAAAATATGTGTATGTGAGTGTTTAATGTAATTTAAATTGTTTTTGCAGAATTAAAAATATTACTAGCCATATTAAACAGGTTACATTATACATAAGGCCATTCCAAGTTTTTTCGATGTTTAGCGTCCGCGTGCGCCTTGGTTTTTGACACCCAATATTAGGGAAAAAAACAAACAAAATATGGAGGCCTGAAATTGATTATTCTGGTCAAAATATTTGAATTCTGTCATTTTCTCTAATGACCTAGCTGTCTACAATATGTCATAATAGATATATTTTAAGCGTTTAATGCCTTGATTTTGCTAAAGAATAGATCTTTCTATGAGAAAAATATGTTAATGAAATCAATCCTTTGAATGATGTCATTTTTATGACTATAAAGTCAGCGTTTTATTTTTTTTACTTGTGTTTTGCGAATAGGTAGGTAGGTTTTTGAAAGATCGGTGGACGCTAAACAGAGAAAAAACTGGAGGTTTACATTATTTATATTCATTTTGCATACATGTGAATACCAAGTTCAAATGATTTACAAATATATTTTCCTAGGTTACATAATGGCTATTTTTATGTTATTGTTATGTTATCTAATGATTGAACAAATTTAAGCATGGAGGGTTTTTTCCGTAATACCATTTTCATAAATTTTTGTCCATAATCAGTTTAGAGGGGGCAAATAAGTACAAAGTGATATTTATCTTTAGTTTCTGCATATTTTTTCACATCTTTCATTCCATTGGATATTTCTGTTTATCACATGTTTACCCCTTTATCCCGTGAATATCACTCATTGGCTATTTTTTCATATCCCACTGCTGTGACGTCACAATGGCTTTTGCGTGAAAGTGATGAAGTGAAGTAATGTGAATTCAAATATGAAAGCAGGGTGAAATAAGTTCAGTAATGTATAAAACATGTGATAAAAAGCCAAGGCTCGGGAATAAAAAACAAACAACTCCTTGGATAAAAATCATACCCAACCACAAATCATGGGAGACCCTATATTTCTCTTTAGCTAGGTTATGTGAAGATAATCGTATTTCTGTTATTTTCTTCTTATAAATTTTTGTTACTGCTTTCTCTAGGCATTACAGAAATTACCTACCAGATGTCTATAAAAATAACATTAAACTTCGATATTCATGTAACTTAAAAGTAAATGTATAAAATAATACCTGATTCTTTGTTTTATTACAGGTTTAAAAAAAAAACTCTCTTGAGTTTAAAAAGTTTTTATCATTCAACAGATATCTAATGCCTAACATTCAAGTATTGTCCTTGATAAAATGAAATATGGAGGTAGCGAACAGCAATCAAACTCAAAGTCCATTAGACAATACAAATCGGGAGCAGAGCAAACACGCACCTTCAAAATATCAGAGGTTGGATCAGGCGCCACGAAGGGTTGAGTATCCCCTGTCGCCGGTCACACCCGCCGTGTGCTCCTTGTCATGATCGGAAAAGATGGAAAAATCTGTAAACAATGCAGTGTGTAAATAATGGACTAACAATTAGTATGAAAAACGTCAGTCAGCATTTGACTTAATGATAGGTTATATTTGCTGACAAGGTCATTATATCGACCATTAAAACTTGCGAAATGAAGACTTCAAATGAGATTGTTGATATCCTTGTTTCATCAACTTGTTTGTCAATAGCTTGCCCAGTTTTAGAAATTGTTCATATGTAGAGCATGTTCTTGCGTATCGAATCAACTGAGAGACAAAAAACCCATATGCAGGTAATAAGGGTATATTGCTACATAAGTAAGGGAAGTTGACGATTGAAAATTGCGCAGTACAGTTAAGGTGCGCAATGGAAATATCGACAAATTTTTTGTGATTAAAGATGTATTCATAATCAGGATGGCGATTATTTTTAATACATTATTTATATCTGACAAATGTAATTATGGTTAATAACTACATATTGAGGACGACTAGATTTTATATTTAGACTTGTCACGTGTTGCGGCAGTCACGTGATTTTAGCACATTTACTTATAGTATTGAGGTCACCTATACATTTCACTAGTGCAAGGGCATAACCAAGATAAAATTCTAAGTTAAGTTTATAAATATTTTCAACACGCATTGTAGTTTCTGAAAAGTGCTGCGATCCTATATAGATTCTGCTAATTCATTGTTTAAATCGTATTTGTATTACCGCATGCTGTTTTTTTGCTGATCAACGGCATTAAATATAGATATAATTAAATTAATTTCAAGATTTCATCAGGATCGCAGCACTTTTCAGATACCTTAATACTTCTAGAGTTGATTCGTAAAAGCTTACTATGATCCATTGAGTGCATGCCCTTGCACTAGATCGATTTATTAAGACCCTTACATTACCCTCCGATGTACTCGCATACAAATATACGGCAGTATCAATTAAATAGGAATTGTACGGAAAATATATTAATAAAATAGTAAAGAAGACATTGAATCCAAGTTAATGGCCTATGAAATATCTGTAAATAATATTTTATTTAATTATAGAATACATTTTTCGTTGAGAAAATATTACTTGATCCACCATTCACTGCATACAAACTGCGTCAAGTTTTACGAAATGACGTCACATCGACAAGTGCATTGCGATCAGTGACTTGTTTATATCTTGTTATGTGGAATTAAACTAACGACAAAACAGCATGTTGTAGTAAGTTTTGATGTAGTTTGATGGTTTCCTACAGTTTAAAATAGCAAATCATTTCATTTTGTGGTATTTTTAAGAATTGTTGGTTTTGTATGATGTCATAGTTAATTTTTCCCGTACAAATTAGGCTCCGCCCCCTTTTTTGTAGCCTTAACTGTGCTGCGTGAAGTCATAACGTTAAACATAAAGCTTGGTTGTTAGGTTACCATTAACGTCTTTTTCTAGTCAAATATCCATGCAAATGTGAAACAGATTTGTCAGAATCTTTCATTTCAATCTCACTAGGATATATCGAGTTGACATGTGAATGGAAGTAACTATTGTTAATTGATACGTAGTCGATATATCTAAATGTTGAGTTGAAGGCCACAGCAAGTATTTTCTTGAAGTGAGTTTGATTTACCATACTTTACCAGGCCTAGATTCCAAAACTTTCATAAAAATCCTTACAAACAAAGATATATTGAAAGGTCAAATAAATGTTCGACCAAGCTTCAAACTTATCCTATAACCCCTCACTAAACTATTTACTGCTGTGAAGGAGAAACAGTTCAGACATATTGTGCAACTTCATATTCAAGAAGTGCTGTAAATCAAATGTAGATTTCAAAAAAAAAAAATTCAAACAACTTTTGGAAAATTTAAAATCTCAGAGCTCCTCAAACATCAAAACATAGGATTTTTCTACGCTCTGTACAACCAGTCCACACGATAAATTAAAGAGCGAAGTATACTCTGAAGTTGGTAATAAAAAGATGTTGGCGTTCTCATTGACAGTATCTACATGTATATGGAGACCAGATCTTCCAACAATCTGTTTGAATTTCGATGACCTACCTGTTTTATATTCCTATGAAGCAGAATTTTTTGCAAAAACTTCTATATGAGAATAAAAAAAAAATCTTGCTGTGAAACACAGGACAGGCTGGGTAACGATATGTGTTTAAATAGCAATTAACATCTCCAAAACTGACTAATTTGATGAGATTAAATTAAATGGGTCTTTCGATCTACATTGAACAAGAAAATGTTCTTCATCTTGAATTTGATTAGGCCAACTTTAAAATAATGTTTGCTTGCCCTCTCCCGACTCAGAATGAGAAAATTGAGTCGGTAGGTACATGTAGGTGAGAAATTTTTTTTCGAAGAAAATTTCAAAATCAATGCTGAATTTTCAAAATCTATTTTCTGGAATGCATAAAAAAATAATTGCTTCCTGGAGGTAAAAAAAAGTTTTGAGTCGGGCCATTAATTTTTAGCCAGTCGGTCGGGAGAGGGCAACCAAACAATTTTTTAAAGATGGCCTTAAGCATAAGAGGAGATGGGTGAACATGACGAGCGATAAGCCTATAGTGTGACAAACATGAAGATGAAAAATTAAATTTCAATTATATCAAAATTTTCCTTGATATTTCGTCTAGCATAAAAATATACTTTATGTAAAATCTCTACAATTTGCAAAAATCCAAGATTGAAATTATTTGCCTGTGAAATATTAGACACACTCGAAAGCGGGCTAAAAGAGTCATTTTCTCATACAATAATACTATTTTTTGATATGAGTGGGTCTTCGCTCCACCTTTTTGAAAGTTAATCCTCAAAGTTTGCATAAAAATATACATTTTTTTGGTTACCAAAAATATGGAGCAATGACCCACTATACATTAAAAATATACTTTTATGACATAACATTCGCATCTTTTCGAGAAATACTTGAAGTCCATTAAGTCAAGGGTCATATCACAAACATGATTTAAATGCCACACTTTATCAGGTCTTGTGTAGTCTAGTGGTTAGCGTGCTAGTCTCGAAAGAAAATGATACTCAGGATTTTTATTGCTAGGGTTCGAACCACACGAACACCACATTAATTTTTTTAATAAAAGAATAAATTTTGCCGAGAAAATTTTCCTCAGAAAAGGTTTGTTTATCATAATTTCATAAATTTCAATAATGAGAACTTTACTCTAAATACTAAATTCACAAACTGAACATGATTTTTATATAGGCTTTCTGCACGCTATGTTCGCCCATCTCCAAAGTTTTTACATATTCTTCCTGTTCTAGGTATGTTATAATATCTGCCCAATATTTTATGAAGGGTCTGTGTGCTGATACACGTATAGTCTACAGATCGACTTTCTGTATTCAGGTTTTAAGGAAATTAGATATTTTTCTGGAGTCTGGAATTAGTCTTAAATAATAAATAAGTGGCAAGTTTGCCCTCTTTTAGTGTTTCGAAGTACTTCCAATTCATTAAATATTATTTTTAATTTGAAACTCTTTTACTGTGTAGATAGATGTAATGATTTCATTCTACGGTAAAAGGACCAATTCAGGGTATAATATAAAACATGGAAAAAAATTGTATCAACTAGCAAAATGAACATCACAATTCTCTAAAGGACATATCAGTGAACTTGAAAAAAAAAAAAAAAAAAGAATTGTCCACAAATCTGGTATCGTTAAATTTTTTAAACAATTTCAATAAACCATTGATTGGGAGGTAATGTTACGGAAGATAATGCTTGATCAAGTCTTATTAATTTTTTTTAATAAAACTGAATTTGACGTATTTTTCGTTTCTGATGTTCAGTATAGAACGGTAAAGTATGATTCAAGAAGTCTCGCATGAATTATAGATATTAATTTCAAATTTCGGGATAAAATATCGTTACGGGAGTTAATTTCCATCAATAAAAGTTCTCGGCAATAGTGAAAATTAACGTTTGTTTTAGGATTTTAAACAAAAGTATGAAGCATTTGGCTCCCAAAATAATATTTTTTTTAAAAATTATACCTTTAGTACAAAACTTTCCTGATTTATCGTTACGGAAGTTAAATTTTTAAGAGAGACAACCGTTTTTTCTGAATCATTTTATTATTTCAAAAATGCAATGGTCTAAAATAGCTGACTCGCAGCTAGAATCGATGATATTAGGTTCCGTGATCACTTTCAGATAAGTTTCAATTCTTTTTGAAATCTTTATCCTGAAATTTAAAACAAAATCGTTACGAAAGTTAATTGCATGATTTTCAGCGACATGCTATGATTTCGCATGAAAGATATATGCTTTTCTTTGCGAGAAGTGGTTTGTTTTCTTTTTAGATAGGAAAAAACTTTATTCAAAAATATTAATCGCAATCTATTTGAGACGCTTATACGGCTGAAAATTTCATCTTGAAATTTGCAAATGAATGAAGCGACATTAGGATAAAATTGCAGAGGAATACGTTTTTCAACTTCATGGTGTTCATATATAAAAACTTCAACTGCATATATATCGGTAAATATTTACAAAACCATGTGTGTATGTCAAGTCTTAGAGTTGAAATCGATCTTTATATCTAATTATAGTTAAGATATTACAACGGTAAATTTGTAAGCGACATAAAAATTCTTAATTGGAACATGTTTTTGTAGAATGACTGTCAAAATAACCTTTCACCAAGTGACTCCCAAATCTGTTGATGCCTTCCTTTATAATCATTCTACACCTTTGTTGAAAATAAAGTCTGTAAGATGAAAGGTTGACTTACAGACAGACGGAATATAAGAATTGAACCCCCTCTTCCCCATTGTACTTGTCAATCCGGAATTGCCAATGTTGGTTCGCGTGTTACAGTGACCAATATGGCGTCTGGATCGAAGAAACCCAAGCAAATAAGTACAAATTCAGAAGAAACCTCTTGTAGCAATCAAAGTGATAGCTGTCATGTATCTAATTCTAGTGAAGGAAGCAGTCCAAGTAAAGATGTCTCATTTTTTTCAACACCAGAAAGTGATACTGACATTAAAAGGAGGAAACCGAATTCCATAGAGCAGAGTTCGTCGCAAGTCAATAGTGATACGGGAAATTACTCAAAGGTTCCTCACAATCTTAGTGACTGGGAGAAGAAACACATTGAAAATCTTAATATTAAAGTATCTTATCGACCAGATATATCCCCTTTGCAGCTAATAAACAGAACAATTCAGAAAACTGGGCTCCAAATCTTTGAGGTTCGAAGGCTTGATCCGGATGAAGAAGAAAAAAAGATTGTGTCTCTAGTCAAATATGTCCAGCAGAGTAAATTTATGGAGATGTTATCTAAAATAAATTATCTGACATTTCGTGATTTGAGCAGGAAATCCTTGAAGGGTTTAGACATGTATGCAGACGACCGATACCAGTGTTCATTTATACCTGATGAATTACCAGAGAGTCTTAAATTATGGTTTTACAGGTATAAATGTGTTGTTTGTTTGCAGCAGATATTTACATTTATGGACAAATTATGGTAATATCAGGCCTATAGGTCCCTGGTAATATAAAATCATGCAGAAAGCAAAGATGCCAGTCATACTAAACATTGCTAAAGGCATTGTTTTGAATTTCATTAATAGTAACATTTTAAAATTTAAATCAATGGATTGATAGATATAAAGATACAGTACTGTTGATCTTCGGTATCTTGAACATTGATATCTCGAATACCATGGTTATGTCAAAGTGATTTATAAGTCCTTATCACTTATTCCTTAATAACTAAGTATTTTACCCTGGTTATCTCAAATCCTCGGATATCTCAAAGTATTTTCTTTGTCCCATTGAGTTCGAGATAATGAGGTTTGACTGTACATCTTAACTTTGGTATTCAAAAATCTCAATATCTCAAATAACATGGACATGTCGTAGTGAGTTCAAAGTCCCAACTACTCTCTCCATCTTGAATCTTCAATTATTTTGAAGTTTTTTCTCAGTCTCAAGGTTCTAGATATGAACTTTGACAGCAATTATTAAAGGAAAACTCTCTCCAGAAGGAGAAAGTTTGATCAGTATACTGTATGTGAACATACTGACTTTTTTTTGTAGGTTTCACACTCATGGAAAAATGTTTGCTCACATTTTACATAAGATGGTTGAAAACATGGAGGAAGGCATTCAGAATTATCAATGTCATTTCCAGCATTTATTTGAAACGTTTACAAAGATGTTTGGAATGTTCAGTTTTGTAAGGTGTGTTCTGTTTAGTGCTTTGATCTGTACAACAAATATGACTTTATATAGATGCTGTATTATAAATTCTCTCAAGTTAACATTTTATTGAACATGCTGAACTGATATGTTAAATCAAAGTGGAGATCAAACCAGCAAATAAAAAAGCCATTGGACCACAACACTTGAGTTGCCTTAGCCCTGCTGTTCTTCAGCACAAGAAATTTTTAAAAAATATTTTCCGCTTTATTAACTAAAAAATTCTTACCCCATATTTTGGTCTAACCTTTGCCCCAAGGAGTCACACTTAACCTAATTTGAATCCACACATCCTGAGGATGTTTCAGTATTATGACTAACTTGGCCTTGCTATTCTGAAGATGAAGGAAATGTGCATTAAGTAAAAACTGTTCCCTTATCTTAATCTCTGTCCCTTACCAGGAAGAGATGAGGCCACAGAAAGGGGGAGGGATGCTATTGTTATTGTGTCTCATCTTCCAAAATTTGTAAACAAGTAAATAATTTTATAATAGTTAGTGTCTATATTGACGGGTACTATCTAGTATGATTACAAGCAACATTTAAATTGTCAACAATCTTTCATTATCTTTCATTTATTAGTTTAATGCCTTGCATTGAGGTGCAGAAAATGAATATCATGGATACAGAAGTTTATGGTGCTCCAGATATTCTTTACTCTTGCCACTGTTGGAAACCTCCTGTGGATAATGAAATGAAAAAATCTCGTATAGTAGCCATATGTGAGGTAATGTACAGTTTTAGTGTAATTGCAGTGCAATTGGGTGTATTACTATACTTTATTAAGATACCAGGGTTCGACACTAACGTTAGTCCGTTAGTCTCAGACTAATACATTTTCATTCGGACTAATAAAATCTGCAGCTAATTAGTCCGAACGGACCAATAAAAATTCCTGGAAAACAATATGAATAATTTACCAATGTCCAATTTTCTACGACTTTTACTGGAAAACCCCACATTTATTTTTAGCTTTCTACCTTCTTGGCGGGTAGTTACACAATTTCGAGTCAGCGCTTAATATTTCGACTGATTGATATGAAGTAAAACGTTTTAGCGATTATAATTTATATGACACATAAAAGAAAGATGTCAGACATATTGGATGTAATGTAAAGAGAAAAAGAACGAGATCGGGAATACGATCGTACTTGTTGATCGCGAGATTTCAACAAATCTGTGCTGTGGAATAAACCATTTCACGTAAATGCTTTGTTTATTTTTAAAAAAGTATAAAAACGTATATTGAAATGTTTGTTTTGAAATTAATGTTACAAAACATTGATGTTTCCTTTTTTTGACGGACTCATAAAATTGCTTGCGGACTAGTAAAAGTAAAGAAGCACTAGTCCGGCCGGACTAAAGCCTAAAAAAGTTAGTGTCGAACCCTGGATACATAATTATACCCCCACTCCAAAGGAGAGGGGGTATACTGTTTTTTATACCCCCGCTCCAAAGGAGAGGGGGTATACTGTTTTACCCTTGTGTGTCTGTCTGTCCGTCTGTCTGTCTGTGTGTCTGTCCATAACAAATTTTGGTCGCAGTTTTCTCAGCAATTACTCATTAAAGATGTTTGAAATTTTAGCACACTCTTTGTTTAGGAATGCCATATGGTGGGATTCATTTTTGTACGAATCCGATGTCAACTTCCTGTTTATCTGTGCTTCTGTCCGTACCTTACATAACAAATTTTGGTCACAGTTTTCTCAGCAACTACTCATTGCAGATGCTTTAAATTTTAGCACACTCTTTGTTTAGGCATGCCATATGATGGGATACATTTTTGTACGAATCCGATGTCAACTTCCTGTTTATCTGTGCGTCTCTCCGTACCATACATAACAAATTTTGGTCACAGTTTTCTCAGCTACTTCTCATCACAGATGCTTGAAATTTTAGCACACTCTTTGTTTAGGCATGCTATATGTTGGGATTCATTTTTGTACAAATCTGATGTCAACTTTCTGTTTATCTGTGCATCTGTCCGTACCATACATAACAAATGTTGGTCGCAGTTTTCTCAGTAACTTCTCATCGCAGATGCTTGAAATTTTAGCACACTCTTGTTAAGGCATGCCATTTGTTGGGATTCATTTTTGGACAAATCCGATGTCAACTTCCTGATTATCACTGTGTCTGTCCATAACTGAACTTGTGTATTCACATCAGAGCAGGGGTATTATTAGTGGGCATTGGCTCACAGACTTCTTGTTTATGTCTTTTTTTAATTCTCAATTTTTAGGAAAATTGTTGCCATAGTTACTAATACTATGTGCTAAATTTGGTGGTGAAAAATCAATTCTAAACTGGGATTCAAACCCAGGGCCTCTGGCGTACTTTGCCAAAAGCCCTGGATTCGAGTACCATTGGAGACTTGATTTTCACCACCTGTGACATTTTGCGCCAAACGTGGGGTCCAAGTATTCTCTGGCATTGAAAGTGTTTGCATACAGAGCCCCACAGGTGCAGGCACTCCAGAGAGGATGAGGACATCTCTATCTCTGGAGGGAGACAATGTAGTAGCGTAATATACATGCCTTCTACTAGCTTTAGCTAGTGGGTTAACCATTTAGTTTGGTAGAGCACTGGACTGGCATGTCAGAGGTCCCTGGTTTAAATCCTTTCAGAGAGCTCTGAGCACAAACATGTCTCTGTTACATTATTCCTCTTAATGTTCTAGTCTTATTGCTTTTTGGCTCCATCTAGTTTATCTAATTAATTATTAATTACAGAGTGACATTCTTGTACAGAGTTTCGAGAATGCTGTTGTCGTGTAGACCAGAAATAAAATGATCTTTTAGATTCTATTATAGCTACAGATCTGTCACTCGCTGGTCTGAAAAAATTGGGATGGCGACCACTCCAGAGAGCTACAGTGCCACATACCCAAAAGACAAATATCCAGACCATTGAGCTACAGATCTGTAGCTAATTCTATTATTATACGATTCTTTATTCATTTTTGGTCTGATTTCAGTTATTTAAACTTAATTGGTTCAATTAAAAAAGTAGATAATACCTGGTAATGATTTTTAGGTCACCTGAGTCACTCACGTGACCTATTGCTATCCGTTTTCGTCCGTCGGCGTGCGTCGTGTGTCATGCGTTGTGCGTTAACATTTGAACATTTTCAGCTTCTTCTCTGAAACCGCTCAACCAATTTCAACCAAATTTGGCATATAACATCTATGGGTGAAGGGGGACAAAATTTGTGAATTTCATGGTCCCTGCCCCCCTGGGGCCTGAGGGGTGGGGCAAAAACCACTAAAATTAATGCAATCTTTAAAAATCTTCTTCTTTACTCCTGGACATCAAGCAGTCAAACTGTTAGCATGATTGTAATAAGCATTGAGCCCTCTACCAAAATTGTGAAATTCATGGCCCCAGGGTAAGGGGTTCTGGGGCTAGGGCGGGGCTATATAGATCATATAGTAAAAGTGCATTATTTCTTCAAAAATCTTCTTCTCTGCTCCTGGGTATAAAATAAACTAACTAAGTACACAGTTATGATAAGCAAGAATGCCCGTTCCAAAATTGTGAATTTCATGGCCCCTGGGTCAGGGGTTCTGGTGAAAGGGGGGGGGGGCTCTATTGATTATATAGTGAAAATGCATTATTTCTTTGAAAATCTTCTTCTCTGCTTATGGGTATGAAATAAACTAACTAAGTACATAGTTATGATGAACAAAAGTGCCTCTTCCAAAATTGTGAATTTCATGGCCCCAGGGTCAGGGGTTCTGGTGTTAGGGTGGGGCCTTATTAATTATATAGTGAAAACACATTATTTCTTTGAAAATCTTCTTCGTTGCTCCTGGGTATTAAACAAACTAATTAAGTACATAGTTTTGATGAGCAAGAGTGCCTCTTCCAAAATTATGAATTTCATGGCCTTGGGTGAGGGGTTCTGGTGAAAGGGGGGGGGGGGGGGCTCTATTGATTATGTAGTGAAAATGTATTATTTCTTTGAAAATCTTCTTCTCTGCTCATAAGTATCAAAGAAACTAACTAAGAACATAGTTATGATGAGCAAGAGTGCCTCTTCAGAAATTTTGAATTTCATTGCCCCTGGGTCAGGGGTTTTGGTGAAGGGGGGGGGGGGTGTTATTGATTATATAGTGAAAATGCATTATTTCTTTGAATATCTTCTTCTCTGCTTATGGGTATTAAAGAAATTAACTAAAAACATAGTTATGATGAGCAAGAGTGCCTCTTCAGAAATTGTGAATTTCATGGCCCCTGAATCAGGGGTTCTGCTGTTAGGGTGGGGCTCTATTGATTATATAGTGAAAATGCATCAATTCTTTGAAAATCTTCTCTGCTCCTGGGTATTATTTAAACAAAGGAATTGCATGGTTATGATAAGCAAAAATGCCTCTTCCAAAATTGTGAAATTCATGGCCCCAGGGTCAGGGGTTCTTGTGAAAGGGGGGGTGGCTCTACTGATTATATAGTGAAAATTCATAATTTCTTTCAAAATATTTTTTCTACTCCTGGTTATAAAGCAAAGAAACAAGTGTATAGTTATGATGAACAAGGATGCTTTTACAAAATTTTTAAACTTGTGGTCCCAGGGGTTCTGCTGTTTTTCTGAGGGGGTGGGAGGGGGGGGGGGGGCTCTATTGATAATATAGTGAAAATGTGTGAATTCTTTGAAAATCTTCAACTAATTGCATAGTTATGATGATGAGGGTACCTCTTCTAAATTTGTAAATTTCATGACCCTCGGTCATGGTTCTGGTGTTAGGGTAGGGCTGTGTTAAATAGTAAAAGTGCATTATTTCTTTGAAAATCTTCTCTGCTCCTGGGCATATTGGAGGCAAACAGAGTAAAAGTTTTAATAAGCAAGGGTATTTTTACCAGAATTTTAAACATCTGGACCATTTGGTCAAGTGTTCTGGTCCTGGCCAGGGCTCTATTAATTTGTATTCTACTGAGTGAAGTTATTCCCCTTTGCCATTCACCTTTGATAATTAATCAGTGTAGATAATGTATTTGAAAGGTTAATAGAATAAGAGAATTATGCAAGAACATTGATTGTATAATACAAAAAGTACTTTCCTAGTTTTAATGATCAGGTAGACCTGGAAGTAATAGATGAATAAAAGTGAAACAAAAATAACTTATCTTTTTTAATGTTCTTCAAAGGCCAAGTGAGGCCAGTTTGAGATATTTTGTAAAAAGTCTGTATGGTAATAGCGATAAATGGGGGACAGATAGATAAATCTTACTATTTTCCTTGCTTTTGGAAAAAAAAAAAAGCTTTATTAGGTCACCTGAGTCACTCAGGTGACCTATTGCTATCCGTTCTCGTCCGTCGGCGTGCGTCGTGTGTTAACATTTGAACATTTTTAGCTTCTTCTCTGAAACCGCTTAACCAATTTCAACCAAATTTGGCATATTGCATCTATGGGTGAAGGGGAACAAAAATTGTGAATTTCATGGTCCCTGCCCCCCTGGGGCCTGAGGGGTGGGGCTAAAACCACCAAAAATAATGCAATCTTTAAAAATCTTCTTCTTTACTCCAGGACATCAAGCAGTCAAACTGTTGGCATCATTGTAATAAGCAGTGAGCCCTCTACCAAAATTGTGAAATTCATGGCCCCAGGGTCAGGGGTTCTGGCCCAGGGTGGGGCTATATAGATCATATAGTGAAAGTGCATTATTTCTTTGAAAATCTTCTTCTCTGCTCCTGGGTATTAAATAAAGTAACTAAGTACATAGTTATGAATAGCAAGAGTGCCTCTTCCAAATTGTGAAATTCATGGCCCCAGGGTCAGGGGTTCTGGTGTTAGGGTGGGGCTCTATTGATTATATAGTGAAAATGCATTATTTCTTTTAAAATCTTCTTCTCTGCTCCTGGGTATTAAATAAAGTAACTAAGTACATAGTTATGATGAGCAAGAGTGCCTCTTCCGAAATTGTGAAATTCATGGCCCCAGGGTCAGGGGTTCTGGCCCCAGGGTGGGACTATATAGATCATATAGTGAAAGTGCATTAATTCTTTGAAAATTTTCTTCTCTGCTCCTGGGTATTAAATAAAGTAACTAAGTACATAGTTATGAAGAGCAAGAGTGCCTCTTCCAAAATTGTGAAATTCATGGCCCCAGGGTCAGGGGTTCTGGTGTTAGGGCGGGGCTCTATTGATTATATAATGAAAATGCATTAATTCTTTGAAAATCTTCTTCTCTGCTCCTGGGTATTAAAAAAAGTAACTAAGTACATAGTTATGATGAGCAAGAGTGCCTCTTCAAAAATTGTGAAATTCATGGCCCCAGGGTCAGTGGTTCTGGTGTAAGGGTGGGGCTCTGTTGATCATATAGTGAAATTGCATTAATTCTTTGAAAATCTTCTTCTCTGCTCCTGGGTATTAAATAAAGTAACTAAGTACATAGTTATGAATAGCAAGAGTGCCTCTTCCAAAAGTGTGAAATTCATGGCCCCAGGGTCAGGGGTTCTGGTGTAAGGGCAGGGCTCTATTGATTATATAATGAAAATGCATTAATTCTTTGAAAATCTTCTTCTCTGCTCCTGGGTATTAAATAAAGTAACTAAGTACATAGTTATGAAGAGCAAGAGTGCCTCTTCCAAAATTTGAAATTCATGGCCCCAGGGTCAGGGGTTCTGGTGTAAGGGTGGGGCTCTATTGATTATGTAGTGAAAATGCATTAATTCTTTGAAAATCTTCTTCTCTGCTCCTTGGTATTGAATAAAGTAACTAGGTACATAGTTATGATGAGCAAGAGTGCTTCTTCAAAAATTGTGAAATTCATGGCCCCTGGGTCAGGGGTTCTGGTGTAAGGGTGGGGCTCTGTTGATCATATAGTGAAATTGCATTAATTCTTTGAAAATCTTCTTCTCTGCTCCTGGGTATTAAATAAAGTAACTAAGTACATAGTTATGAATAGCAGGAGTGCCTCTTCCAAAAGTGTGAAATTCATGGCCCCAGGGTCAGGGGTTCTGGTGTAAGGGCAGGGCTCTATTGATTATATAATGAAAATGCATTAATTCTTTGAAAATCTTCTTCTCTGCTCCTGGGTATTAAATAAAGTAACTAAGTACATAGTTATGAAGAGCAAGAGTGCCTCTTCCAAAATTTGAAATTCATGGCCCCAGGGTCAGGGGTTCTGGTGTAAGGGTGGGGCTCTATTGATTATGTAGTGAAAATGCATTAATTCTTTGAAAATCTTCTTCTCTGCTCCTTGGTATTGAATAAAGTAACTAGGTACATAGTTATGATGAGCAAGAGTGCTTCTTCAAAAATTGTGAAATTCATGGCCCCTGGGTCAGGGGTTCTAGTGTTAGGGTGGGGCTCTATTGATTATCTAGTGAAAATGCATTAATTCTTTGAAAATCTTCTTCTCTGCTCCTGGGTATGAAATAAAGTAACTAAGTACATAGTTATGAGGAGCAAAAGTGCCTTTTGGAAAATTGTGAATTTCATGGCCCCAGGGTCAGGGGTTCTGGTGTTAGGGCGGGGCTCTATTGATTATATAGTGAAAATGCATTAATTCTTTGAAAATCTTCTTCTCTGCTCCTGGGTATTAAATAAAGTAACTAAGTACATAGTTATGATGAGCAGGAGTATCTCTTCTAAAATTGTGAATTTCATGGCCCCATGGTCAGGGGTTCTGGTGTTATGGCGGGGCTCTATCGACTATATAGTGAAAATGCATTAATTCTTTGAAAATCTTCTTCTCTGCTCCTGGGCATTAAGGTGATAAACTAAGTACATAGTTATGAAGAGCAAGAGTGCCTCTTCCAAAATTTGAAATTCTTGGCCCCAGGGTCAGGGGTTCTGGTGTAAGGATGGGGCTCTGTTGATTATGTAGTGAAAATGCATTAATTCTTTGAAAATCTTCTTCTCTGCTCCTCGGTATTGAATAAAGTAACTAGGTACATAGTTATGATGAGCAAGAGTGCTTCTACAAAAATTGTGAAATTCATGGCCCCTGGGTCAGGGGTTCTAGTGTTAGGGTGGGGCTCTATTGATTATGTAGTGAAAATGCATTAATTCTTTGAAAATCTTCTTCTCTGCTCCTGGGTATTAAATAAAGTAACTAAGTACATAGTTATGAGGAGCAAAAGTGCCTTTTGGAAAATTGTGAATTTCATGGCCCCAGGGTCAGGGGTTCTGGTGTTAGGGCGGGGCTCTATTGATTATATAGTGAAAATGCATTAATTCTTTGAAAATCTTCTTCTCTGCTCCTGGGTATTAAATAAAGTAACTAAGTACATAGTTATGATGAGCAGGAGTATCTCTTCTAAAATTGTGAATTTCATGGCCCCATGGTCAGGGGTTCTGGTGTTATGGCGGGGCTCTATCGACTATATAGTGAAAATGCATTAATTCTTTGAAAATCTTCTTCTCTGCTCCTGGGCATTAAGGTGATAAACTAAGTACATAGTTATGATGAGGAGGTAGGCCTCTTCCAGAATTATGAAAGCCATGGCCCCTGGGTGAGGGGTTCTGATGTTAGGGCGGGGCTCTATTGATTATATAGTGAAAATGCATTAATTCTTTGAAAGTCTTCTTCTCTGCTCCAGGGTATTATTTAAACAAACTAAGTACATGGTTATGATGCATAAGGATGCCTTTTCAAAAATTGTGAATTTCATGGCCCCAGGGTCAGCGGTTCTGGTGTTAGGGCGGGGCTCTATTGATTATATAGTGAAAATGCATTGATTCTTTGAAAATCGTCTTCTCTGCTACTGGAGATTATTTAAACAAACTAAGTGCATGATTATGATGGGCAAGGATGCCTCTTCCAAAATTTTTAAATATATGGCCTCAGTTTTTGGGGTTCTTGAGGAAGGGGGGGGGGGCTCTATTGATTATATAGTGAAAGAGCATTAATTCTATTAATTAATCATTAATTAATCCTGTCTGCTCCTTAGCGTTGAGCTGATAAATAAATTGCTTAGCTATGATGAAAATGTGAGCTTCGAACAGAATTTTTAAATCTTGTGGTCCTAGGGTCAGGGGTTCTGGCATAACTGGGGGGGGGGGGGGGGGGGGGTTGATAATATAGTGCAAAAGTGTTAATTCTTTGAAGTCCATAGGTATGATGATGAGGGTAACTCTTCCAAATTTGTAAATTTCTTGACCCTTGGTCTTGGGTTCTGGTGTTAGGGTAAGGCTTTGTTGAAGCATTGTACCTGTGAAATTCTTCTCTGCTTCTGGGCATATCGGAAGAAAACTGAGTAAAAGTTTAAATGATATAAGTAAGCGTATTTCTACCAGATTTTTGAACATCTGGACCATTTGTCTAAGCATTCTAGTCCTGGGCAGGGCTCTATTAATTTGTATTCTACTGAGAGAAGTTATTCCCCTTTTCCATTCACCTTTAATCACTGTAAATAATGTATTTGAAAGGTTAATAGAATAAGATAATTATGCAAGAATGTTTATCATATAATTCAAAAAGTATTTTCTTAGTTTTAATAATCAGGTTGACCTGTAAGTAATAGATAAATAAAAATGAGACAAAAATAACTTATCTTATTAAAAGTTCTTCAAAGACCATAAGAGAGGTCAATGCTAGAGCTCTTAATATGGGATTAAAAATAGTACTGAAGCACTAATAGTTTGTTAATAGTCTGCATGGTGATAGTGTTAAGTGGGGGACAGATTAGAACTTAATTTATGAGTTGATACTGAATACTAGACTAATTATTTTGTTGATCCTGATCTTCCTACTTCTCTTGCTTTAGGGCAACAAAGCTTCATCTGTCAGTGTATTTAACTTCTAAATTGTTGTATTATACTCAGGTGACCGTTAAGGCCCTTGGGCCTCTTGTTAATTTCATGGAATGGTTTGCAATGATTTTTGAAAAGAGAATAATCTCTTGAACTCATTGACTCAATCCATTATCACATTTATGAATATTTTTGGCTTCTTCTCTGAAATTGGTGAAACAGTTTCAATCAGTAAAGCTCTACAGATGAAGGGAAACAAAAATATCCTGAAATTACTTGTGAATTACATTATATTGCAAGATTTTGAATTTATGAGTGAACTGTTGACATGTGGTTTAACATGTATTACAGCAATGTAGACATTAAGATGAGAAATTTTATTTCATGAGTGGTGTTTTTTCACAAATTAGGCAATAATAAATTCATCACATATATTTAAGAATCTAAAGTATTCAGTTTCATGGGTAGAACTTAGTTGATTAAGTATTTAAAATTCATTGTGTCTTTGAAATGTAAATATGATAAGCATAAACTTAGATAAAACTTTATTTCACCCCCTCCTCTCCAAAAAAGTGTTAATGTATAAGCCTATTTCAAATGAGAACCACTTCACTTCTCTTGTAACATTTTCAGGTGAAGAAAGAAGTACCTTTATTCAAAGAACACCAAATATCTCTATCTCCAGGCAGCAAAACAAGAGAAAAATCAAGGAAGCGCCTGTCAACAGAGGAGATATCTTCTTCTTCAGTGTCCTGCTCAACAACAGTGAAAAAAGACTTTCCAAGCATGTCAGATAAACTTATAGGGCAACATGGAGGACAAATGCTGTTGAATTATCAGCAATCAAATAGATGTGATTTGATTATTGGTTTGGTTGTTCAAGAGACAAAAGTAAGTTTATATGGATTACAGGTTCAAGAGGTTTTTGTATGAGTGATAAAAAAAAATCTTACAGGACTTATAAATATATTGAAATTCTGTATTACATATCATTATTGCATTATTGTTTGATCCGTCTATTGGGGGGGGGGGGGGGGGGATTGATTCTCAAAATATCCAAATTCCTAGAAACCTATTCTGTATAAAAAGCTTGGTATGTTTATTACTTGTGGGTTTGTGCAAAGTGATTTCAGGTTATAGAATAATTTTTAGTCATTTGATTTTTTTTTGCTTCTTGAGTAATGTTTACCTGTCAACAACTTTCGAAGAGGACATATAATATATCATGATATATCATTCTCCAGATAAAATTTCAACCAATCAGACTGGAGGAAGTTATCTCTTCATATAAAAAAAATTTAATACAGTTGAACTTCGGTATCTTGAACACTGATATCTTGAATATCATGGATCTGTCAAAGTGATTTGGAAGTCCCAACCACTTAATCTTTAAGTATTTAACCCTCGATGTTTCGAATCCGCAGATATCTCAAAGTTTTTATTGTCCCATCGAGTTTGAGATAACGAGGTTTTACTGTATTTGCTTTGCAAATCTGATTTCTGTCTGATTTTGATATCATCCAAGTCCTTTTTAGCTCACCTGAGCTGAAAGCTCAGGTGAGCTTTTCTGATCACATTTTGTCTGTAGTCCGTCTGTCTGTCTGTCTGTCTGTCCGTCTGTCCGTCCGTCTGTAAACTTTTCACATTTTCGACTTCTTCTCCAGAACCACTGGGCCAATTTCAACCAAACTTGCCACAGAGCATCCTTGGGTGAAGGGGGTTCAAGTTTGTTCAAATGAAGGGCCACGCCCTCTTCCAAGGGGAGATAATTAAGAATTGGTGAAAATTTGGTGTCATCTTTTAAAAATCTTCTTCTCAAGAACCATTGAGCCAGAAAAGTTTATACTTATGTGAAACCTTCATTACATAGTGTAGATTCAAATTTGTTCAAATCATAACCCCCGGGGTAGGGTGGGGCCACAATGGGGGATCAAAATTTTACATAAGAATATATAGGGAAAATCTTTAAAAATCTTCTTCTCAAGAACAACAAAGCCATAATTAGTCATATTGATATGGATTCATCCTCAGGTAGTGTAGATTCAAGTTTGTTCAGATCATGACCCCCGGGGGTAGGTTGGGGCCACAATTGGGGATCAAAGTTTTACATAAGAATATATAGGGAAAATCTTTAAAAATCTTCTTCTCAAGAACAACAAAGCCATAATTAGTCATATTGATTTGGAATCATCCTCAGGTAGTTTAGATTCAAGTTTGTTCAGATCATGACCCCCGAGGTAGGTTAGGGCAACAATGGGGGATCAAAGTTTTACATAGGAATATATAGGGAAAATTTTTAAAAATCTTCATCTCAAGAACAACAAAGCCACAATCAGTCATATTGATTTGGAATCATCCTCAGGTAGTGTAGATTCAAGTTTGTACAAATCATGACCCCTGGGGGTAGGGTCGGGCCACAGTGGGGGATCAAACTTTTACATAGGAATATATAGGAAAATTCTTTAAAAATCTTCTTCTCAAGAACAACAAAGCCATAATTAGTCATATTGATATGGAATCATCTTCAAGTAGTGTAGATTCAAATTTGTTCAAATCATGACCCCGGGGGGTAGGGTGGGGCTACAATGGGGGATCAAATTTTTACATAGGAATATATAGGAAAATTCTTTAAAAATCTTCTTCTCAAAAACAACAAAGCCACAGTTAGTCATATTGATATGGAATCATCCCCAAATATTGTAGATTCAAGCTTGTTCAAGGCATCCTCCAGTAGTAGGGTGGGGCCATATTGGGGGATCAAAGTTTTACAAAAGAACATATACAGGAAATATCTTTAAAAATCTTCTTCATTCTCAAGAACAACAAAGCCATGATCAGTCATATTGATATGGAAGCATCCTCAGGTAATGTACATTCAAGTTTGTTCAAATCATGACACCCCACCCAGGGTAGGGTGTTAGACATATTTTAAAATTCTGTTTTAAAGAACAACAAAATCATGATTAGTTATATGAAGATAGAAGCATCCTCAGAAGGTTTATATTCAATTTCATTCAAAACATGGCACCTTGGGGTAGGGTATGCCTAGAACAGGCGATCAAAGCTTTATATATAAATATATAGGAGAAATATAGGAGAAGAAATCTGCTGATGGAGAACAGCAGGGCCATATTGACTCAGGTGAGCGTTGTGGCCCATGGGCCTCTTGTTTCAATTCATTTTTTTCTCTTATACATTTATTCATTCATTCATTCATTTATATATTAATTTTGATATACAGGTCACATTCACTGCACTTGAAATGACAGATCACCAGTACCAGAGAATTAAAGAAGGGAAAATCATTCACTCAGAAAAGAATAGACCTACTTTCACTTTCACAAAAGCTTATGATTTCCTAAAGGTAGAAGACTTAGAGAACATAATTGAACCATTTATAAGATTAGGACTAGAACAGCATAGAGCAGTATAAATGAGACTTGGAGACTTTGAAGATGAGAGTGTTGAGGCCTTTGAATGTTAATTGTCTCCTTTTTAGAAGAAAAAAATTACAGGCTTCTGTTTCAGAGGTTATATTGTGAAGATTTTTATGAAATGGAAAAAAGTTCTGTACACAGTTAGATTTTCACTGGAATAACTACCACTACCTTTAAAACAGTATCAAAATCTGCTTCAAACATCATGAATATATGCTGTGAAATGAATTTATATAGAAATTGTGGTGTTAATTTGTGATTTTTTTAATGTTGATTTTGTAATATTCAATTAAAAAGAACTTTAATTGTGTGGCTAACTTTTATTATCTTTGTAGATAATGAACTGAAATGAAAACTGGCAAAATAAACCATCTTTTGCATGGATATTTAAATGTTGGGGGGGGGGGGGATCAAAAAGTGCAACAGAATTCAAAACTTTAATGTATGACTTAGCCTTAAACGGACTTGAAGGTGCATGCTCTTTGTCCACAGTGTTTATGTAGAAATGACATTAAATACCAAATGTTACAACCTCAGAATGTTTCATAAAAAAAAACCCTTTGACCTGATGAGAAAAGAGATAGCTTTCACTGCACCTTCAGTCCCCGGCACTAAGTAGTTTGTATATTGAAAATATGGTACACTTTGATAATCTTGCATTCCTATAGACATCTGGCAAATAACCTGTTAGTACGATTTTAATAAACACTTTACCCTATACCAGAAATTGTGAAATTCTTGGCCATTGGTTCAGGCCAAAGGTTGGGGCTATGATACAGTAGTCATATTTTGATAGTAAATCACATCTTTGATAATTTTTCTTCATGACTTATGGACACGTTTGTATGAGTTTGTTTAGTGAGTGGCCAGCTCTGATCCACTAAAAAATATTCTGGATCTGGTTGCACAAACGTTAGTTTAACTCCCAGTTAGTGTCATAACTAGCTGTTAAATTTTTAAAGACGAGTTACCTAACTGTCAGTTAAAAAATTGTAGTTCGAAAGTCTATTAAAAATAGGGACTATGGATCTAGATGTTCCCAAACCACTATAGGTATTAAGCAAAGAAACTAGTTATATAGTTATGACGAGCAAGGGTGCCTCCTCCAAAGTTGTGAATTTCATGGCCTAGCCCCTTGGTCAGGAGTTCTGGTGTTAGGGTGGGGCTCTATTTTTGTATTGAATATTAAGTGAAAATGCATTAATTCTTCGAAAATCTTCTTCTCTGCTCCTTTGTATTTAAAAGTAAACTAAGCACATAATTTTGGTGAGCAAAGGTGCTTCTTCCAAAATTGTGAAATTTGTGGCCCCAAGGTCATGGGTTCTGATGTAAGGGGGGGGGGGGCTCTATTGATAATATAGTGAAAGTGCATTGTTTCTTTGAAAATATTCTTCTCTGCTCCTGGGTATAAAGCAAACAAAGTAAGTATATAGTGATGATTAGTAAGGGTGTCCCTTCCAAAATTATGAATTTCATGGCCCCTGGGTCAGGGGTTCTGGTTTTAGGACAGTGCTCTATTGATTATATAGTGAAATGCATTAATTCTTTGAAAATCTTCTTCACTGCTCCTGGGTGTTTAGTAATAAACTATGTACATGGTTATAATAAGCAAGGGTGCCCCTTCCAAAATTGTGAATTCATGGCCCCTGGGTCTTGGGTTTGGTGATAGGACAGAGCTCTTTAGAACAGATATAGAAAATACATAAATTCTCTAATATATGTTCCTGGGTATTTAGCAGACAAAATAATTGCATAGTTAATATGAGCAAGGAAGCTTCTTCCAAAATTATGAAATTCGTAACCCTGGGTCTGGGGATTTGGTGTTAGGATGGGGCTGTGTTGAATATATCATAAAAATGCATTATTTCTTTGCAAATCTTCTTTTCTTTCCCTGGGTATTTAGCAAGCATACTTAGTGCATGGTTTTGATGAGCAAGGGTATCTCTTCCAAAATTGTGAATTTCTCGGCCCCTGGGTTTAGAGCCTCTGGTGCTATGGTGAGGCGCTGTTAATTTTTAATCTACTGAGAGAAGTTATTCACCTTTGCTATTCACCTGTGATAATTAATCAATGTAAATGATGTAATTGAAAGCTCATACAAGAATTTTGATCATTTATAATAAAAAGTACTTTCCTAGTTCTTATTTGTTTTGTTTGTTTATTGTTGTTTAACGTCCCTCTTGAGAATTTTTTCACTTATTTGCCAGCGGAGAGCTGCAAAGTTTGACCTATACTTGGCACTCAGGGCCATTGAATAGTGAGGAATCTTTTTCATGCCAACGCATTCTGCGACACGGGACCTCGGTTTTTACGGTCTTATCCGAAGGACCGGTCTCCACCTCTTTCCTAGTTTTGAATGGTCAATTAAAATAAATACTTCTGGTTGTCAATATTACATAAATATAGAGACAAAAATTCCTTCTTTTTGTACATCAGATTTTTTTCCCAAAATAAAAAAAACAAGAGGAACCAGTGTGAGATAGAAGAGATTGGGTTTCTAATAGTGCTCAAGCACAATTGATTTGTTTAGTAAGAATGGCGATAGTGACAAATGGGGGACAAGTATAGTTTAGTGGGTATATACACCTTGTCCATCTATCTGTTCAATCTTATCCAGGCTATAACTTATTTAAAGAGAATCATTGGAAGCTCATACTTGGTACACAGATTGTATATCACCCCAGAGTATGTCAGAACCTTGATGCAAGATCATTTTGTCAAGATCAAGGTTAATTGCAGAAAAAGTAAAGTATTTTTGTCTGGGTTATAATAGTTAATACAAAAAGTCCTTTCATTGTTTTTAAAAGTCAGGTAGACTTTTAAATAATACATAAATTAAATAAAATGAGACCAAAAAAACCTTATCTTTGTACATTACATGTTCTGAAATGACTGAGAGAGGCCAATGTGAGAGGAAATGAGATGGGTTTACTTATAGTGCTCATGACCTATTTGTTTTGTTTAGTATGCATGGGGATTGTGACAAATGAGGGCAAGTACAGGCAAGTAAATAGATCAGCTTTAAGATTTGTTAGTGGACACTAAATTAATTGTTTTGCTGATCCAAGATCATCCTGTTTCTCTTGCTTTTGGGTAGCTTCATTTATCAGTTTATTTTGTTTTATTGTATATTTAGTCTATGGGTCCTTAACAGTGCCCCATAATACTCAGGTCACTGTAATAATAATAATTATAATAATAATAATAATAAAGCCTTTATTTATCCAGGATGACATAGTTTAGCAACAATGCTAGTTTTCAATATGGTCCTGCATTTTAACATACATACAGACAGGTACATGTATTAGTAAAACACAGTTTAAAATAAATAGAGTACATATAAGATAAATAATAAATGTGAAATATAAAATAAGTAAATACAAAACAAAATTAAAATGTATGGTGGTATTCTCTAAGATAGTTTCTCTTAAAACATACAACACTTGTTGAATATCTGGTGTTTTCACAAAAGGTATTCCACATACTGCTACCTGAAACTCTGAAAGATCTCTTATAATACTCAGTCTTTGTCCTGGGTACATACAATAAATATGAGTCGGAATTTCTTGTTTGCCTCTGGCTAATTTCTGATACATATTTAAAAACATTTAAGTAATCTGGCATTAATCCATATAATACTTCATACACTAAAATCACTCTTTTATAGATAAAATAATCTGATAGAGGCATCCAGTTAAGTTGTGCAAACATGACAGAAGATGGTGTTTGAAAAATTCTTATGTTCAAAATGACCCTAGCAGCACGTTTTTGTAATATTAAAAGCTTTTTCACATTTTCAGCATTTCTTTGATTGCGCCATATGGTACAACAATATGTAAAATGAGGAAAAATCATAGTATGAAAAATCTTCAACAATGCATCATTTGACATAAAATATCTTATTCGTCTTAAAATGCCAAATTCTCTTGGATATCTTGCATACAAGTGCTTCAATATGGCTTTTCCAGAACAAAGTTTCATCAATATTCGACATTTTGATAATCTTTGTACCGTTCAACAAGCATACATTGAGTTTTAGAAAAATTTATGCTAAATTTATTTTGCTCAATCCAACATATACTGCGTTTCAGTATATGTTTAAGGTCTTCACACATCTTTGATTCTATGTTTTCTACTGACTTATCTGTTACATCTTGAGAAGAATCGTCTGCATACATATTTACATGAGAGTGTTTCAGTGCTTGTGGATAGTCATTAATGTACAGGATAAAAAACAGTGGGCCTAAAATGGAGCCTTGTGGAACCCCAATAGTTACATTCTTTTCATCTGATAGATAACCTTTCCAAATAACTTTCTGTACACGATTTGTTAAATATGATTTAAACCATTCAAAAGTATCATTACATATACCAAAAGACTTAAGTTTGTGTCATAAAGCCTTGTGATTGACAGTGTCAAATGCTTTCCTTAAGTCTATGAAAAGTACACCCGTAAGTTTACCTTCATCAATATTTTTAAGCCATCTATCTACTACAGAAATAAGAGTACTTTCACATGAGTGTTTGGGTCTATTGTTGAGGCTCTTGGGCTTCTTCTTTGCATGAGTGGCCAGATTTAAGTTTTTCGAAGAGGTTTATTCCAAGGTTACTATAAGATCTTTGCTGACCCAACTTGTATAGAAAATTGTTTAAAATTATAATCCAACTACATGTATTATTAATTCGTACAAATTGTGATTTTGTCACTTTTCTTGGCTTAAAATTTGAATTAACAGACAAAAATGAAAACAGTATTGTCCAGACGTTTGAAATGCCCGAGATGCAACTCCTTAATTCCGATTGCAGATAATGATCATTATATTCTTGTACCTTTTAACCATTTTTGACGTGTTTTCCATGGTGATATGGGTTTTGAACATTATTCTTTATGTTAATTATCGGAAATAGGTCCCTTGGTTTCAAAAGTATAATTTAAATCTCTTCCATGCAGAGTTATTCCTGGCTTCATTAAAGAATCGCACACGAATTGTGAAATTCTTTGATCAAAGTGATAAAAATTCCTTTGCAGACAAAAAAAAACTTCAAGGCAGAGGAGCGAAAACCGAGAGATTTACGTTAGTATGAATTAAAATTAAACTAAGTTTGATCTCTTGTGCTTCTTCCATCCTCCGATGAATGGATTTGCATATAATTTCTGTGAAAAAGATAACCTGCATTTACATGCTATACCTTCTAAGCAAACGAAAGATAAGGTAGGAACTTTATATTATTTGTGAACATTTTCGACAATTTCAATTTTGAAACAAATTAAGACATCCATTGAAAACAGGCTTCGTATTTTAAGGTGTGTCTTATTCCTTTGTTCAATCATTAAAAATGGCTTTGACGCTAATGATTTTCCAAAAGAAATCTAATTTATAATAATTAAGAAAAAGTCACAAACCTTTTATTTTTCTTATTATACAGACCCCGGCTTCTACATAACATGCCTGTGGAACAGTGATATTGATATACATGTATATCCATAATGTGTAATGAAAACAGTTCATATCTGGAAACGGGTTCTAATTCATCGGGGCAGTTCAATGGTTTTAATACTAGTACTAATGAAAACGTGGAAATTACTTCGACACTTGTACAGCGATCTTTAATTGTGTGTTTAGGAATTGTTGTTTTGCTGGAAAATTTGTTAATTCTGATAGCCGCCGCACGGAACAGAAAACTGAGAGAAAACATCCATTATAATCTCGTGTTTTTTCTTTCCTTCAGTGATCTTCTTCTCGGTCTAGATGTGATCTTTTATGGACTTATATTCACAGAAAACAATAGAGGTACCGGGATAAACATGAGTTTAGCCTGTGTTATTCTTTTCTGCCTGTGGTGTATAACGATACAAATGTCCTTAGTACAAATATTTTACATCAGTTTAAATCGTTATCTCGTCATCTCGTCGAAGAAATTAAACCAAATGTTGTGGAATGGGAAACGGAAATATTTATTTTACAGCGTATCCTGGATTGTTATCATAGTCTTGGTCTGTTCTCTAGTTTCGCCTAACAGTGATAAGTGCACTCTGAAATCTATATACGATGATAATTTTTCCATTTTTAAGGGAACGTACTATTCAATGAATTCGCTTTTCTTATTCATGACAGTTGTATTTTATGTGCTTACTTTATGGAACATACATAAAAGATACAAGAAAACGGAGGACAAGGCCAACTTTCCAAATAGCATTGAAAAAACTATGGAACGACTATCTCAAATCAGACGAAAGCGTATTATAAAATCTATGAAACTTTTCAGTATAATAACAATAACCCTCTTGCTACTTTCAGGTCCTATGGCATTCTGGGGCATGTGGTCTACTTTTTCTCGTGTGAGTTATACCGTTTTTTCTTTTGGTGTTATTCTGAATTCTGTCATCAACCCAGTTATTTACTGCTTAAATATAGAGGAACTGAAAAAACAAATAAAATCAATGTTTACGATTCATCAAAATTGATTTAAATTGGAAATGATCTACTGTGAAATCACTAATTTTCGTGGAGGTTTAATTTGCGTTGTTTTCCAGGTATGTAGAGTTCCACGAATTCATGTCCACCACGAAATGTAGAATGTCATAAACAAAAACTACCCACGAAATCAAATCCCCACGAACCCACAGTTTTTCCTCAAACCAAAATTTTACCCCCCACAAAAGTATGTGATTTCACAGTATTTGTATTTTAGGCTATCAAATTGTTCAATATTTTTGCTGGAAATGAATGTGCATTTTCCTTTTCTTTTGTGCATTTGGGAAGGTAATAAAAGAGGATTCATGGAAAAGTTTAATTTTTTGGTAAGTTAAAAAAAAGTAACTTTATGGCTGGAAGGGATCCATGCATATGTTAGCTTCCACTTGTTAATGGATGCTGCAAGCAAGTTCTTATATATGCGTTTTATTTTGTGTACATAAAAAAATTAAAAATTCACATTTGTAGCACTGGTTTTTTCTTAAATAATTTCAAAATAGATTTCAAAAAAATTAATATGATTTATAAATTCTACGAAATTGACAATTATGCATGAAATGATCAGCACTTTAAAGTTCAAAGAACAAAAATATAAATTGTTAAAGCTGTAAAGAATTTATATATTAAGGTTTTTTTTTTGTTTGTTTGTTTGTTTGTTTTTGCTTTGTTTTGTTTTGGGTTTTTCTTCTTTTTCTTTTGGGGGGGGGGGGGGGGGGTATTTCTTCAGTTTCAAAAATTATTTCAAATTTGTAACACGTATTTATTATAAATTTACTTACGTGTAACTAGTTTATGCACAAAAAATTGCTCTTTCTTGGGAGAAAAAAATGCATTTTTTAAAGTAGAAAATACAATAAAAGAGCTAACCTTAATTTGAATTAGATTTAAAGAGGGGAAAACAAGGGATTGTGTTGCATATTGTTTGTTTTTAAAAACTTTTAAATCCGCATATCAATAATTAGGGCTCACGCAGCTTTGACCGGTCTACAGGGGATGCTTCCTTCTCCTAGGCACCTGATCCAATCTCTGGAATTGCCGGGGATCAGTGTTTTATGTCTTGTTCACAGATTTGTATCGTTTGTAGATTTTTGAAATCGATCACTGTTCGTTATCTTCATCTTTTTCATTATAACATATTTCAAAACCCGATAAACAGGTAAATGCTGAAAATACGCAGTGACTTTTATGAAACAAATCATGACATCTTATTTAAGAAGATAAAATGTTAAAATATGTTCAAAGCATCTTTTCTAATTAAAAAAAAAAGGGGGGGGGATCGTAATTATATTTCCATTTTTTCACTACATTTATCAATTTACTAATACTGATTATTTTCTACTAGCTCATTTTTTCCAGAGAGGTTCACATATACACATTGCTTGTTTTTGTTTGTTGTTTAACGTTCCTCTCGAGAATTTTCACTCAAAGGGAGACTCCACCAATTGCCGGTGGAGGGCTGCAAATTTATACCTATACTCGGCACTCAGGACATCGAGCAGAGAGGGATCTTTTTCGTGCCAGCACCTACTGCAACACGTACAGGACCTCGGTTTATACTGTTCATCCGAAGGACCGGTCTCCATGTCCCGCGGATCAACTCCTTACACTGCGACTCTAGAGCAAACGCTCTAACCACTGCGCCACGCGGGCGACCACTGCTTATTTTTAATTATATACTGTAATAGCTATGTTTAAATAATTTGCGCAGTGTATGAACAAGGACTGTCTATCATGTTTGCAACGAGGCGGTAAACCGTACCTGGTTTTCTTGTTTGTCAAAAACTGTATACAGGATTATTTTTGCCCTATACACTTACAAACGATTTCTCCCTGTCTTATATTCGCCCAGACACAGACATTTTAAATGAAAATTGCATGTATGTATACATGTATTTTATTTCTGTTGAATTTGCCCCGTTTCAAAGCCCACTGACTACGTGTACGATTGATTGATTGATTGTTTGCTGTTTTACGTCCCTTTCGAGAATTTTTCTCTCATATAGAGACTTCACCATAAACCGGAAAAGAGCTTCAAATTTAGACTTCATTAGTCGGCACTCAAGACCAATGAGCTGTGCGTGTTCTTTATCGTGCCAACATCTACCATGACATGGGAACTCGTTATTAAAGGTCTTATCCGAAAGAATCATGACTTTCACATCTAATGCCGGGCACTTGGCGAAGGAACAGTCACTACCTAATATGTTTACGTATTAGGTTTGACGTACCTACTGTCTACGAAGGCGAAAACGGAGGCGATTTTTTTCTCGTACAATGTCTTTGCAATGTTGGAAACTTTTGTTCCAATACATAACTTTCTGAAGAAAGAAAACTTTTATTTTTACAGCATCATAATATTCATTTCATTGTTATCTTTATATCTATATCTATCAAACATATGTAAACTTCATCATTACAATCATAATTCCAATAGATTTCGTATTGTTAGGTGGAACATTATTCTTATTTGGAGACTTTCGACTGCTTGACGTTACATCTGAGTGCAGTGGTCTTCAGTGTTTTTCAGCTAATTATACATTTTCCTACAGTCGTCTTTGCTTGCTACGCATGGTTTTCCCAAACGCATTGACAATCTGAAAAGAAATCGACAGTTGATAAATGTATATACCTGCAAAACGAGGGATATATAGATAAATTCTAATGCATTAAGGTTTTAATAAAAATACTTTCTTGGCAGAAAATTTCATGCAGAAAGGCTATACTTCTGGTATTCTATCTCTCTTTGCTCTGCCTTCCAGGCCAGATGTATGTCTTTCATAAATGAAATGATTAATAACCAAGTATTTGTTAGAAATGACACGCTATTGTATATATCGACATTAAAAAAGGAGTTGAAATATTGGCGCTTTACATTTTGGCTGATTTTCATATTTAATACCCTGTATGTTAACTCTGTATAAACATTATGGAAATGTTGGCGCTTTACTTTTGGCGAATTTTTTAACCCGCCAAATAAACCAACATTAGCATCGCGCCAAAATTACCCGATAAACGGTATATTAATTGCTAGCCAACAGATTGCCACTTACTGATGTCATATTAGCGCCATCTACCGTCCTTGTCAGTTTGTACTCTCTCCAGGAGTCATCGTTCTTGATTTTCATGTCCTCTTGAATTTCATTATCATTAACAACAGTTACAGTGTTCTAGTGTATAGAAAAATTCATATGGTACAATTAATTCAACAAATCAAATAAATCGTTTATATAAAACATTTCTTTAAAAAAAAAATTGCTACATCCATTGATTAAAAGTTAAAAAAAAAATTGTTCCAATTATTTGTATCTAGACTAAAGATTCAGCACAATGCACCTGTTAATTAAAATTAATAATTCGTCAGGAATTAAGCACCAATCTACATGTATATACATGTATGTGTTCATTCCAATTCTGGTTAAATATTCATAGGGTGACTATCATGTAACCAACCCTGATCTCTTTGCCATCTAACCCAGTGTCGCAGAATTCCTTTCCACTTTCATATGTGTAAGATTTTTCCTTTCCTGGAAAAAATGTGCTGGACAGATTTAGTGTCCACGTATTTCCGTTTATGCTGTACTTCAGTGTATATTTTGTGCCTCGAAACTTCTCCATCATTTCTTCACTAAAACCTGTAAATGTGTCACAAAACATTCTTGACATTTTTTTTTCAAATTAAATACAATACAATATTTGACCAATACAATATTTATTGGCGTAAACACAATTACAATAATTGACAAAGGCACAACATATAAGAATCATCAATTGTTCATACATTTATACAATATCAATTAATTTACTGATGCATAAATTATGTAGTTTATGTACAGATTATTATCTCTCTGATCAAATTCACTCAGGTGCTTGAACCAACTATACTTTTAGATTACTTGCCAAACGCCTTATACCAACGAGTCATGTGCTCCAAATTCAACGTATGATAAAGATATAATCAAGCTCTGTAAATCTTACCCATGGCTTTAGCAAATTCCTCGTACCCCTCCCTTTCTCCAGTATCCTCCCAGGTACCTACAAAGTTTGCCATCTTCTTTCAGCGTCCAGAAAATCAGATTCTCAACCAAACCTAACTATATAAAGCCAGCTTTGTGGCTGAACGTGGTATTTCTCAATCCAAGCACGTTCTTTACATTTATTTGCTTACTTTTGTTCTGAACATGCAGGCATGCAGTGGTTTGAATTAATAGTGTATTTAAATATGTGGAGATTTTGGTATTTAAATTCAACGATCGGCTGTGTGCGCGAATATCGACTAGTTAGAAAAAAAAGAGTCAGTAATTAGGACTAAGCCGGGGTCAGTAAGCCGGACTAATCTATATACTACAACTGGACATAAGTGGACAGAAGCAGATTTCAAACAAGTTAAATTCATGATTCTGACACCTGTAGGGGCGAGGGAAAGGAAACAAAATTTAAATGATGATTAAACAAATTCGGATACGAAATGAGATTAAATGATTAGAAAAATAAAATTATTCAGAAAAGTTCCGGTTAGAGGTATTAGCTGAAACTTATGTGGAAGCTTCCCAACATGCTGTTGGGTACAGAAATGTAGCATAGAATACTCAAACAAACTAGCGTAGTGTTTCCTACACACAGCAAATATCAAAAGTAGGACATCTTAAATCACACTTTTTCATGCCCCAACTTTCACTCATGTTCCAAAAGATGAAACTCTAAAAAATCGCTTTTCAGGTTTAAATATTTTAACAAAAAGATTCCAGTCAATGGATTCTGAAGTGATTTTGATTTACCATAACTATACTGGATTCCAAAATATAATAAAACTACCTACAGACAAAGATACATGCATTTCAGGATCGAACTTTTTTTTCAAGATCAGTAACATCAAAACGTATTACTTTCCTGCACTTTATACAACTATTCCTCAAGATAAACTACAAATCAGATTTTTTGACAAAATATACAATTGTTTCTTAACACTTTAATATATTTAATGGAACTCGGAAATGATTGATTTATACCTAAAAACCTTTCTGATTCAACACATGTACACCGAAGTTGACATTAAAAAGATGCCGGAGTTCCTCATTAACAATATCTGTAGGCTTTGGAGACCATGTCCTCCAAAAATATGTTGGAAATTCGATGGGTAGTAATTGTGCTCTTTCATTAGCCGACCTGTTTTTAAATTACTATGAAGCTGATTTTATTCAAGAACTTCTACACGAGAAGAATAAAAAATCTCGACATTTAGATTTATCGACGATGTTTTACCAATTGACAATAATTACATGTACATGTATTTTCCTTCATATGTCTACTCGATATGTGCATGTGAGCTTAAAATAAAAGGCACCACATATTTAAATGTTTTACTGACTAAAGACCTTAATTGCTGCATGACAGACGAGATTTCCCATCGTCAACTTCCATTATCACTTGCATATGGTGTTTATATCTCCCAGTTGTTCAAGTTACTCAAGAGCATGTCCCAAGTATTTTCAATTTTTAAACTGATGCAGGCTACTGACAAATAAGCCGATGTTACATGTTATCTTCACCTTTTCATGCAAATTCAGAATTTCAAAAACCTACATACATCTACGAGACATGGACAGCCATATGAAAATATATTTCTTCTGCTACCTATGTGAAGTTTGTAGTAAAATTATCAATGGCATAATTGGTCAATAACTGTCTTAAATCTGGAGTACATCATGTATCATATCGTGGACACCGTCAAATTTTGAAGCTGGCTAAACATCCAATGTACAAGAAAGCAACTGTGATGTCATAATTAAGGGTCCTTGTGTCAAATATAAAATAACTTTGTAGAAAATTTGTGGTTTTCCCCCAATGTATTCCTCAAAGAGAAAATTTCAAAAACTACTGTAACAAGAATTTAATGCATTGGCCACAAAATAATACCAAAACCTCAATAAATTACAATTATATCCATCCAGAGATAATGCTTTGCATAATAAAGAACTCCGAAAGGGATAAAAGTGCATGACGATATTCAGAAGATTGCAAGAAAAAAAATCTCCTCTCCATTCATGTGAATTATATACCGACTCCGTGTCGCAGTGGTTAGAGCGTTTGCTCTCAATGCCTGCCCAGGGGAAAGGGGGGGGGGTAAAAAACATTTTTTTGTTACATTGGAATATTAGGGGATAATTACTTATGGAAAATGAACATGGCCATATACATGTATAATCCGCCAGTTTACAGTTCTATTGTAATCAAGTACGAAAATATGTTTTTTTTAACTTTTCATCCTACTGTAGATATCTTCATCTTTGATCATTCCAAAAGGGTACTAATTGTGTACCTTTATTAGCAGACCTTTTTCTGTCTGTCTCCCAGCTGGTTCGATACGAAATAGCATGTTCTGTGCAGAATCAATTTCTAAACTTCGGCAGGCTGCTGACAAATATGTTGTTGCTACAAGGATATCAACAATCTCTTTCAAAGTCAACATTTCGCAAATTCTTTGTTCGATGCAATCCCTTAAGTCTAATGCTGACTGACGTACGAGTTAAATACAACTTAGCTGGTTGTTGCCAGTTTAAGGCTGTAAAATGCTTCCGGTTTAAGGTTACTGAACTATAATACAATACAATACAATAATTTCTATAGGATATTATATAATAAAGAAACTCTAGTGCGCTTAACATTAAAATACATATAAGCACACAAAATGAAGAACAAAATACTTTTTAAAAAACAAGATGTGTTTGTGAAACACTGATGCCTCCGTATGGCAATTTATAGCGAAGGTTAAACTTTCTCAAATGCATTTCAAACATATTGGTACCCAAAGTAAGGTCTTGTACCTAGGAATATACCTGTGAAATATGAAAGCCCTAACAGCAACCATTATAAAGATATGGAAAAGGTTAAAGTTTTCCAAAAGTGAGTCAAACGTCAAGGCCAATGGGCTATAATATTTGGTATCTAAAGAAAGGTCTTGTTACAAGGATTACACATGAGAGGAATGAAAGCCCTAGCACTAACAGTTCAAAATTTATGACCAGGGTTAAAGTTTTCAAAAAGTAGGTCAAACTCCAAGGTCAGGGTCAAAGGATCAAAGTTGTTGGTATCCAAAGAAGGTCTTGTCACATGGATTACATATGTGAAGAATGAAAGCCCTAGCACCAACCGTTCAAAAGATATGGCCAATGTTAAATTTTTCAAAAGTAGGTTTAATTCGTAGGTCAAGGTCAAAGGGTCAAAGTTGTTGGTATCCAAAGGAAGGTCTTGTCACAAGGATTACACCTGTAAAGTATGAAAGCCCTAGCATTAACCATTCAAAAGTTATAGCCAATGTTAAAGTTTTTCAAAAGTAGGTCAAACTCCAAGGTCAAAGGGTCAAAGTTGTTGAATATCCAAAGGAAGAACTTGTCACAAGGACTACACATGTGAAGTATGAAAGCCCTAGCAACAACCGTTCAAAGTTATGGCAAAGGTTAATGTGGGGAAATTTTTTTGTAAAACTGGGTCAAACTCCAAGGTCAAGGTCAAATATGATAGTACCCAAAGAAAGGTTTTGTCACAAGGAATACACATATGAAATATGAAAGCCATAGCTCCAACCAATCAAAAGTTATGAGCAATGTTAAAGTTTTTGCGGACAAACAGACAAACAGATAGACAGACAGACGGGCGGACAGGGCAAAAACTATATACCCCCGAATCTTCGATACGGGGGCATAAAAATGCATATGCATGTGCGTAAAAAAAAAAGGCTAACTAAAAGGCCTCATATACTATAACATAAAATGTTTCTAGTGTACTGAAACACTGCGCGGAAGTCCCTAATATAAAATTACAACTATATTGAAACGTTTAAAATTTAAAAGAGCCTGTACTAATGAGTTAAACACAAAATTCCTAAGAGACCTTATAACCAGTTCAATGTTCAATTTTTCGTAAATCACTAAAAATACAATATTTACATTCTGTCATAGGCAAGTTCAAAGAGGTGAGTTTTAAGACCTTTTTTAAAAGCGGAGACGGATTTGGATTTTTTAAGACATGAGGGTAGAGAGTTCCAAAGCAATTTTTGAAACTCACGGTAGAATTATATAGACATGCAGGGCTGACTGCTAGTGAAAGTTGTCAGCCCTGCCAAAACTCTACTAGCCCGAAAAAAAGAGTCTTTTATAAAGATGTTTTTAGCGATAATGTGAATGGGACACGATCACCATAATTTCCATCCCAAATCTATAGGCTGTCGAATTCTACCCCTTTTGCTTGTTACACTTAGCTACCGATACTATTAGTTGATTCCAGAGATTTTTATCAAATATATGAATTTTAATTTATGGCAGATTTTAACAGGTCCAGGCGGCCGTTGATACGTGCAAATGTGTTCGTCTCGGGCGGTCGGGCGCACGGTTATTTCAAACACTGTAATCTAAATCTACTGCATTAAGGTATGTCACTCGTCAGCCTTTTAGAAAATTTCAGTCAGAACCTCTTACTTAAAAACTATTTATTACAATTCAATCTTTATAACATGTTTAAATTAAACAATGTAAAATGTTCAACATTCAATTAAAAAACTGCTCAAAAATTCACAAAGAAGCAAGATTTATAAGGGACTATTTCTTGTGGCGGAAGGATATTTAGCTGAAAATTCTGCAAATCTACACATTTATTAAATTTAATATCTTGGAACTTTAGCCTCACATACTTTTACTCAGAGAATATTTTCCATTATGATATGCCTGGAATATTAAATATAGGTCTCAATTTATATTTTTATAACAAAATTTACACCTTCGCTAAACAAACATTGCCAAGAAATGAATATATATCAAGGAAGTTGAGATGAAATTTACACAGTTTTTTTGCCTGAAAATCGCATATTTTGACCAATATTTCAAAATTTACATCACTGACCCCAACTTTTTCTTTCATTATTTTAAACTACTCGATACTTTCGACCGATCAGCACTTAAGTCGTAAAAAGTTTGATACAAGAAAATATTCTATTGCCTATTTAGATTTTTAATACCCCAAATATGAGACTTTTTTAGTGCAAAAAGGTCACACAAAAATTTATGCGCATTAATTTGCATGATTTGTTCAATGATGAATGTTATTCAAACTATTTTACGTAAAATAAGATTATGTTTATTGCCATGTTTACATCTTATAAAATATGATAACGGTTAAAGTGATTAACCAAAGAGTTACAATTTAGGTGCAAAAAGGTCAACTTAATTGTACCGTAGCTCAGTTAGATGCACACTGACCCCCCATTTTCTCTGCGATTTTGAGTCATACTATATGAGTACTTATCCAAAATATACTTCTCAAAAAATCCTTGATATAACAAATTTCACGAGTGACATACCTTAAGGTCTGACGACACGTTCCTCAAATATCTGTTTTGTACCACTGTGTAAAATATCAAAAATTATTCATAATTGTCATTCTCTTGTGATTTCTAATTTTTGTCAAAATGTCTTAAAAAATAAGTACATCAAAAATTGTAATATTGGCAATTCAAAGGATTACCAAAAGGATTATATAGGAAACACCACCCTCTGGTATCTTGCACAAATGTCTGGTAAGGTACCTCAATTTTTTGTGATGAAACTTTTTAAAGTAGCAATACTTCAAAGACAAATTATTTGGAAAAATTATATATTATTGAGGAAAGTGTCGTCTGACCTTAAGAAATGGTACTGTCAAATGTAAGATATAGACACAACAACACATAACCCTAACGCTACGTAAACAACAGGACAGTTCCATACAAAACAAAATCAGTAATTTACATAATTCATTTTTATTAAAATATCAAGTGACTCTCTCCATAACGTATAACAATATCACTGGACAAAATTTTACCCAAGATATCCAAAAAAAAAAAAAAAAAAAAAAAAAAAAAATTAAAAAAAGGGCTTTATAACATTGGTATAAAGCTCTCAGAAGACAATTATTAGTATTGTCCTTTCTATCCATACAATATCCTCTTTCTTTTTAATTTAAAAACATCAATATCTCAAAGTTATTCAGTCCAAATTGAACACAATTTTCTACAAAAACAAAATCTATGTACTTGCAAAGGTCTGAAGACCTGAAATGTAGACATTAATTATGTACATAATGGGTTTAACACATCATATCATGAAAATTCAATTCTGTTTGTTGAATAAGTAACTTTTTTTTTGTCTAACCAAAGGGCCGGATATACATGTATTCAAATAATTTATTTTCATAGATAACAGTGTAAAATGACTTTCATAGAATGTGTAACTGTTTCTTGGCAAGTTTATATGGAAAGTGAGACCACAGATGACAATTTGTACATATATCTTATGCCATTTTTATGACATCAAACAGTATTTAATACAGTTATTCATAATTTGCCCACAAACCCCACTTTGCAGAAGAATCTTTTTAAGTGCAATTTGCAGTTATATGTATATGTAGCCTAGCAGAACATGGTTTATCACCCAAAGTTAATAAAACAGATACATTTCAACAAAGCATTCATTTGAAATACATTTTTATGTTGTATCACATTTCATCAACTTCAATGATTATAGGGAGGGCGGGTATAAAGGTGCCATGAGTACACCAAGACAATACAAATCTGTTTATAATAAAAATATATAACAATCACTGAAAACTTTAAAATGTTAAGAAGACAGCGTGGGCAAGAAAGCTACAGTGAAAAAAAGCTACTTGGAACAAGGCTATTTGTATGTCTATAGTACTATTTACAAGTCTATTATGATCAGTGCAAGTTACATTTTCCTAAAAAATCAAAGTTTCAAGTTAAGTTTTGCTCTTGTATTTTTTTCCAGATCAAACCCTTTCTTAATGTTACCAACCAAAATTAATGTTTATATTGAGAAATTGTTTTAAAAATATAATAAAATATATCTGTCCTTTCTGTAGACAATAAACTTAACTAAGGCATACACGATATGTAGAGTTTGCTATAAGAACAATGCTGCTTGTAATCATGTATTTCTAAAGCTGATTCCACATTATTACTGAAAACTATTTATTTACTTATCATTTCTTTTTCATCACAGGCCATAATTCATACCCAAAAAAAGAAAGAAAGAAAACAAATATATGTCCTATTGATTGTGTGTCTTTTACACTTTTCTCAATGTTAAATTTTATTTTCTTATTTTTTCAGTTTATGAAAAGCCAAATATAAAATTTCAATGCCGTAGAACCCATCCATATCAGATGGCATATATTAAAGAGATACACTGATTATGAATCTGAGCAATAGGCCGACAATAACATTAATCTGTAAGCTGCACATGAAACAAAACATTAAATATTGTAAATATATAAAACAAAACACACGAGATCCTACAATCATAGATAAGAACCTTCACGCTTTACATCAATTTATAAAAAAATCTCTCTCTTAATAAAATACACTAAATGCTTAGTAAGGTGCCTTGCAAAATGACAGGAATATACGTAAGACAAATATATTTTTTTATTCCGTTGCCTTCAATTCCCTTTCTGTACAAAAATATTGAAAATGACGGTCCCTTGGTCACTACATGCGGAATAAATGTCCTGGCGCGGATCCGTAACAGCTAAATGCATGTTCACGTTAGCACTGTTTGACCAAAACAAGAAATCTGAGCAATCCCTGTACAGCTAAGGACTATCCCTCCTTCTGACAATAAAGTTCTTTTAACGCCTTCAATTCCTCGATTAATGTCTTGTTTTGATTCTCTAGAACAGCTACTCTGTTTTCCAAACATTTCACATAGTCTTTCTTTTTCCTCCTACATTCCCGTGCTGCTTCTCTGCAACAAACACATACTATAAATGTAGATATTTCTACACACTAAAATTTTGCGATTTCCATGAAATAAAGCATTAGTCTGAGGGTTTCATATGGGAAATTAAAGAATTCACAAAGCATGCACTTTGTCCCGGGGGTAAAATACTCTGGGAAACTTTTCTTATTGCAAAATTGGAAAAAATTTCCCAAAGGAATCATTTCAAATTTAACAGTTTTGTAATTCTTAACAGGTCGTAGAGACAATATATGCAAATAAAGTCAGTGAATAGATTTAAAGATGTGTCTCTCACAAGATAAATAAATTGATTTTATTTCCTTTTGTGTTTTACAGGATTTATTAAACAGTTACATTGACACTTTATTAACTTTTTATTCTCTGCACTACTACATACACATGAATACACTGAACATCAGTTCAGGATAAAAATCCCCCAAATTATACCTGTTTTTCAGAAGCCTTAATTCCCTCTTCCTTGAAGCTTCTTCAGACAAATTCTGAGGACTTGACATTGGACTTCCTGTCGTTGCCATAACAACCCCCTGGGGTAAAGCCCCGGATGTGGCAATCTGATAGGCCTGGACTGTTCCTGACATATCTGTGAAGAATATAGTTTTTTTCTCTATTAAATTATACATTAATTTTTAAATCACTTCATTACCTTGCTTGAAATTTCAAATTTCTATTTTTCTCTTTTTAATAAGATATTTGTTTTGTTTTGTTTTTTTTTTTGCAACATGTAGGGTGAGCTAACCAAGCATCAGACACATACCTTGCTTCAGACAACTTTATGCAATAAAATTGCATCAAATCTGAATGTCTACGAGTTTTGACTTGTTTCTCTCTTAAAGCCGAAGATATAATCTTTTAATGATGCTGATTTTTTATTACAGTCAAACTTAGTTATCTTGAACTTGATGGGGCCGAGAAAAAACTTCCGAGACATTGAGGATAAAATACTTTTTAAAAAAGTGCTTGGGACTTCCAAATCACATTGACATATCCATGGCATTCAAGATACCAGTGTTCAAGAAGAAAAGTTTCAAATTACCAGGAATACCATCGAGTTTTCAAGAAAAATTTTCCTACTTTTTTTGGTTGTTGTTTGAAGGGGTTTACCTAAACATCTTGTTTGTTCTAAATTTCAGTTCACTAATAGCATGTCTATGATGAATTCAGTACAGTAAAACACACAACAAAGTGCCAGGGATGGACAATTTTGCTTCGTTATAAAACATAATTTGATATATCCGTTAAGATCACATGGTATTTTAGAGGCATCGGGAATAAAAATCACATTGTTGTAAGTGTCAATTCATTATAAGTGGGTTCACTATATGCCTGTTTTACTGTATAATTGTGCTTATGAGGGTTTAATCTGAAAGCGTAATCTACCAGAGTCCAGCTTACCAGGGATGTAGAACTGGCCATCAGGACCTTGTGCGTACTGTACAATGGTTGCCCCTGTAGCTGCCGAGGTAGTTGAGGGGCTTGCATTTGTCATCGTCAGTGTCTGTAACCCTTGGGACACTGCCACACCGTCCGAGTTTCCAGAAATCTGTATCGTTCCTGCAGGCAGTACTGAAAATGTTTATCAGATTTTAGATTGATATTCAGATGTCATTTGCAACACTGGCTTGGGGTTTTCCCTAAGAACCATCTACTGGCCAAATTGACCACTTCCAATTGATAAAAATGCCACTTAAAAATCAAAAAAAAATTAAAATTAATTGTTGCAAGGTCCATAGAGATTTTGTTGATAAACCTTAACCCCTAGCTTCTTACAATTGATCTCTTCACCCTTTACTTTGAAATAAAGGGAAAACACTGTGGCTGTGATGTTATTTTTGACGGAATCATTGGTGTCATGAAGGCATGAAAATCTATGTATCAGGTTTAATCGTTTGCAATTTTAAAAATAAAAGTAAAACACTTACAAATAACATCAATTTATATTTGTTCAAATAATTCCTTTTGTTAGATGTATTAGAACAGTCTATAGGTTGATCTCAGTTTATGTATTTTATTGTGTTAAATTTGAGTATTCAAATAAGGTTTTTAAATTAGGTATAAAGTGCAGCGCCTGATTCAGGCGGCCTGAATAAACTTAATGCCTAAATGCATATTAACTATTCATATGAACGAAAATGATGGAAAAAATATTCAACTGTTTCAGTTTTAAATCTGCATTATTAATTTAATTTTTAGCTCTAAACTGTTTGACTGAAAATCCCATGAGTTGTGAAAACGACTGACTTATGATTATCCCAAACCTGACCCTAATTAAATTTGTGACTAGTCATACCTTGCTGGTACTGAACCCCTGATAAGTTGGAGGCTCCCTCGGGGGAATCCCCGTCCTGACTCTGACTACTGTTGGACTCCTCTTCTATTTTTGACACTGCCACTGGGGAGGAAAGTTCATTCAAAATTTTCCTGCAAAAATTAAAACAGCAAATTCAGTAATGTGTGAAGTAACAAGCAAGCATAGGGTAAATCATGGATTCTATCCAAAAACACAGGTTTGATTCAATATCCTCAATCATGACCAAGAAAAGACTAAAATCTATTACATGTTATACCAAATATGGTTATTAGCTGAGAACTTACTTTAATTTATGAATGTAAACATTAGATTATCAATGGGTGAAATCTTTTTGTTGAACAACGCAACATTCATAACAGAATTGACCAAATTTTCATTTCGATATACAGTGTACATCAAATTACTCCCATTTAGAAATTACAAGTGAACTATCAAAAAAAATCTGGAATAATTTGTAAGTGCTGGTATATTTAAACCCCAAAGCTACTAAGGAATTTGTTTAAATCAGTTAATAGCTGAAAATGGCTTATGTGAACAAAATTAAGGAAGTGTTGTTAGAATTCATCAACAACTGTTGGACAACAACATGGTATATTTATTATGCATTAAGTTTTTACCTGTATGATGGCCTTCTTGAAAGCATTTCACGCCTTTTCTTGTTTTCAGAATCATCTGACAAATCTTCATCTACTGGTGCCACCTTCAAAATCAAATCTTTTTTAAAAATGGGATAAAATGACAAACCAGAGTCCTAAAGGACTATACAGTCATCAGAGTATTCAAGTCAATATAAATTAATATTCAAATAAATGTAAAATAAATCTTGAAAATAAAACAATGAATACATGAAACTTCATTATTTTCCAGTATTTCCATCTTATTATATATTATATACAAATTTCCCTGTGTCCTGGGAAATGTAAATATTTCTCACTGATTTTCCCACCCTCATTTAGAGTGTTCAACCAGTAAATAATAGCCGATGCAATATTGTACAAACTACGAACACTTTACCCCCCCCCCCCACTTTCTTCACCCCCACAACACCAATTTGGTTCAATGTAGTGCTGTACAATGACAAATGGTATATACGTACTCGAACCACTTGGATGGTCTGTACATTAGGACCAGCTGTCTGAATGACTGATGGGGTGTTGGAATGAATGACAGACTGGACTTGAATGGGCTGGCTCAGTGAGGGCATATGTACCATAGATATTCCAGAACTGGTCTCTAAATCTGCTGCTTGTGAAGAACTTACTTCTGTCATCTCTGTTAAACAAACAAAAAAAAAAAAGTCATCATATTTCAGTCTAAATTCACCAATTAAATAAGTACAATCTCTCACAAATTCGTTAAATCCATTTTTTTTTGGGGGGGGGGGGGGGGGGGGGAGGTTTCAAAACAAACATTGTCATCAGAATGCCTTTCTTTTATCCTCTTCACAACACTGTTTAATAAAACAGAATATATGAACATATAATACAAAAAACTAAATTTATATAAAGGACAAATGGATAATTTTTTTTGGAGTATCAATACATTTCTCAGTGTTATACCATAATTAATGAAATTTCTAGAAGTTTCACTCTTGTCTTTATCAATCCTCAAAGAAACAAAAAGCCTTTTAAAAAGGTCTTTGTGACAGTCCAATGAGCCATCATTTCTCTTTTTAATTTTTTTTTTCATCATCTTCTTCACTTTATTGGCAAAATTTTCCAGAAGTGCAATTTTTGTTTTGCTCATTTTTAATAATTTAAAGTGGAAAAATAAATATCTCACTACAGACTGACTACAATATTAGTATTTCTTCATTTTACTAAAATGTTAGGCCAAAATAAAATTATTGTTTGTTTGGAATTGCATCCTGCGTCATTGATATGACCCCTCCTGAAAAAAAAATTATTGGCCAAAAATAAGAACATTTTTTTAATCAATGGCCTGTTATCGCATACACCACCAAAACACTTAATGTAGTGTCAGATCTATGCAAAATCTGGGTTCTTGATTGATGGGAGTTACTTTTTTTTTTTAAAGTCAGAAAATAATTTGTTCATTGTTTATTTAGCTTTTTATTTAATAAAAAAAAATTGACTTCATTAAAAAGAAAAAATTCCCTCCCTCCTGGGTCTGAAACCCTCCAGGCGGCAATTCCAAACAAAACTAGATGCTGTCATGAGACAGTAATACCCGCACTAAGGTGTTTGCCTCAAATGCACACTCCTTCATATTGGGCCTACCAAGGAAAAAGTCAAAATAATTCTATAATTTACACAGTACATGTATTTGTCAAATCGAGCATAAAATGCTCTGGTGACCATGTGACCTATGAGCCTCTTATAGGTATTTCCTTTACTTAATTCATTACCAGTCTGAAATAACAGAATTTAATTAATGATGTAAATTAGGTTTTGATAAAAGGGGGGATATAAATTTTTGGCCCATAATTAAACTTTCTAAATTTATTTTCTCAACAACAAATAATATTATTTTAGTACAAAGCGTTTTTAATGAATTTATCAAAATGTGCAAACTTTTTTTTAGTATTCAATTAGGCAAAAACCCTCTTGAAAAGTCATACCCAATCAATTTTGTCACCCCCCCCCAAAGCCCCAACACACAATTTGCCTGTTTTTGGAATGAGGCCTAGATGGCAAAGTTATGTTAAAAACATCGTTTGTTATGATAATTTAAAATTTGTTCTTGTACTATACATGTATGTAAACACCTTTTTGAAAATTTCTTCATCACATTGGGCTTGCGTCACCCTACTTGTACTAGTTTTACCATTATCATTTTTAGATTGCACATGCATTCGGCAAGCCTTGGCTGATTCCGTCACTGTTAGAACGTTAGATAAGGTACGAATCGGCCGAGGTGTGCCGAGTGATTGCAGTGGTGAAAACATCATTACAATTTACATTATTTTCTTTGATCCTTTTTAAACTTTAACCTAACCATTTGCATTTCGGTTTATTTTACCCCAATCTAGACTTAAATTTGTACTTACCGACTTTCATAGGTCCTGTCAACTTCATGAAATATAATCCAATTAAAACACAAAATGAATTTACTTTCTTTTACATAGACTTAGTGTAGATTCAAATTTGTTCAAATTATGACCCACTGGGGTAGGGTGGGGCCACAGGATGGGATGGGGATCCAAAGATTTACATAGTAAAATGCAGGAGATTTTTTCCATCATAAATCTTCTCAAGAACAGCAAGGGCACTATTGTCCCCCGTTTTCGTGAAAGGGACTTAGGGGACATTAAATCTCATTTGTCTGTAAGTCTGTTTGTCAGTCTGTCCGTCTGTCACAATAAATTTAACCTTGGTGAGGTCATAACTTTTGAATAATAAGAGATAGGGCTTTCATATTTCAAATGTACATAACCTACAAGAACTTTCTAAATATACAATGATCTTTGAACCCATGACCATGACCTTGAAGTTTGACCTACTTTTCAAAAAAATTAACATTATTTTAAATTGATCATTTAGAAAGAGAAAAGATAGGGCATTCATATTATACATGTATATTACCTGTGACAAGATCTTTCTAAATATATCACGACTTTTGACTCTGTGACATTGACCTTGAAGTTTAACCTACTTTTCAAAAATGTTATATTTCCTTATAACTTTTGATTGAGAAGACATAGGACTTTCATATTTGACATGTACATTACCTGTAACAAGATGTTTCCGAGCATGCTATGATTTTTAACCCTTGACCTTGATGTTTTACCTAATTTTCAAAAATTTTAACTTTGGTGATTACTTTTGAAACAATATCCCATCCACTAAGACATGGAAAGCAGGGGACCCAATTCTTTGAATTTGCTTGTTAGTCATTTTGATATGGAAACATCCTCATATAGTGTAGATTAAAGTTTTTTATGCCCCTCCATGAATATGGCCGAGGCATATAGTGTTTGTCATGTCCGTCTTACATCCTTCCATCCTTCTGTCTGTCCTTCCATCTGTCCTTCTGTCATGCTTTGCTTTTAGCTCAGTTCAAAGCTCAGTTTCAAAGAAACCATCCAAGATATATATTTTTATCAAACTTCATATGCTGATAGATATTGATAAGAGCTATGCAACTGCATCAACATTTTTTAACCTTGACCTTTCCTTTGACCTGGACTTCACTTTTCTTAAACTAGTGTTTAGCTCAGTTTTAAAGATAACATTAAAGATAGTGTAATCAAACTTCATTTGTTGATGCATACTGATGTAAGCTATTCAACTGCATCAACATTTTTGACCTTGACTTTTCCTTTGACCTTGACTTCACTTTTCTTTAAATTAGCGTTTAGCTTAGTTTTAATGAAATCATTCAAATTACTGTAATAAAACTTCATATGCTGAAACATACTGATGTAAGCTTTTCAACTGCATCAACCTTTTTGACCTTGACCTCGCTTTTCTTAAATTAGTGTCTAGATCAGTTTTGAATAAACAATTCAAGATATCTTTATCAAACTTCATATGCTGATACATACTGCTTAGAGCTATGATTATCATCAACTTTTTTGACCTTGACTTTTCCTTTGACCTTGACTTCACTTTTTTAAGTTAGTGTTTATCTAGACTACGTTTTAAATAATCCATTTATGATATTTTTATCAAACTTCATATGCTAATAGTAAATACATACTGATGTTAGCTTTTCAACTGCATCAACGTTTTTACCTCAATCTTTTCTTTGACCTTGACCTCTCTTTTCTTAAATAAGTGTTAAGCTCAGTTTTAAATAAATCATTCAAGATATTTTTATCAAACCTAATATGCTGATATGTATTAGTGAGAGCTATTCAACTGCATCAAAAACTTTTCACCTTGCACTTTCCTGTGACCTTGACCTCCCTTCTCTTTAATTTGTGTTTTTCTTAGTTTTAAAGAAACAATTTAAGATATTTTTATATAAGCATGCACTTATACATAATTTGGTGAGAATTTATCAACTATATCCAATTGTTTTTAGATTTTAGTTTCAATTTTAAAGAGACTGTTCAAGATATATTCTCATCAAACTTCATACACTCATACAAATTTTCATGTTGCATTAGTAATATACATTCGGCTGGGCATTCATGTCCTATGGACATATTTCTAGTTTTCAAATCATGACCTCCAAGGGTAGGGTCAGGCCACAAGAAGTTTTGTATATAGGAATAAAAGGGGAAAAATCTTCAAAATTCTTCTTTTCAAGAACAAGAAGAGCATGATTAATATGGAAACATTCTGAAGAAGTGTAGATTCAATTAAGTTTGTACACATCATGACCCTATGGGTTAGGGAGGGGCCATTTTTTTCCTGCCCCTATTTGCCATCCACATGGAAATGCAAATTTTGAAACCATTTTACACATCCACAGGACAAAACCAATCATTTTCAAAATGATCATGATTTAAGGCTAATGCATAAAATATTAGGGAAGTTCTGGGAACCAGGGTGTTTAAACATGTTAAATATTTAAAAAAAAAATTGAACCCCACTGTGTAAAATGTAAGAGGAGTTCAGGGAACCAGGGGCTTTTTGCATAAAAAACGTCATTTTTCGACCCCCATTAGACCCCAGGGTGAAAAAGGAAAATTCCGAAACCTTACTGCAATCTACATGACACCACCAACCATCTCCCAAAAGATGATTAGGCTACTGTGTAAAATGTAAGAGGAGTTCAGGGAACCAGGGGCTTTTTGCTTAAAAAACGTCATTTTTCGACCCCCATTTGACCCCCAGGGTGAAAATGAAAATTCCGAAACCTTACTGCACATCTACATGACACTACCAACCATCTCCCAAAAGATGATTAGGCTACTGTGTAAAATGTAAGAGGAGTTCAGGGAACCAGGGGCTTTTTGCTTTAAAAACGTCATTTTTCAACCCCCATTTGACCCCCAGGGTGAAAATGAAAATTCCGAAACCTTACTGCACATCTACATGACACCACCAACCATCTCCCAAAAGATGATTAGGCTACTGTGTAAAATGTAAGAGGAGTTCAGGGAACCAGGGGCTTTTTGCTTAAAAAACGTCATTTTTTGACCCCCAGGGTGAAAATGAAAATTCCGAAACCTTACTGCACATCTGCATGACACCACCAACCATCTCTCAAAAGATGATTAGGCTGCTGTGTAAAATGTAAGAGGAGTTCAGGGAACCAGGGGCTTTTTGCATAAAAAATGTCATTTTTTGACCCCTATTTGACCCCCAGGGTGAAAATGAAAATTCCGAAACTTTACTGCACATCTACATGACACCACCAAACATCTCCCAAAAGATGATTAGGCTACTGTGTAAAATGTAAGAGGAGTTTAAGAAAGAAAGGTGTGACAGACGGACGGACGGACGGACAGACATGAGTAACTACAATATACCCAAACTTTCTTTAGAAAGTGCGGGTATAAAAATTATTTATGATGCCTTATGTTTGTCATGTTTATCAATATTTTAGGTTTGCATGTGGCTACTTTTTCTGAATCAATATACATGTATCAATACCAATATTTCATCAAGGACTAACCGCTACAAATTCAAAACCCAATCAGGATTTATTTGCCATATATATTTGTGAGCAACAGCTATGCTGACAGCTGTTTATTAAAGGAGAAAATTTCTTTGTACATGTAGGCCTATTTGTGTTTTCCTTGAATATTTGTAAAATTTAAATTCATTTTTTCATATCTAATAGTATGAAAATAGCCTCTATTATACAAAACAAAAGTTTATTTCCACTGCAGCAATGTCAAATCTATATCACATACAGATACCAAGGACTTACAACTTTTATATTCTCTACATACAGCTCTGTACATTTTTGAAACTTTTTTTTTAATTTTGAGAACTTAAAACAATAATAGTTTACTGAAATGAAAATCTTGGCACTCTGTTATTCACCTTTATCAAGTTATATGACAGGTGATATACATTAATAATTAATTCTGATGAGTGAAAAATAGCGCATTTTTTATTTCCAACAGTAGAAACTGAATAATCCCCATTGTCAACCACAATGACACAGTGACGAATGACTTTGTGAAAATTTGGATCATTCAAAATACTAACAAATTGACTTATTTACAACAAAATTCAAACCGGGTATAGTGACAGTAAAAGAAAACAATCCGAAAATTCCCGGGAAAAGTCAGTTGAAAAATAAATGGGTGAAAAGGAAATACCACAATCCACATACATTCATCCATGTTTGATAAATTCACACTTTTAGTCTAGGGTCCGTTTCTCATGTAAACACCGATTCTTCTCAGTTGTTGTATTTCGTCAATCGAGTACTTACCACTTGCGTACTTTTCGTCACCAATTTTGCAGCAATCGGACTGGATAAATTTGCAGAATACGTAGTCGCCACGTCAAATTACACGATCAGCGTCACATATCCCAAACAACAAGTACCGCATACTTTGTATTCTTACACCAGAGTTTCCGCAGACGAATTATCTCATTGGTCAACAATTATAGGATGACGTCATTTTACCATTAACTCGAACTACTTTTTCTTGTGGTTTTCGTGATCGAGATTGTTAAAGTCAAAATCAGTTAACATAACCTTTTTTAAGTATAATTTTTTTAAAAATGAATTTGTTCAGTGCATAGAAATAGGGTATTTTAACTTAAAAATGAGAATTTTTCTTGCAAACTAGAACAATAATGCAAACTATTTTTATCTGCGGAGCTAGGCGCCGAGCGGTGAATTGGTAGGTCATAACTAAAGGTGTGTATTATTCATAAATTAGAACAGGATATAGATTATTTATTACAACAAATATATCGAAGAATGTCTGTAAACAAATGCAACAAAACTTCGAGTTTTCAGTTTCTGCAATGGAGGGATCTTTGTAATTACTCTTATCGTGAAAGATTGCAGACAAATAAGCTAGGCCTGTATTTATATCGGCAGTGATGATGCGGATCTTAAGTGGCGATGACACATTCACACATAATTTATACTGTATAATGGCTATTCATAGGAATAATTGTAACCGTTTGTATTCAAACTTTTAAAAAAAATGTCTATTTTCCTTTAATATTAAGAGGATCATGGGCCACAGTGCTCACCTGAAATTTTTAAAATCAATATGCTCTCTCCAGCAAAACACTTTTAAAGCAAGCTTGAAAATTCCTTCCCGAAATTATTATGTATATGATTAGAAACTTATATTCTATATAACTAGGTCCCTGGTATTGTGTTTTTGTAAAAATAAGTGATCATATAATTCTGTAAAAATCTTTTTAAAGCTTTATTTAGATCTAAGTATATTTTTTACAGGAGTTGCTCCAAATGCGTAAAAATAAATAAAGAATATTTTTTAAAAAATGCATACACTGATTACTGAAGCACACAAAGGACGCCATCTTGTTCCCTTTCCTCCCTTCAACGGTTTTAGTAGGGGGTGGGGGGCAATCGGCAATCCGGCTCCAAAAAAAAAAAAGAATCTGACCGAAATATAAATAAATAAATAAAAAGAGATAATAAACTGTCCGAAAAAGTGAGGGGCCAACTTCCCGAAATCTAACAAGCTTTTTTAAATGAAGCTGTCCAAATCCTGCAATTTGCCGGTGTTAGACCTTCCAGCAACAAAAAGTGGGGGAAGGGGGGGGGCACCAACCAGCATCTTAAAGATAATTTATTTACTATAGCAAAATACTTTCCTCAGAAAAAATACCCCCCCCCCCCTGCATTCTACGGCCCTACGATTTCTGCCGACTCGCAACCACAGATTTTTAAAATAATTTTCTCCTAAGATGATTTGATGTGTTGTTTAAGTTGTTAGTTTATGATTTTTTTAAATCAATATTTATCATATCGTGATAATTTTGATATTTTTGGAGCATGTCCAAGGCATAATTACATACTACCTTCACCACTAAATTATGCAAGTGAAATAGATGCAAAGCATTTTTCTTGAAAAACTGTACACTTAGTTTACTTTTCTGTGCATTTTTTTTAAATAAAATAAAAAATAAAAAAAATAATAAAAAAAATAATTTTCAGTGAAAAATATTGTATCATTTGCAAGACTGAAGTGTAGTTTATTCACTTCTAAAATTTTTCAATATTTATAAATCATTTTGTCCCTGTAATTAATATTCAGAATTGTGTTTATTTCTTACACACTCCAATGTTGCACGGGGAGCAGTTCATGTAACAACTTTTAATAAAATCATAATTCATAAATATTTGATGACAAATGAAAAACAAATTGAAACGTAATTACAACCATTTAGTCTTAGTCTAATCAGTAGTGGATTTAAGGGGGGGGGGGATCTGACGCGCGCCCCCTTAAAAATGTCAATGTTAGCGTAAATCAGTTTCGTACAGAAAATGTAAAAATGTCTACTCGGTAGACCTCATTTTTACCCTACAAAATCTCTAGAATCCAGGAGCTTCGCCCCCTGGGCCCCCAACAGGGCTACGCCTTGGACCCACTGGGGGCCTCAAGGTGGCCCAAGACCCCCTGCTTATACTTTTTGCCCCTCACCCCACTCAATTCCTGGATTCGCGCCTGGTATTAATCAAATTTTTAAAAACTTATATTCATAATTTTTATGTATTTTATCAATAAGAAATTATTCCATCGAACCAGTTAGAAAAATAATGTCTTATTTCCTCATGTGCAGATTTTAAGACAAACACAAATAGATCAACCTCTTCTGCGGCCGATAATGATGACAGTAATCAAGCTAAAAATCCATTGAAACAATCCAGTTTGAGAGAAGAGCAACCACGGATCTCTAAAACATCAGAGGTGGGATAAGGTGCCACGGAGGAGTAAACATCCCCTGTCGACCGGTCACACTCGCTTTCTGTTCTTTGACATGATTGGGTAAACAGAGAAATCCGTAGTCAATTCAGTATAAAAATAATTGCCTAACAATTTGTATGAAAGGCGTCGGTCAACAATCGATCTCGCCACAAACTGTATTTGCAAACAATATCATAGTATTGACCATAGAATTTGCGAAATTTTGACTTCATACGAGATTGTAGATACCCTTGTATCGTCAACTTATTTGTCAGTAGCCCACCTCATTGAAAAAAAAAACTTCGTGCGCAGAACGTGCTTTCTCGTATCGAATCATATCTTTATATGCAGGTGATAATGGTATATTGCTACATAAATTAAGGAAGTTGGCGATAGAAAAGTTAAAGTCATGTTGCATCTCTGAGTCGGATGCTGCATTAGTCTTGTTCCAGATCCCTTGCACTTTGTTATCGGATTAAGATAATTTGGAAAAAGACTTACTAATGCTGTATTTGAAATGTATTTTGATCGGGTTAATGATACCTCATTGAAATTAATAAATCACATATAAATGTGATTTTGTGATATTTCAGTCTTGTGAAAGTAATTGTAACAATTATTTATGTAGAGTTCTTTTGCATGATAAATCGCATACATTTGAACACTTATTTCAGTTTAACACACCTTGTCACAGAACAGACATGTGGCTCCCTCTGGGTATCGCACTGATCACTGTATTTCTGACGGTCAAGTTCCTTCTTAGCCGTCTGAGGATAAACAGAAAAAACAGTGACCTTTTTGTACTGATAACTGGATGTGACACCGGGTTTGGCTACTTAGCGGCAACAGCATTCGCCAGAAAAAGAATTCGTGTATTTGCTGGATATCTAAAAGAGTTCAAATTAGATTCGGAACCATCAGAATATTTGATTCCAATCCAGTTAGACGTTACCAACGAAAAACATATAAAGAAGGCAGTCAAAACCATATCCGATCGCATACCACCAGATCAAGGTACGGTATAGAATCGGTATAGGTCAAAATTGGTGACCTTTCTTATATCAAGTCACCGACTCAAATTGTATAGTCATGCACACGTCATGCTAAAAGTCTCATATATGAAAGACCCGTGTTTACAAGTATTTTGTAAGTATTAAAAAATTACAGAAGGAAATTGAAATCTTATCTCTGCAGAATTTTCAACTTCTTGAAAAATAAGGCCATTTCAAAGGCTTTTTTTTATGTGAAGCGTCCGCGTGCACCTTGGTTTTTGACAACGCAGCTTAAAACAAACAAAACAAAATCAGGAGTCCTGAAGTTGATTATTCTGGTCAAAACCTTTGAATTCTGTCAATTTATATCTATATTTATCCAAAAGCTGTGTACTAGATATATATTAAGCATTTAATACTTTTTTGGGCTATGGAATAGATCTCTGAGAAAAATAGATTCATGAAATAAAATCCTTTGAATGACGTCATTTTTCTAACTAAAAAGTTTGTTTTAATTTTTGGATTGTGTGTTTTTTCCTAAATAGGTAGAAAGGTTTTTGAAAGATGGGTGGACGCTAAACAGAAAAAAAAATGGAATGGCCTTATTTTACAAAAGTGGGGCTCATTCATATGCCGGTATCAGAGACATAATTTATAGCATGATATCTCTGCCGGTATCGAGGTCAGAAATTAACGACCCAGTTATGGAGAATAAAAGACGTTAATGCAAAACGAACAATTATAATTTCGCAAAATATGAACTGAAGTACAAAACTAACAACTTAAAATGAAGCCAAGAGACTCAATTGCAAAATCAACAGACTCCGTTGCAGAACAGTCATTATCTGAATTATAACGCCAGATTGCGCGAAAGTACGAAATTATGGGTTCGACTCTGTTATTTTTAAGTACATGTAAAATTTAAATTGTAGATTGTAAAGTAATTTTTTTGCGAATTGTGCTATCACAACTTGTAAAACTATCCTGTGCAAAATGTACAATAAAACTATGTCAATGCACAACATTATAATTTGTGTATACTTGTCAACTCGTGAAATGTTACATTCCAATAATGAAGGCCGTCACGGTAGCTTAGTCGGTAGAGCGCTCGCTCCGTGATCAGAAGGTCACGTGTTCGAATCACGGCCGCGACTGAAGTAAGTCCATAAAAATATAGGTAGTGTCATATTGTAATTTTTGAATTCACCGGGTGGTAGTAAATACAAAAATTACAATATGGCAACTGTCATATTGTAATTTTTGTATTTACTACCACCCGGTAAATTCAAAAATTACAATATGACAGTAGCAACTGTTCATTCGCTAAGCGCTCGGCACTTTGAAGTGAAAGTTGCGGGTCTTTCGGATAAGACCTTTCGGAGGTCCCGTGTCACGGTAGGCGTTGGCCCGATATAGAAACCTCACTGCTCAATGGCCCTGAGTGCCGAGTAAAAGTCTAAATTTGAAACCCTTCACCGGTATAAAGGTGACTGCTCTATATGAGTGAAAAATTCTCGAACAGGACGTAAAACAACATACAATCAATCAATCCAATAATGAAAACTTATGGCAGGCTCAATGATTTTGGCAATTTTAGTACAAGTATATATATATCAAGACTTGATGTCAAGCTTTTAAAGTTGAAGATGTGTTGTTCTTGCAGAAATTACTTAGCCTATATTTCTAGGTAAACCTTACATAACTTTTCGTGACCCAAAACTAGACACAGGACCAACTTAGACAAACTTAAATTATCACTTCATGGAGAAGTTTTTAAGTTTTTCCGATATATCCCTATTTTAAACTTTAATGTTGTGTCCAACCCTAGGACCCCGTAGAATAAATTCGAATTTTCACTACATTTGTAAGTGTATATATTTATTTGTCTCATCAAAGCCCTTCTGAAAATTTGGTCATTTTTCTTCTGATCTTTCAGGACTTTGGGCAGTTATAAACAACGCTGGGGTGTCTTTACATACAGGTCTTTGCGAGGCCCAAACCCCAGATAACTATAAGGACTGCCTGAATGTTAATTTATTCGGAATGGTCCTGGTGAACAAACACTTCCTTCCGCTTCTCCGTAAATCCTCGGGACGCATCATAAACATGGCTAGTATTGGAGGAAGATTTGCCTTTCCATATTCATCTCCGTATGTTGTATCAAAGTTTGCAGTTGAAGGATATTCAGAATGTTTAAGGTAAAATTGCTCAATGTTGACAAACGGAACGTTGCATTATCTGCCTTTTTCATCTCCTAAATCTTGAATTTACTGGATGGGAATAAAATCTGTAAACATAAAATCTATAGAAGTTATTGCATGTTTTAATAATTTTGCATTTACTCAATCCCATTCATCTAATTACAGATCTGCGACTGACATGTATGAAACACATGTACAGTGGCTTTATGAGAAGGAATTCTTTGAAAAAGAAATGCATTATTTTAATTGATTAGGTTGTCATACGTTTTATTAATCTTAACTTTATTTACCGATGGACTATAATCTTTTTCTGATATTCGAAAATTTCCAATGACAATGAACTTTATTCCCATAACTGAAAACAGTGTAGAAAAGATGCAATATGTACAAAGTTTTGCGGACAAACAGATTAACTCGCCCCCGTGGCGCAGTGGTTAGAGCGTTAGCTCTACATTCGCGAAGTAAGGCGTTGATCCTAAAGTCGCAAGTTGGAATCCCACTGTTGGACGTAGAGAGCGGTCCTTCTGATGAGACCGTATAAACTGAGGTGCCGTGTCGCAATAGGTGCTGGCACGAAAAGATTCCTCACTGCTTAAAGGCCAAAGTGCCGAGTACAGATCAATGAAACAATGAAATGTTTTCTTTCAGTTTGTTAAAACGGGAATTACGATTTCAACCAAAGCAGTGTTATGTATTTTTTTTTCTGCAGTTGTTGCAACTGTTAGTACATGCATTAACAATTTAACAAAGAAAGGCATCATGTTAAACATGTAATTAATTAATCTCATAAAGCAGGATTAAGAGTGTACCTTAAAAACTATATTACTGATCATTAAGTCAGGATATATTTCATAGATGGAAGAGCCCACTAGGGCTGTGTATTGAGCAAAAAATTTCGATACGATGCAATACAATATTTTATAACGCGATATGCGATATATTGGATTCTTTAACAAGTCTATCAAAAAGTCTTATATATCATTTAATGCTTGAATTTTATAAAAACTAATTGTTTTGCAACTCATTTTAAAGTTCTTGTCTCACTGTCATTATAAATTACACTTCAAATTCAAACTTTTAACGACTGTAAATAAACTCAACATGTTAAATAAAGTTGTTTATGTATTTTGTAATAATTATCTAAGATGTGCTACCTCCTTAATGATTATATCATTATTGGTCCATTTTAATTCAAAACAGTTAAATGTAATCTTTGGTGATTGAAATTCCCAACTTTTTCACAGAATTAAATACAAACAAGAGGCCCAAGGGCCTTGAATCGCTCTTCTGATAAACTGTACAACCTATCACTTCTATTTGAAACCTCGAAGTATCCTGTATATTTAGATAAAGCATTGAAATTCCAAAGGAAGGTCATCATGACCTACATTTTAGATAAAACACTCTTGAGAACCCAGGATGATTTTAAGCCAATTAGTACCTGAGAGTAGGTCATGGTGACCTACTTATCACTTGTCATTCTCTGGACCCAAGAGACCAAAGTTGCATAAACTAAGTTTGATGATTCTAAGCCAATTAATACCTAAAATATTTTTAAAATTGTAACCATAAAATTTCAAAAGTAGGTCACAGTGACCTACTTTCAGATGACTTTGAGGACCAAGATGCATCAACTGACAAAGTTTGATGATTCTAAGCCAATAAGTACCTGATATACTTAAATAAAGCCATAAAATTTTGAAAATAGGTCACACTGACCTCCATATCAGTCAACTAACTCTGCGAACCCAAGATGCATCAACTCACAAAGTTTGATGATTCTAAGCCAATTAGTACCCGAAATATTCAATTATAGTCATATAAATTGAAAAGTAGGGTCAAGGTGACCTTCTTTTCAGTCGACCTACTCCGAGGACTCAAGATATATCAACTGACAAAGTTTGATGATTCTAAGCCAATTAGTACCCAAAATATTTAATTAAAGCCATACATTTTCAAAAGTAGGTCATGGTGACCTACTTTTCAGTCGGCCTACTCTGAGAACCCAAGATGCATCAACTGACAAAGTTTGATGATTCTAAGCCAATTAGTACCCAAAATATTTAATTAAAGCCATAAATTTTCAAAAGTAGGTCATGGTGACCTACTTTTCAGTCGACCTACTTTGAGAACCCAAGATGCATCAACTGACAAAATTTGATGATTCTAAACCAAATAGTACATGAAAAATATTAAATATAGCCATAAAATTGTGAAAGTAGGTCAGGGTGACCTACTTTTCGGTTGTTTTATTTCGAGGACCCAAGATGCATCAAATGACAAAGTTTGATGATTCTAAGCCAATTAGTACCAGAAAATATTTAATTAAAGCCATAAATTTTCAAAAGTAGGTCACAGTGACCTACTTTTCAGTTGTTGTACTCCGAGGACCCAACTATGCATCAACTGACAAAGTTTGATGATTCTAAGCCAATTAGTACCCAAAATATTTCATTAAAGCCATAAATTTTCATAAGTAGGTCACGGTGACCTACTTTTCAGTCGACCTACTCCAAAGACCCAAGATGCATCAACTGACAAAGTTACTTTGATGATTCTAAGCCAATTAGTACCCGATATTTTAATTATAGTCATATAAATTGAAAAGTAGGTCACGGTGACCTACTTTTCAGTTGACGTTTTTCGAGGACCCAAGATGCATCAAATTACTAAGTTTTATGATCATAGGCCTTAAAATATCCAATTAATGCCTCTAAAACGCTTTGAAATCGAATGACTGCAAAGTTCAAAAGTAGTTCACGGTGACCTACTTTTTAATAAATATATTTTATGGCCCCAAGACTGCAAAGTTCAAAAAGTAGTTCACGGTGACCTACTTTTTAATAAATATGTTTTATGGCCCCAAGATGCATCATCTTACAAGATTTAATGATTCTAAACCTCTCAGTATTCGAATTAATGACCTTAATTGTTTTGAAAAAAGATTAGCCATAGAATTCAAAAAGTAGGTCAAGGTGACCTACTTTTAAGTTGACGTACCTCGAGGACCCAAGATACATCAACTGACAAAGCTTGATGATCATAGGCCTTAAATTGTTTAAAATATGCCTCTAAATCATTTTGAAAAAGAATGGCCGCAAAATTAAAAAAGTAGGTCACCGTGACCTACTTTTGAGTCATCATGATATGAGGTCCTTAGATGCATCAACTGACAAGATTTGATGATCCTAGTCCTTATAGTAAGCAAAATATCAACATTTTAATAAAATGTAATTTTTAGTCAACATTGAAGTGTCCTTGAGACCACGCCCTTTGCCCCAGGGTGATGCCTTGAACAATTTTTAATCTTCAACATATCCTCATCCTTTTGTGTAAGCTTTTAGCAACCAGTACTTTTGTTTCTATTTTCCTCATTATCTCCCCTTGTTTAAGGCTCACAACCCTTGTTTCAGTATAAACCGGAGCCCTTGGGCCAAGGAAACCCTGTGACGAATTTGACAATAATTGGCCAAGGGGTTCTTGAGTTATGGCCCATATTCTAAAAAGTTTACGCACACGCACACCGCACAAATGGCCGTAGCATTAGCTCTTTGAGCCTTTGGCTTAGAAGAGCTAAAAAAAAAATTGCCTGTCTGATACGTATTGGAAGTTATTTTTTTCGATACGATACATTCTTGAATATCGAAACGTATCGATATATCGATACAGCCCAAGAGCCCACTTTTTCAATGATCATACATGTTGCTTTAAAATCCGGTTCTAACTAGTTTAAATTTAATGGATTGATTAAGAAAAGTGGTTTTCATAAGGAATAAAGGATAAAATATTCACTGAATGTAAATATTTTCTCATAAACCTCTTGTATTTTCAGGCGTGAGTTATATCACCAAGGTGTTTCTGTACATGTAATAGAGCCAGGAGCATTCGACACAGGCATGCTGATGCGCTCGACACCTATTGACTTTGCACAAAGAACATTTGACACACTCCCAGACGAGGTGAAAGACTACTATGGCAGAGATTTCTTTCAGAAAAGTATTTTTTTTTCAATATTAATTGCTCGGTGAAATGACTGCATACTCTTAAAATACATTACTATGTACACATCAATGGGGTTAACAAGAAAGCTGATCATCCATTTTAACTCTGTTACCCCCTATCCTCCCCCTTTTCATTCTTTTGATTTCTAGATCACCCGGCCCTACTTCATTACCCATTCTGATACCCCCTTTAAAAAGGGCATATATTGCTTTGAACCTGTCGATCGGTAGGCTAAGTGTTGTCTCCACGATAATGACGATATCTTGAGAACCAATTGCTTTACAGACTTCAAATATAATACACTAGTTTCCCATAAGAAATACATGACCCCTATTGATATTGAGGTCATAAGGTCAAAGGTGAAATTGAAAATAAAAGAAGAAAAGAAAAAAAGATGGATTATCAGCTCAATATATTGAGAACCTTTTGCTTGATGGACATCAAACATGGCACACTATACTTCCTTGTAAGAAGTGAATTGCTCCTAATAAGTTTGAAATCAGAAGACCATGATGATCATATTGGACAAAGCACAATACTGCTCTCTCCATATCTTGAGGATCCTTTGCTTGACTGATACTATACTTGGTACACTGATTCTCCCACAGGAGTAGATAATTTCTATTCAAATGAGGATTAAACTGGATGTAGAAAGACATTGACTGCTTTCATTTGTTCTCCCTTCAAAATAAATGTCTGTAGTGATTTTGAGGTCTCAAGGTCAAAGGTTAAACTGTCGTATGGCAGCTCAAGGCCAAGTTTAAAGTTTTTCTTCAAATGTAGGTCAAACTCCGAGCTCAAGGTCAAGAGATCAATTAGGTACCCAAAGAAAGGTCGTGTCAAAAGGAATACAATACGAGATACGAAAGCCCTTGCAGAAAAAAAATCAAAAGCTAGGGGCAAGGTAAAAGTTTTTGCAAACAAACAGATTATCAGGCAGACACATGGACGACAGTCCAAAAATATATGCCCCGAATCTTTGATTACGAGGCATAAAAAATATCATGAGTCTCTAGGATATCTTTTGTAGATCTCGAGATTCACCGAGTTATATATGTACACTACATGTACCTTCGTGAAAATTAAATATACATATGTAAACTCATGTTAAAATCAACTTAATAAAAATCATTTCTTTAATTTTACATTTTATTCTTTTTTTTCTGTGATATCTGAAAAAAAAGCAATATGTGATATGTTATATGTATATTTTCAAATTTTCAATTTGGCAGTGTCAAAGAATATTTTACGATTCAAAGGCAGTAAAGACCTTAACCAGGTGACAGAGGCGTATTACCACGCCCTCACGGCCCGCTATCCCCGGGCCTACTATAAGGTGGGGTGGGACGCTAAGATCCTCTTCAGGATTCTTATCTACCTGCCAACGTGGATCACGGATTTTCTCGTAACATGGATGTTTCAGAGGCCTGCCGGTGCTAAATTATAATCTGAAAGACTTCTAGTTGGTTGTGAATGACTCAGTAGAAGATTTCCTATCTTGTACATTACCGGATGTATCTATAGAAGGACGTCCACCCACTGTATATAGTATACAGTTATGGACTCTTTCGGTGCTAAATATGGTTTATGTTTATGCACCAGAAAAATATCAACACTGATCGAAACCAAGCCGGCGAGAACGGTTTCAAATATGATGAATATGAAGTTTTATGAACTGATTTTTTTTTTATAGATTATAAATGGACTATATAACTACTAAAAAAAAAGAAAAGACAACGTACTTCACTTTTCATTGAATGTCATATTATAATTTTTGAATTTACTGGGTGGAAATAAATACAAAAATTACACGATGACAACTAGTTATACTGTATTGTATTTGTAATTTTTTTTTGTATTGACTTACCAAAAACAGTAAATTCGGAAAATTACAATATGACATGAAACCGAGAATGAATATATATATATATATATATATATATATATATATATATATATATATATATATATGACTGGAAATCAAAAAACAAAAGTAACTATAAAGTAATATATATATATATATATATATATATATATATATATATATATATATATATATATATATATATATATATATATATATATATATATATATATACATGTATTTTCATTTTGGCATGGCAAAACTTAATTTAAAAACGTTTAATTTAAAATTAAAATTTTGTTTGAGGACATTGGCAAGTCAAGGTTTTCCGGAGAAAAAAGGTTTAATACATGGGCTTTTTTAACTTATGAAATAGTGATTGAAAGTGATCTCCCGTGTAGAATTCTCTAAGCGGTGAAAACCAATAAAGCGTATGTTTACAGAGGTAAACAAAAGCACGTGCACTTCTTTCTACGGGTAGAATCATCCATATAACAAGAAAGACAAGAAAACATTGATGTAACCATCAATTGTCGCCCGGGAAATAAATAAAGTAAACAATGGAAATTAGTCTTTATCATCAAACCGCTTCGATATGTGTGAAAAAGGCATGCGTCTAAATGATGGAGACGATAGTCGAGAATATTTTGAAAACTTATAGTCGGATGAAAATCAAACAAAAACGATACTCTTTTAAACTTTATCAATTCCTCAAGTAAATGTTAATTGGCTGCATAAAATATAATTTGAAACCAGACACATGCATCACCTATTTTCAAAAATATCTTTCACTTTAAGAATATAAAACACGAACTGTGTAAAGTACATTTTTACGTTTTTATGCGATAAGTAAAATTCGATGTTCTAAAAAAAGGGAACTGTCGTTTTGTCGATAGTAAATGATAAGCAACTTTATATATTAAATATGAAAAACATATATATTTTTACAGATTCACTTCATGGAAGTAAATATATTGTGTATCTCGTAATTTATAAAGGGAAAGAACATTCTGATTAACAATCTTTTTAATGTTTAGAAAACCTTTAATTCTGAATAACTTCTCCCACCTCAATCCCCATATACCAACACTTAAACTTATATGCATAGAGCAGCCCGGTCCTCCGGGCTGCAAAAAGTAGTAACAGCTCTGTTGTACATTGTATTCAGGGGACAAAGAGCCAACAGGTCGTCATTTACCATAGTTATGCTCAGTATGCTGGGAAGGGCAAAGATGTGACATATGTTGAAAGGTAGACCGACTGAGATCAGTTCTTAGGTTGTATGAAGGAAGCAGCATTTAGTAACTACGAATAAAAATTGAAATAAATCCATGCCAATATTTTTATGACAATGTGTTTCAATCAATTCAGTCAATTACATGATAGAATCAATCAACCAGTCTTGACTCTCTTGACCATTATGAATAATGTGTAATTATAGCTGTTAAGGGAAGTAACTCAAAAATAAAGATTGGTGCCGGTATGTCCATGTCTTGTTTCTATATATACATTTTCAGCCAAAATAACTATAAGTCATAGGAAGTGAAGATACAATAATGTATATAAAACAAAAACTATATAAAATAAGTGGGTTTTAGAGAAATATTATGGTAAAAAATTATGTAGGTCCCTTTTATCAACATTTTACATAGGAAATGCATTGAGAATTGCAAAAACACTAATTTGATAAAATCTAAAAAAGAAGGTTGGCTTGGTAGGTTAAACAATCCAGAATATAGCCTGTTTAGTACAATTAAACCTACTCAAGAGTTCTTGAAAAATTCTATACTATAACCAGGAACCTTGCCAATGTCCTTAAACACCTACTTGCTCATTACACATGTAGAGAGTTCTACGTGTATTTTGTTTGAAGTTATACGTGTAACAGTTAGCCAAATTCGTGCAATTCATCTATTTTCAAGATACAATTTCAATTTGGGTGAATTAAAAAAAGACCGAACACTTATTTATCAACCTGCACTAAAATGTCAGGAGTGCAACATCTTTTTGTGCATTTTGAAAATTTTATATTTCTAAAGATCTTTGAAGTAAGTAATAATGGTTTTAACCGTTTATGTTGGAAATAAAGACTTTCCTGATAAAATTCAATATAGTGAGCTTTATATAAATTTAGACTTAGTAATGACAACCACTACAACCTGATGTTTGCAAATAAATAGAGGATACTCAATATTTTGTCTTTGGATGTGGCATTTATTTCACAAGTTAGGTCCAAAGCTTTTGGTCTTTTCATAAGTGAAAAGCACGACTAAATATATCCCGTCTAAAGAATGAAATGAGTGTTTCTCCAACTTTTTTTCTGTTTATCACATTTTCTTCGGTTTTTCCTTTATTTTATTTGTCATAAAAGGTTCACTTAACCTCCGTGTAGCATAGCACTTTTCCTACAATTCTAGAAAGAAATGGTGGGTAACTCATTACATGCTTTGGTTCTATGAATATGCCGCCAGAATTGGTCAGCAATTAATTTTTTTCAGAAATTTTAAAAGGAAATCAAGTCAAAATATCGTATATACTCGCCTAAAAGTCAATTTGCTTATGAGTCGGTTGTATTTTTTTTTTTTTTACATATTATTTTGGAGGAAAATTGTCTTTGGCTCGCTTTTAAGTCGATAGGTTTTTTTGCCAGAATTGTTACAACATATATTCTAGATAAATCAGCACAAAAAAGTAATGTTATTTATAATTTTAATGAAATTTTCGAAACCTTGTAAGTCTACCTCATCAATACATAGGGCTCACGGTGGGTTTGACCGGTCGACGGGGATGCTTACTTCTCCTGCGCACCTGATCCACTTCTGGAATTTCCGGGGATCCATGTTTTATGCCCTGCTCACAGATTTGTATTGTTTGTAGGTTTTTTGAGCTCGAACACTATTCGTTATCTTCACCTTTTTCATTAAAGAGAAAGAAATTGATTTTAAAATTGTTGACACAGCCATTGGTATCCTCAAACCGAGTACCAAGAAAACATCTGATGTTAATAAAAAGGGATACAATAAAAAGGATGGAATTAAATAAGTTTTCGTTCACAAAACAGTTAAAAACGTTACACAACAAAAGCCATAAGACTTTATAAAATTAAAGATATAGAAATGATGATGATAAGGAAGGCATGTATTATATATTATATATAAAAAAGTAAATGTATCTAAAAAAGTATGTAATCGTGCACAATATCTAAGAAAGGAAAAATTAAAAAAAAAATTCAAATCAACGAATCACACATATGACTGGAAAATTATAATTTCGGACAAAAAGAAAATGAAGAAAAGATAGTTAATCAAAGATTACAGAACTCGCCTCAACGAACGTTATCTTTAAATAAGATTAAGTCCCTAATTGAACTAATAATAAATCTAGTAGTGTGCATCCCTAGATGCGACATGTATTTATGCAATTTTGGATCTATTAGGGCTTGCAGTTACTTTGGAATGGACTTGTTCTAACAAACTGGTCATTCATCTAGAAAATGCAGGTCAGATCTAGCATACAAGTAAGCCTGGTAGCTTCCCTAGATGTATCATCCGGCAATACAAGCTTGCTCTATGAAAGACTTAAACTGGAATAAACCTGCTCCAAAACCTTTAACAGGGTTACTTGTCCAGAAAATGAAGGTCAAATCCAGCATCCGAAGCAACTCCGGTAATGTGCATCACTTGTTGCCTCATACATGCAGGTTTGCTTCAGATAGGCCTTATGCTAGTCCTTCAAACTTCAGCTTGGCCTTTCGTCCAGAAAATGTAGGTCAGATGCTTCATATATTGTAATAATCTATGGAAGTGTACTTAGTTAGGCTTGTATATATAGTTACTTGGAATCAGACCTGCTGTTAAATATTTCACCTTGGACATATAACATACGTTCTTCTCGACTTCTCTTTGACTAATACCGGCATTCCCCCAAAGTTTTCCCCTAAAACTTTTGCATTAAACCATTCCAGTTGCAAGTACTAGTACACCCAATCATGTTAGTACCCGTTTTTGTATCAGTTTTATTTTTGAATTAAACAATGAAAAGTGAAGAGAATAGTAGTTATGTTCAAAGTCCATTTAAACAATACAAATTTTGAGCAAAGCAAACACAGACTTCTTAAAAGCAGAGATGGAATCAAGTGCCTTGGAGGAGTGAGATTCCCCAGTCGACAGGTCACACCCACCGTGTGCTTTTTTATGTTCGTGGAAGACGGAAAAATCTGTATACAATTCAGTGTCATAATAACTTCAAAACAATTCGTATGAAAGACGTCTATCAACATTCGACTTAACGATAGACTTGTATTCGAAAACCAGGTCATTATATCGACCATAGAATTTGCGAGGTTGTTTATATTATTGTATCATGTACTTATTTGTCAGAAGTCTGCCTCGTTTTACAAGCTAATCGTATGTAGAAAATGCTCTTGCGTATCGAATAATTTCAGAATTTGGGTATAATAATCAAGGTATGGATTCTTTAAGTCACAGAGACACATTTATTTGTAAAACATAGAGAAATTCAATTACAAAATAACTTTTAGAAATACATTTTTAATTGTTTATTATACACGTTTAATTGTTTACGTTGTAACCTTTTTAGCCGATCCCTTTTTGGCACCTGCAAAGAAATACATATATTCTCATAAAATTGCAACATGACAGAGATATAATTTATAATGATCAATGAAGAAAGTTGTACATGAAAAACATTTCCCGGGTGATGAAAATTTTTGATTTGAATTTTGAATGAGAAAGTGTACGACCTTCACCTTAAGCAAGTGTTGATCTGAACCTTCCTGAACAAATGTGAGACGATCTTTTATATCACCAAAAGTTATACTTAAGGTATGTCACTCGTCAGCTTTTTAGAAAAGTTCAGTCAGAACCCTTAACTTCAAAACTATTTGTTACAATTCAATTTTTATAACATAATTAAATTAAACAATGCAAATTATTCAAAATTCAATGAAAAAACTGCTCAGAAATTCATAAAGAAGCAAGATTTATGAGGGACTATTTCTTGTGGTGGAAGGATATTTAGAAGAAAATTCTTCAAATCTCCACATTTGTTAAATTTAATGTCTTGGAACTATAGCATCACATATTTTTACTTAGAGGAAATTTTCCGTTATGATATGCTAGGAATATTAAATATAGGTCTCAATTTATATTTTTAGAATAAATTTTACACATTCACTTAACAGACTTTGCCAAGAAATAAAGATATATTAAAGAAGTCTAGATAAAATTTACACCGTTTTTTGCCTGAAAATCGCAAATTTTGCCAATATCTCAAAATTTACATCACTGACCCCAACTTTTTCTTTCATAATTTTAAACAACACGATACTTCCAACCGATCAGCACTTAAGTCATAAAAAGTTTGATACAAGAAAATATTTTATTGCCTATTTAGATCTTTTATACCCCAAATATAATACTTTTTTTAGTGCAAAGAGGTCACACAATAATTTATGCGCATTAATTTGCATGATTTGTTCAATGATAAATATCATTCAAACTATTTTACGTAAAATGAGATTATATTTATTGCCAGAATTACATCTTATAAAATATGATAAAGATTAAAGTGATTGACCAAAGAGTTACAATTTAAGTGCAAAAAGGTCAACTTAATTGTACCCTAGCTCAAAAGGATGCACACTGACCCCCCATTTTCTTTGCGATTTTGAGTCATGCTATATGAGTACTTATTTAAAATATACTTCTCAAAAAATCCTTGATATAACTAATTTCACGAGTGACATACCTTAATGTAAAATTGCAGAAAAACAAATAAAAAGACAATAACACCAGATATACACCATCTTTTATCACCTCAAAATGAAGTTCCCATGCAGATATTTGGGAGTATTGTAGAGGAGAAAATACACTTTATGAAAATAGTTTTGGGTTTTTTTTCCTCCCAAAATGCAATACTAGTATACAACTTGCCTATATGAATTGCAACAACAGGGTCATCGCTGCTGTGGCTGATATGGAAGTGGGCGTGTCCATCACCTCCCACGTGAACTTCATTTCCGGTACATCGTCCATTATCGTAATCACCGGATATTACATCACAGTATGTACCCTGTGGTAAACCAGTCTGTAAGTTGACATTAATGTCCGATGTTCCCGCGTTGATAATGATGAAGCCCTTGTTTCCTCGAGAGAAAGCGATGGCGTAGTCTCCATTATCCCACCAATGTGACATCGTTGTTCCCATAACAACATTACGGAAGGCGACCATGTTGTAAATTTGACGCCATCTATGTTCACAAACCTACAGAAAACTGCGCAATAAAATGACCCTGCTTTCTAATAAACTGTGAAATGAAGACCTAACAATTTTTATTCTCGAAATTTTCCCTATCAGAAATTTTCACTAACCCATCCATTTCCACACGTGTTATCGGAGTGAATGGAGGGGCCCTTAATGCTCATGTCCCCGTTATGAGGGGGGCCCTGCCAGTTGTTGTGATCTTCCCCACCTTGGAAATTTCTGTTCCATCTGTAGCTGCTCATCACACGCGTAAAACCGTAAGGATGCGCCAACATGAACTCCGTTGCCATTTTATAAGCACGGGGTTCAAAGAACGTTAAAACGCCACCTAGTGAGAGGTCGATCTAAGCATTAGGCAAAGAAATAAAGATTATATTGAGAGACAATTTGAAACAGGTATCAATAAAAATTATATGTGTTTATACCTCCTCCGCCATGTCCTCTTTGGTTGTCATGGTTATCAATAAAAACAACAACGTCATTTGTATTTGGCATGCCCCAACTTTCGCCCCAACTTTTCAACCATTTTGCTTGATTATGGCGTCTAATAAAAGAAAGAGATGTCATAAACTTTTGCATATACAAACAACAATAATGAAAATGATCTCTGAAAGGGGTATGGTACCTGAACACGTCAGCTAGTTTGATTCCGTAAATGAAGTTTGTAACTCGTGCAATTCCGGTATATTCGCCCGCACTAATTGCCTCGTGACCCATATCAATCACCTCTTGATAAACAAAGGGCTTAGTTCCTGATGGAAAAAAGGCAGTGTTCAAATTATGGAGTCTTCCAAAGACAGCACGGAGATCGCCCGGCCACATGTGTTTGGCAGCATCCACTCGGAAACCAGCTACTCCTAGACTTATGAGGTGGTTGAGGTACCCCGCTATTTCATCCCGTACATAATCTTTGGAAAGTTTCAAGTCTACAAGACTGACCAATCGACAGTTTCGGACCTCGTTGGGGTCGTTGTAGTTATGGATGTTCCCGTCCCCAGTATGACACTCGGAACCACTGTTAAAGTCCCAGGCAGAAAAGGGCACGCCGGGATAGCTCAGTTTGTTCCCGTCCCAGTGGGATCCGCCCGTGCCTGTTCCACTTCCTCCCGCCCCTGTCATGTGATTGATCACAACATCAGCGTAGATTCTGAAGCACAAAGAAAAGATAGGTGCATGGAGAAGTCATAATGTACAGGCGCATATCCAGGAATTTTTTTCCAAGGAGGGGGGTCCTCCCCAGAAAAAAACCTAAACTCCTTTCCCAAACGTATCAAACCAAGAAAATTTCTTGACAAGCAAAAAAAAAATGTCCCCGTTTCCCGGGGGGTGGGGTGGGGGTCCCAAAGTAATTTTTAAGAGTCCCCCCTCCGGATCCGCGCATGATGTATACAAATTTTATTCCATATAGACAGGTTTTCTATGCATTTTTCGTTAATCAGCTATGAAGTTATTAAGTTTCAGTTTAATCATTATTCATTTGTTGAACCCCCCCCCCCCCCCCCGTTTCAAATATAAAATGATTACAATACCAATTTGCGGACAGATTCAATCGTGGCTTGGAAAGAGTTGTCGCGAACCAAGTTTGTGCATCGTTACCGCAGCGAACAAATATTTTTTTTTTGGGGGGGGGGGGGCACCAAGTCCATGGTTCTATTTCTTATTAGCTAGCTTTTTTGTCCCTCAATTATCACGCTCATATTTGATGTGTGGAAAATTTTCCCTGTCCCAAACCGGGGCGGGTTTTTTTTTTTTTTTTTGGGGGGGGGGTCATAGTTTACTCATTTAAAACTTTACTTTAACGTACGATTTTCCAAAATAACTTTGTAATTAAAATGCACATTCTTTCACCATAGTCTTTTAATTTGACATATTTACATAAGAATGATAGTAATTTGTCTCAGAGAGAGAGTTATCTCTCTTATCAGAGGGTAAATAACGTTAAAGACACACCCTTCAAATGAAGATCTGTTAATCCGGAAATTTTTTCGGCATCGGTATTCTTTTATTTTATCAGGTTAAACTTCGTATTTCTCTAATAGGGTGATGTGTTTTCAATTTATTGAGAAATTCGTATGATTTTTGGCAAACATATATTGTTCTGCCGAGCACATTTGGTTTTTTTAGTCAAGTCTTCGCTTCTTGTTGGAATCATTTCGAGTTATAGACAACAGACAATAGACAATATATTTATTTTCCAATCAAGGGCCCCCAGAGAGGCATGAAAGATACATTAGTAGACAAAGGCAGTACATTATCAATAAGGAGATAAATTTAGTTATAATTACAGTAAAACAGTCATTGTACAATTCAAACAGTCATTACAATTCATAGGACAGAAAAAGACCATTCTGTTGTTAATATATGAAACTCTTGGTCATGCACCCAGGGATTTATCAGTACCTTCTCAGGGGCCGAAATTCGGCCCCATTCCCATTTGAAAATGAGTTCAGTTTTTCCCAATTTGGCAGTATTTTTTCCCAATTGGTGAACAATGCTATTATATTTAATTATCTTGGAAAAACACAAAGTAAAATTGTCAGATTGTCTGTAATTTTCACTTATTTAACTAATTTAGCAAAGCTAAAGTCATAACATATGTTAAAAACATTGTAAAAACATCGCCAACTTTTAATCTGAATTTCCTCAGTTTTTTCTGAAAATGGTGATATTGTGTAATTATATAGATTTATTAAGTTATTTCTATCTACTCAATTGATCTATGAGTGAATGTTAAGGACTGTAGGCATTATTTCAAATAGAAAAAATATATTTTCATTACATTAACACATATTAAAAGAGGACTTTGAGAAAATGTGTCCTTAGTATAATTTTTTGAGGTTTATATATAATCTCCAGAAACAGATTCTGTAATGACCTAAATTGGAATATCATACACACATGTACTACCCTAAGTTATATAAACACTTTATACTCATTGAAGTCAATTTTACTTTTATTAACTAGTCTGTTATTCATAATTGATCTTGAATGAAGTTGGATCATATTTAATTGTCTGTTTGGTTGTCCAAATTAGAGTTCATGCTGAAATGTTAAATGAATTACACCTGAATACATGATTTAAGCAACATTTTAAATTTTCCCAATTTCATAAAAAAGCCGATAATTTTTTCCCAATTCCCCCAAAATGGTGTTTCCCAAAATAGGCTGGTAAATCCCTGGCACCTTACGTCGACGACTTCCTACAAACGCCGTTGCACGACTATGAACGCAAAAGGGTGTCGAGAAATTGAAAAGTACCAAGTTAATATCAGATAAAAGGTAAAATACCCCGGCATTAGATATCTGAATTATTATATATATTACTTTTAAGTATATCCAATCATTATTAACACCAATTTAAAATAATTGAATCATTCAGTTGGTCTCTTTCTTCGCTCGCAACCAAAGTTCGTGTTCTTTAATGGTTTTACAACCTTTACTTATCTACAGTAGGTTAGTTATGCCGCATATTTTGTTATATAACTCCTAGAAATTTTTACCTGACATTGACCTTATTGCACCTCTGTATCATATCCCTGAGGTCAGCCTCGTTTCCACTTCTAGTCGACAGCTTGTATGATACAGGCTGGTACCTCTCCCACCATGGTCTGTTGGGACTGGTGACCACTCGGTTCTCATTGGGTGGCGAAATCTGAAAAAAAAATATTTGTCCGAGAATTTTAAATCTTACAAACATAATTTTTTCATAAAGTTTTGCTAGACGTCAACAACACGACGAATTTGATATTAAAACATGCTGTAAACGTACAAAAATTGGCGCACTCAAAATTCAGGTCTATTATTCCTCTTTGATTAGCGCAATCATAAGTTAGCGCAATCGAGCCTTATAGACGACATACATAAGTTTAATCAAGCAATATAGCGTGTACATTAATTACAAAATAAGACGCAGCATGAACGCGCTAAAATATTATTACTGCTAAAATAAATAGTATTACGTTTACAGAATTATCCAATACCAGAAGACTTTATTAACAAAGGAAATCAGACAATAGGCTAGCTGAAGATATATAAAAAAAAAAACCAGCTGATAGTTTTATAAATTTATAATATATGTGAAGTAAAATATTTCGACCACTGACAGATGTCGTAGTCGTTATTACTTGGAGATAGTTACTCCTCCATGGCACCTGATCCCACCTCTGAGGTTTTCAGAGGTCCGTGTTTGCTCACTATTCGTATTGTATAATCGGAATTTTGAGCCCGATTACTGTTCGTTATCTCCACATTTTATTCACAAAAAGTAAAGGTGGGGGCCTGAAATGCATACCTGAACGCCACAATAACCACGAGGTCCAAGAAAACGTTCACATTCCGCAGCGATGTCACTCCATTTCCACTCAAACAGATGTGTAATGGTATGGCGGCCAGGGGCACAGGTCGGGTTACTCCACGTACCACCCCGTGCTTCAGAAAACGAAAAGAAGATGGTCATAGAACAACAAAAGCAATGTATTTTGTGGAGCAATTTTTTACCTTCTGATTTTTCCGATTTATACGAAAGTGCATTCGTACGTGAATCTAAAAAAATAGTGTCTAGAATATTTGACATGAAACTTCTGGGAATATGTCCTCCTTTTAAGGGACATGTATCGCAAGAAAATCTGATTTCCTGTGTCATGGATTCGCCAGTAATTTCCTTTACACTCTAAAAACCTGATAATCACTTTGAACCTATGTCTCAAGACTTGATCTGTGAGGAGATTAACTTCTATCCTTTAGTAAGAGACATAAATTCCCAGAATTAGCCAGGCTCGTAGCAACGGTTTCAAAAGGGGGAGGGGACAACTTCCAAAAATTATCTGACAAGTAAAAATCCCCAAATTTACTGTCCAAATTCTGGAATTTGCCAGTGCTCGACCTTAAAATAAAGTGGGGGGGCGGGGGGCAGCATGTAAAAGAAAGTTTACTGAAGCAAAATACTATACTTAGAAAAAAGAGGGGGTGTCGACGTGTCATGTTTGGTGAAGACCGCGGTTCTCTGAATGCGCCCCCCCCCCCCCCACTCTTTCTACGTTGTCCGTTCCTTTTATAGTGTATTAGAATCGCCCTTGACAGATGTTACAATTACAATTAAATTTTTTTGTCATATTTCGATTGAAGAATTTTCTCCTCGTTCTTGTTCATGTGGAGATTTTGACAGCAAATTTTAACACTTCAAAATAAATACTTACCCAGGGCAACAGATAGTAGTACTGGTAGTAACACTTGGAACATATTCACTAAACTGACTGCAAGGAGATTTCTTATCAGTCAATAAGTACTATATAGGTACTAATTATAGTAGCACCTGAACGGCACTCACCGGCTGCGCTAATGCAAGCAGAATTACAACACATGTACAGCAGGTTATCTTTCAAAACTGAAACCAGTTTAAAAAAATATATCCCAATTAGAACGTCAATACAAGGATGCAAACAGTGTAAGCACGAGCTTGAATTAAAATCTGATTACATACAACTGTAAAAATACATTGGTGTCATGAACAGTATTTGGGAAAAAAATCTCATATTAATTCTGACTCTTCTGTTTTATTTCTTGACAATCGTGCTACGCCTTGTTTACCAATTTATATACACTTATTTTAAATGAAAATATATTTGTCACTTGACAAGGAATTCCAAAACGCAATATCGCACGTGATTTTGACCACGTTTCCAGGTACTCCTTGAGTAATTAATATCCTGGTAGAATTCTACAAAGTTTAAAGAAAATGTACATAAATTATCTATAAACTGTTATTAATATCATCTGGAAATCCCGATATAGAGTTTTCAGTTTATTGAGAGGTTTTTCTTCAAAATTAAAGGTTTCAAATGACCTCTGAAATCGAAATCAAATTATAATAAATTCAGTAGTAATGAAATAATAAGTACACATCTTTTTTCCCTCTCTCTTCTTTTTTCCCCGTTTCGTTTTTTTCCCCTTTCATAATTAATAGATACCCATTCTCGGAGCCTCAGGAAACAAATCAGATTAACGAGGTTGGATCCTGATATTTAAAGTCTTAAACTTTTTTGTCAAGTATATTTTTAGTTTCTACACACATAGCTTAATTAAAAATCAAAACCAAAAATGGGGGTCAATACGCTTCTTTTGGCGCTAGAGTACATTTAATATGACCTATTTGCACTGAAATTTGTGTCTTAATCAAAATCACATCTTTACACTTTCCCTCCAATGATTTTATCCAAATAAATCATTGAACAAAATAAATTATTAGTATTTTTAAAAAAAAAAACACTTTAAAATTGTGACTAAGAAAAAGTTTCAAATTGCTTCGCATAATCAATTATTTGACCTTTCTGCACTCAAAAATATGATTTTTCTGTCATTAGAAATTTAACAAGCAAGAAAATTATTTTAAAGTCTTAAACTTTTGCTGACCTAAGGCAGATTGATCAAAGTTATCTCATATTTTTAGAAAAGAAAAACAAAAGTGGTGGTCTATGATGTAATTTTTTAGATATTACTAAAAAAGTATTAATTTTATGTTAAAATTGGCTAAATTTTTCCCTAGACTTTCAGAATATATTTATATATTTGTCACATTATAATGAAAGAATTCATAAGAAATAATTTAATAGATATTTCAGAACCAGCATAAAACATTTCACTGCAAAAAACAGTTCTGTGTGCAACCAGCATGGAAAAATAGGAATCTAAACTTAACAGTACTGTATATATTTCAAAAGGGAAAAATTGATCATTTTCTCCTAAAAAACCTTCCGCCACAAAATATGGTTTCTGGCTAAATCCTATCTGAATGGAATTTAATCGCGGTTTTTTCATTAGACATAGTTTAATTTGCATTGTAAAATCCAGATTTAATGTTTGAACTTAAAAATGATGCAGAATTTTATAAATAAAGGTCCAGACCAAAATCTGCCCAAAAGCACAGGATCGAACCTCCTTACAGGAGAAGAACCAGAATATTGCGAAATCCCATTATAATACACTTTAACTATATTATATATATATATATATATATATATATATATATATATATATATATATATATATATATATATATATATATATATATATATAATATAAATACTGCATGTAGTTGAGTGTAACATTGAAAATGTTCACCCCAAGAAGAAAACAATTGTCAACCGAGGCGTAGTTGTTGGTAGACCAACAATGGTATTCATTGTAATCACATTATTCAGTTTGTCCACTAGATGTCCTAAAGAAAAGATTTTCAAAGATGCAATGTATTTTCACTGTACTACCAAATTAGCCCCACCCTAGGGCCTGGACCCATGAGCCATGAATTTCACAATTTTAGTAAAGGGTTTACTCATTATGTAATCAGGTAAAAGATTCTCAAATGTGAAAAAATATATTAACTATGATCAACTTAGCCACATCTCTGAGCCTACACCTTGAACAACTGCAAGGGGCCATAAACTTCACAATTTTGATAGAGGGCTAAGTGTTTATGATTAATAAAGAAAATTACTTGCCTGCTAAATGCTCATGAGTAATGTTAAGATTTTTAAATACAGTGTATGTTGTGTATTTTCAATATCTGAAAAACTAAGTCCCATCCAATGGCTATGTATTCCACAATTTTGAAAAAAAGGTTGACCACTCATTATAACCAGGCAAACAGTATGCCTGCTAGATATCCATGAGTAAATCTATCTTTAAAAATTTGTTTGGTTGCCCTCTCCCGACTGACTGGCTAAAAATGGCCTGACTGAAAACTTTTATAAACCCCAGGAAAGAATTATTCTTTTATGCATTCCATAAATTAGATTTTGAAAATTCAGCATTGATTTGTAAATTTTCTGGGATAAAAATTTTCCCACCTAACTACCGAGCCAAATTTTTCATCCTGAGTCAGGAGAGCGCAAACAACATTATCTTAAAGCTATCGCGCAAGAATATAAAGCGTTATGCGTATTACATGCGATACGGTGTCGGCACTATTTCTCTTCTCTACTAATATCTCAATTCCATATATAAGACGTTTGGTCATCGTCACGGGCTGATGCACACTGACCTAAAAGGCCTAGTGTATACATTGATAGGTATGTCAAACCTGTACTGTCTATGGGGATTTCTATTTCATTCAAGTAATACAAAATGTAACACTAATCGTAAATCAGAAATGAATAAAAATAATAATTAGTAAAAAAATAAATAAAATCAGGATTGAGTAAATAATGTTTTGACACACACTAATAACTTACACGTTATTACAATCGAACTGCAGTGAGAGACACACATCGAACACTACGAAAGTGGACAATTTGTGGAGACAGTACAAGTTTGATGGATCCAACGGTAAGTAGAAATAAGCATAAAAACGATCAGAATAAAGTATCAAAATTCTTTTACGAAATACATCCAGAACACATTCACGCCCTTCCAACATGCTGACAAGTCACTTGACAATCCAGTTTTGCTAAAAATAGATAACATAATTTCCATTTTCGTGCGCATGCCTCTCAATGGGATCGGTTATTATTGACCATTTTCCTGATGATTGCATTTTATCTTTGAAAAAAAGTAATAATATATAAAAGCAGGATTCACCGCATTGTAAGGTGTGGTTTTAAATGTTACTTATGTAGTTGTAATCGATTTTTACCAAGATCCTGTTAGCTACAGATTTGAAGAAAAATTGAGTAAAAAAAAATATTGGAGGTTATATAAAAATATTTGTAGGCCTCCTTTTTTCCTAACTAATATGAAAAAGGACAAAACACATATGTACACGTATATTGAAGTTGTATTTTTCTTGATCAAAATAAAGCTTTTCTTCATTAAAAAAAATTAGATAGTACAAACATCAAAAAGTTTCCAACAAATATGTACAACTTGTACTGTTATTACACATGTAAAATATTTCTTCCATATATGTACGAAAATAACGCCATACAAAATCCATAATAACTAATGTTTGACAGAAACCTACAGCACAAAACATGTACATACCGTTTTTCTTCATACAAAAAAAAAAAAAAACAAAAACAAAAAAAAAACACCCAATAATTTAAATGGTAATTATAAATGCATGACCTGATATATACGTGTATTTAAGAGAAATAAGTTTTTACAAAATAAGCTGTTTGATACTCTCTCTCTCTCTCTCTTCCAGGCTTATTGATAATGTATTTTATCTGCTTTCATAGATAAATTGTTGTGCATGCCAAAATAGAGGGCAGTGCAAAAGTTGTGTATGCAGGAGAAGGGGCTGCACAAACTGTAGAAATGCTAACTGCCAATTCAGGGAAGCAGAAGGAAATCCACAACAATCCAGGTTTCACCCTTATGCCAACAATAGCAGAAGGAATTCAAGAGGAGGAGATGGTGTCCCTTCTCTTAATCAAATGCTGGAAGATAGAGCTAGACCTGAAAATAACAGAGACCAGGGTCAGGCAGTTAGTTTGCAGGTACACCAAAATTATACAAGAATCAACGGACACAGAATTAAATTCCACACTTTATGCATCTGTGTCTTTATTATTTTAAACATGAAAATTGTTCATTGTTGCAGAACGCCATTACCTCCATGCCAGAGGCGGAGTTGCGTGCAAGAGTATCAGTTGCGGCGACACTGCTTCCTGACGTACTGGCCCCATACCTCTTGGAAACAAGTGGATTTTGTTCGGGTAACTTCAGTGTTGCCTCATGGTGTTGTTGTGGGAGGTGTACCGTTTTCTCTGACCCACGGATGAACATCTGCTGTGGTCATCCCCACTGCATCACCACGAGGCCAGAATTTCGCAACCTATGTCTCAGACATGATGTTATTGAGATTGCGAACATTCTAAACTGGAGTTTCCGAACAAATCTTGATCCTAGTTTCAGAGCCAGTACGTTCAGGAACCAGGCATACCGCAATTTTGTACTCTGGCAGCATGGGCGGTTAGGAGCAGGAAGGCGAGTTGTAGTACCATCCTGTGTCTGTCGTCAGATACGACTTCGATTTCCTGAAGTCAATCCTGTGGACTATAAGGGCTATGAGTCTTTATACTCTGATTCAGATTAAAATAGAAATGTTACTTACCACAAGTTTTTCTTTTTTTTCTGCTGTTTAAAAGTTCCTTAGAAGACGGTGTAGTTTCTCCAGAGAGATTAGTAGCGATTTGATCCAATGTTTTTGCTTGTAAACTTTTCGTATATGCTTCTCTTCGGGCGCCATATGTTTGTCTCAAACAACTTGCAATGAGATCTAAAAAAAATTGTACTGAATAATTTAGTTATATCTTTACAGTGATAGATTTTTACCACCCCCCACCCCACCCCACCCCCCCAAAAAAAGGAGGGGGAAGAATAAATACAACCTGTATGTATAAACAAATTCAGAAAGAATACGGCATGTTTATAAGGCAATGCATACTTTATTAATTTCATTACCCCCCCCCCCCCACCCCCTAGTTTTTAACATAACATATGAAAAAAATATCTTATTTACGTACCAGGAATATAAGTATAACATTTAGCTACTCGTCTATCATAAGCAACCCACTGCTTCGTTTTACGAGAAAATTGTACGACAGGGACGCTGGTTCCATCCTTTGCTTGCTGAATCTCTCTGTCCAGATGGTGATTATAGTCGATGACAGCAAGTTGGTTCCTGATGACGTAGGAGTCAAATCCAAAGGACACTTGTTTTGGACAGTAGTGCAGGAGAGTGTGGGAATAGAAATTTTCAATTGCCCACGTTTGTCTACAGGTAGTGTAATAATTGAAGTTTCCAGTAAACTCCTTATTTACGACGATTTTTCTATATATAGAAATAAAAAAAAAAATTCATGATTTCTAATGATCTGTACTGTAATTGTTTGTATAGATAGTAAAAAGAGCGTACGTCTGTTCACTAACTTCAATAAATAATAAATACGTACCGAAATTCTGTGTAAGTAGATGAATTCTTGGAAAGCCACTTTTCCATACTTGTATTTGTGTCTTTAGCATGATTACATCTATAAGTTTACAATTAAATAGATAAAATCGCAATTTTTTTTAAAACAGTTCAAAATAGTTTCATTGGATATGTTTTCATAATGCATGGTTACCTGCCACCAGACCATTCATGCTCGTTTGTAACATGGTGCAGTATTTTAAACCATTTTTTAACCAGTTTTTGGGCATCCCCACCGCACGAACTACAGCAATACCAGAAGTGGTTTACAGTAGGGCGGATCCATGGTAATAGACTGCGATGGGCAGCTTTCTTTGCAGCATCCCCCAACATATATGCAAGCTTCTTAGCTTTATGCCAAATATCCAAACTGTGGCGAATGTGTTTAAACCTATCCGATTCTAAAATGACAATCAAATTTTATTGGAACGTGTATATACTTTTATCTGATTATGAATAGATAATATATACCAGATAATTCCAGTAAAGTATTATAAATTATTACTTAGCAAAGCAATGATCGTTCTGCTGGCATCAGAAACGATTTCCCAAATCACCAATGGATAATGGTATATAACCTTCTCCAGTCCCCTCTCAACCAACAACTTTTCCATTTTTGGACTGTATCTCTGTACTTCCCTGGAGTCTGCAACATCTAAGTGCACAATCAACCGACTTTCGCAGTCCATAAACACTGAAGTTGCTTTGTTAGCGGAAAATCCTGCAAGACAATTCACGGCTTTTACTGCTGTCATGACAGACATATCCTCATGCGCGGATCTAGAGGGGGGGGGGGGGGTCCGGACCCCCTGGAATTTGCAGAGTTATTAAATTTATATACTAAACCAAGTAAAAAGTGACCTTGGACCCCCCTTAGAAAACGCAGACCCCCCTCGAAAACGCGGACCTGTGTCAAGTTGGTACGAAAAGTTAAATGTAAGAAGTCAACCACTAACACCCCCCCCCCCCCACCTCAAGAAATATAGGTTTTTCACGTTTGGGCGGCGAGTTTACATTTTTTTTTTTTTTTGCTTGTCAACAAATTTCTGGGTTGGATTTTTTTTGACTGGGGTGGAATCCCCCCCCCCCTGGAAAAAATTCCTGGATCCGCGCATGATCCTAGTAGTACCAGTAGGTGGGTGGGGACTGTTCCCTTCATTTTTCTTTCATTTCTCTATTGTCAAAATTTTTCAGTTTTTTCTCAAATACCCCCCCCCCCCTTTCTATTTGAAAAAGCTGTAACATACTTGTATAAAAAATCACTATTTTTTTAAATAACAGATTACTGTTTATTCAGTATATCTAAAACCTGACATTCATTTAGCTATTAGAGTAAATATCTCCTGTACCTGGTGAGTCATATCGGACGTCAACTGCTAGGCTCAATGGCTTGCTTGCTAATTTTTTATGCACATTAGTCAGATGTTTTTCAAAAAAACTGTTTATTGCCTCCTGCAAAGAGAGTAATATCTAGTTTGTCTACTTTGAATTTCCTTTTTAATTGCAAATATTATTGATTGAAAATTTTAAAAAAAAATTACCTTATATAGAAGTTGATGATGGTAAAATGCACGGGAACACCCTGTTACTAAGTTTATAAACTTCGCTCCGGTGGCAAACTTACTCCAAGACGCGCCAGATAACAGTACCATCAATTGTATTAGCAGCGCCACCAGACTCTTCCCACCATAAAAAGGGGTCGAAATCCATTTGTTCTTATGGGAATTCTATTTTTCAAAAATGTATAAAATCAACTTTCATCCAAAATTATTACAAAATCATTGAGATGATCAGATAAGTGTAAGTTTATACCCCACCCCTTTTCCTGTCTTGTATATTCGTGCAATAAAAGAAGAATAAAAGAAATTCTTCAATTTACTTTCCTCCACCTAATGCTATTTTTATGAACCCTTCTGTTCTACTTTTGTTTATCCTTTGTAAAATAGACCAGGATTGTTTTTTAAAGTGTACATGTATTTTTTTTTATAATCATCTTATACATTTTAAATTCTTTTATAATATGTACGGATCTCAAATTGGTCAATGCAAAACGTAGTTATGTCTAATAATCAATTTACCTTTTAAAAAATTCATTCTATTGCATTTTATTTTCATTTTTTTTTCTTTTTTACAGAATAAGGTTAGTCAGTGAACTATTTCGTTTCTAATTGATGTCAGACACCTCTCGTATATAAATGTTTTGATCAATGGAAATATCACACAAAGATGATTGGAAACCTGGATTTGTTTTTTTCTTTTTTGTATACATACAACGCAGAGGTACTGGTATTTTATACCAGCAGCAATCTTCTCCCCTTCTTGTATGGTAGAATTATCAATGCGCTCTCCACACTCTGAACACGTTGATCTTTCTGTAAGATAGAGAATTTCCCTTTCGCCGACGATAAACCTCCTGTCCTTTACAAGATGGATTTCCTCGTCTTGCTCGTTTCTCCTTCAAACATAAATGAGTAATGTAGCGTATATAAATATAGATAAAGGTTTTATAAGCGCTTTTGATTATGTGGCGCAGAGAGAGAGAGAGAGGGGGGGGGGCTCATACTCGTGCCATATAGCTTCATCTGCGTCGTTTTCTCCCTCTGTATCTACATCTTCTGGATCCATGGTCTCTTTTGCATCATCGTCACCAAATATTTCTCGTAGTAATTTTTCCACTGTACTTTCACATTCCTACGTATACATGCATATTTTTATTGAGAATAATAGAGTTATTAACGATGAAAGAATATAATTTGAGAGATATTGAACCTTTATTTCCTTAAAAAATGACTACATGCATACATATGAATATTTTATTTCACACAAATTCTTTATAAGGCATAAAGTGCATGGATTGTTCCAAAAAGTATTTAATCCATTTTCCCGCTTCATATAATAATGATAGTACAGAAGCTACTTTTTTTGTAGAAATTGATTTTTTAAAAAAATCATAGTACATGAAAAGGGCGAAGAAATGATTATAATATAGATGAATTCATACACTGTAATCAATCAGATGCAGGATGATTTTTGTTTGTTTGTTTCTTTTGTTTTTTTTCTACACACAATGACTACAAAGTTATATCATTTTACATCTTTTCAAAGCGGTTCAGGGTTGGTGGCCTTCTTTTTTTTTTTAAATGAAATTGAAACTCTGACAGAGATCCTTTTTCAGAGGGCAGACCATAAAAAAAATAACAAAAATAAAAAAATAAAAATTATCACCTCTGTATCTGAAGTCTCTTCCTCAGATTCCATCATGTTCACAGAAACCTTTATAAATAAAAGTGATTGAAATTCTACACAAATTCAGGTGTCCAAGCTTATGCTTTATTTCGACATCTGATTTTTGTACGTTTAAATTGTACGCTTTTATATATATATATATATATATATATATATATATATATATATATATATATAAAAGTGAAATTTCCTCAAATATACCGGCTTACATTTTGCCTATTAACCCCATTGAAGAATGAAAGAAAGGCAAGAATTTATCTGAAAACATGCACCCTCACATTCATGTAATATATATAAATCTGCCCCCCCCCCCCCCCCCCGGAGTTCTGCAGAATATCATACAGACTAGTTAAAATGTGTAGAACATAAAAGACAGACAGACCATTTTCTCTTTGTTTTAAATACTTCTTGCAAAACCTTTAAATAATTAGCAGGAGGATGTATTTGAATTATTGAATATATTCATTGAATAAAAAAAATAATAACCGATCCTTTTGAGAGGCATGCGCACGAAAATGGAAATAATTATGTTATCTATTTTTAGCAAAACTGGATTGTCAAGTGACTTGTCAACATGTCGGAAGGGCGTGAATGTGCTCTGGATGTATTTCGTAAAAGAATTTGGATACTTTATTCTAATCGTTTTTATGCTTATTTCTACTTACCGTTGGATCCATCAAACTTGTACTGTCTCCACAAATTGTCCACTTTCGTAGTGTTCGATGTGTGTCTCTCACTGCAGTTCGATTGTAATAACGTGTAAGTTATTAGTGTGTGTCAAAACATTATTTACTCAATCCTGATTTTATTTATTTTTTTACTAATTATTATTTTTACTCATTTCTGATTTACGATTAGTGTTACATTTTGTATTACTTGAATGAAATAGAAATCCCCATAGACAGTACAGGTTTGACATACCTATCAATGTATACACTAGGCCTTTTAGGTCAGTGTGCATCAGCCCGTGACGATGACCAAACGTCTTATATATGGAATTGAGATATTAGTAGAGAAGAGAAATAGTGCCGACACCGTATCGCATGTAATACGCATAACGCTTTATATTCTTGCGCGATAGCTTTAAAGTTGGCCTAGAGAAGATTTTATAAGATATGATGCATTTTCAATATATGACAAACTTAGCCCAACTTCGCATCCTGAACCCTAAACAGGGATCCGAATTTAACATTTTTGATAAAAGGCTCATTGCTTATCATAATCATGACAACAGCTTGACTACTTGACATCCAGCAGGAGTAGATTTTTGAAGAGACCATGAAATTCACAAATTTTGTTCCTCTTTACCCATAATTTCTATACACCAACACTGATTGATTTTGGCTAAACCATTCCAGATGTTTAAAAGTTTCAGACCAACACACATTGCAAGAGGATGGACAGAGGTAACCTAAACAAGAGGCCTATGGGCCACAACGGTCACCTTCTTTATGGCCCTGTTGTTCTTCATCAGCAGACTTCTTCTCCCATATATTCATATGTAAAGCTTTGATTGCCTTGAATCAGGTGAGCTAAAAACTTAAAACAACACAATCACTGAGTAAATATTTTTATTAACATCGTTCAAACACTTTATATAAATCTGGTAAATTGGCAATTTGTAAAATACTTGAGTCTTCAGCAAAAGACTTGGGAGGGAACAAAAGATTCCGGAATGCACTATATAAAACGTGTTCCACAGTCCACTTCCAGGATTTATCAGTCACTCCCTCTTCTTCCTGAAAGCAGTTGAAAATTATATAACACAGAAGACAAGGGAATTAATCATGATCATTTGTTTGAAGCTTACTTTGTTTAAATAAAATAAACATTTCCAGAAATTATTAAGAATTTTTTCATGAAATGTACTTTCAAAATATTTTTAAAATATTTATAGTTTGAAATCACTCTTTTATTGAATGACTACTTTCTTATTTCATATGAAGGTTTTCTATGGATAATTCTGGTTGATTTGCTAATGTTCAAAATGAGTGCTTTTGAAAAAAGAAAGCCTATTGTAGATGTTTATTATCAAAAAATTGCAAAAGTAACAATACGTCTGAAACACTGAGTATTTCACTGGCTACAATTGATTCATGTGGGACAAAATATCGAAAAATGGAAAGGAATTCAGCAGAGAGAAAGAGCTGGTAACCCCATTTTTCTATACTTAGTGTTGTTCTTACTGAGCAAATAGCCTTCTTCATTCTGTAAATGTTGGTTTACTAGACCTACAAACTCTTTTCCTTAACTGAATTCCTCCTTTTTTAATATCTGTATCACAAAATACGAAGAAGACACTGAAATTGGTATTTCAGAAATATCACCAGATTTAACAATCCCTTACTTATACATTTCTTAAACAGGCTTTCTATTTTCTATAGCAGTAATTTTGAACATCAGCAGAAAACAGGAAGTATATTAAAGGGCCTGAATACAGTTGCATTGTTTACAATTTTAAATGTCTATTTTTATTCAAACTAGAAATATGTCTATAGGACATGAATGCCCCGTCGAGGGTATATTAGTAATGTAACATTTTGACACAAATTGAGAAAAAGTGAGGTCAAGGTCAGGGGAAAGGTCAAGGTGAAAAAATATTGATGCAGTTGAAAAGCTTACATCAGTATGTATCAGCGTATGAAGTTTGACACTAATTTAAGAAAAGTGAGGTCAAGGTCAAAGGAAAGGTCAAGGTCAAAAATTGTTGATGCAGTTGAAAAGGTCACACCAGTATGTATTACCATATGAAGTTTGATAAAAATATTATGAATGGTTTCTTTAAAACTGAGAAAAACACTAATTTAAGAAAAGTGAGGTCAAGGTCAAAGGAAAGGTCAAGGTCAAAAAAATATTGATGCAGTTGAATAGCTCTCATCAGTATGTATCAGCAAATGAAGTTTGACACTAACTTAAGAAAAGTGAGGTCAAAGTAAAGGTCAAGGTCAAAAAATGTTGATGCAGTTGCATAGCTCTCATCAATATCTATCAGCATATGAAGTTTGATAAAAATACCTTGAATAGTTTCTTTGAAACTGAGCTTTGAACAGAGCTAAATGCAAAGTGTGACGGAAGGACAGACGGAAGACTGACATGACAAACACTATATGCCCCGGCCATATTCATGGCGGGGCATAAAAATAACTTCAGTTTAATGAATACATGAATAATCTGAGAATTCAATGACAACGAAATTCTTCAAAACGTCATATTCAAACACCTATGTTAGTAAACAGGGCATGAGCTCTGTTATTGTTAGTGTTGACATTTTACCAGGTGTGTTCAATTTGTTTAGTCTGCACAAATCAATGAGCATAGACTGACAACACTGGTGAGTTGGTTTTGCTTTCTTGCATTTCTACTCTGAACTTTTTGGATTATAGTTTTTATATATTTTTCATTAATACACAACAAAATTTCTACTTTTTTCTCAAGTTTTATCCTTGTGAAATTGCAAGGATATGTGTCAATCACATCCCAAAAATTGTAGTTTTAATAATTTCCAGATAAAAGAATTTTTTTAACGCACTTTTAATATACTTCAGTGTGAAATGCTCTAGCAACATATAAGTCATGTTATTATTTAGAAAATTTTAGAAAATATGAGCTTCAAATCAGTGTCCCAGCCCCTTTAAATAAATAGGATGCTATCCATGAAAACTGCATGTATCATTAGAAAGTAAAGGGTATAGACATTAGGCCAACATTAAAATAATGTTTGCTTGCCCTATCCCGACTCAGGATGAAAAAATTCGTTCAGTATTTCTGAAATGCATAAAAAAAATTGCTTCCTCAAGGTTAAAAAAAGTTTTTAGGCGGACCATTTTTAGCAAGTCAGTCAGGAGAGGGCAACCAAACAATTCTTTAAAGATGGCCTTAAATAAAATAGTAACAGTAAATTATATGGTATGTTATTAATCCAACATTTTAGAGAAATGTATCATAAAAAATTCTCAATATATAATTTCTGGGAACAATATATATATATATATATATTTATTTATTCATAATGGCACAATTCATTTTGATATTTTGATTACCTGTGAATCTGTTGATTCTTTTTCCTGGTTCTGAAATAAACTGGGCTTGAAGCAATAAAACTCGCTTGTCTCCTTACAGAATGTATCAAAACACTCCCTCTCTGAGTCCCAATTTACCTGTGTCCAAAAAGAATAAAAAATGAAAATAGAAATGACAGCTATGCTTCTTTACATACTTGTACGGAATGTTATGTATGTTAACTTCTTTCTACAGAGAAAAATACACAAGCATTTGTTTCAGGTATTAAGGGAATTCATTTCAATATTATTGTAAAGTTGTATAAATACAATTTTTTTAAATAGCGAGATGTTTTACAAATTTAGAAATTATTCTTCAGTGTACCTATGAATTATGTCTTACAAAAATGAAGAAAACCATGAATGTACTATAGATTCCAAAGAATATGTCATATAGAAAGCTCATTTTAAATAATTCATGTTATCAAATACATTCAAGGACAAGTATTTTTTGTATCAGTTTTATTAGAAACACAATCCCTCAATTCACACAAACACATTCTTACAGACTAAATGTTTCTCCTATGTAGTATTAAACTGTCTTAACCTATGGGCAGATAAGGAAATTATATAACTTGTTTGGTCTCAACATAAATTAGCTATGCATCACCATAGCATTTAATTATTTTCACACTCAAAAGTATGATTTAAGAAATGAAATTTTGTTGCAAGAAATAGTAAAAATTTCCCTTCCGAGTTGAATGCATTTTAATGTCTCTTGCAAGGGGAAAATAAATAAAGTTTTATTTTTTTTGTCAATCTTTCTCAATTCTCAATCAATTACTTACCTCAGTGGCCAGCCTCAGTACAAACATTGGAAGACCCTCCATGTTGGGTACATAGTTATCAAGCAGGAGCGGCAGTGTGCATAAATTACCCTTCTGTAAAAAATAAAGTCATCAAATTCTTGGGATAAATACTTGATTATCAGCTCCACTACAATATTGTTACTACAATTCAATTGTACCTGTAACAGACCTCGATAAGTATTAATTCATTAATACAGCTCAACCTCAGTATCTCAAACACTGATACCTCAAACACTGATATTTCAGATATCTCAAAAACTGATATCTTAAACACTGATATCTTAAACATTGATAACTTAAACACAGATATCTTAAACATCATAGATAGGACAAAGTGATGTAGAAGTCCACGCTTCTTTTTCTTTGTGTATTTTAACTTTATTATCTTGAATCTTCAGATATATCAAAGTTTTCCTTGGCCCCATCCATCATGAGTTTGAGATATAACAAGGTAGACTGTAAATGATTAGAGGAATATCAGTTAAAAACCAGAGGGAAGGAAAACTGAGTCACAGTTGTCAAGTCCTTGTTATGTTGATGGTAATCAATTTCTTATGATCACTTGCCTGGTCAATCTCCATGGAGAAATAATCAGACAACATCTCCGCTTTAGATGTCAAGAAATCCACAATGTACTGAGCAAGGTCATCCTTTGGACCATCTGCCTCCGTCCAGCCACTCTCTTCTAGGTCAAGGGCAAGCATGGCAAGGTCATATATAGGGGCTGGCTCCTAAGTGGAAAGGAATAATAATATTTGGAACTTTTAAAATCATAATTTTATTTCCTCCATAATTTAATTTTCTTTATTTTATTTACAAGAATCTATTAAAAATATTCTACAAAAATTGGACGTTTGCAGAAATTACCAGATATATAAAGTACAAGTATAAACTATAATATTCACTACTACAATACTTACTGAAAGTCTAAGTATTCCAAAGTTTCCAAAATCAAATATCATCAGCTGGTAGAAAAGTTCACGACTGAAAAAAGATTTTGTCTAATGTTACTGAATAATCATGTATAGAGCAAAAATGTTTTAGACAAAGTAAAAAATGTTGAAGGTATATTTGATCAATTTATGTTGTATGTACCTTAGTTTGGTTGTGTTTACTAGGTAGAGTTTTGTCTGGTTTGTTGTATGTACCTTAGTTTGGTCATGTTAACTACATAGAGTTTAGTTGGATGCATTGTATCTACCTTAGTTTGGTCATGTTTACTACGTAGAGTTTAGTCTGGTATATTGTACATACCTTAGTTTGGTTGTGTTTACTAGGTAGAGTTTAGTCTGGTATATTGTACGTACCTGAGTTTGGTCGTGTTTACTAGGTAGAGTTTAGTCGGATGTATTGTACCTACCTTAGTTTGGTTGTGTTTACTAGGTAGAGTTTAGTCTGGTATATTGTACATACCTTAGTTTGGTTGTGTTTACTAGGTAGAGTTTAGTCTGGTATATTGTACATACCTTAGTTTGGTCGTGTTTACTAGGTAGAGTTTAGTCTGGTATATTGTACATACCTTAGTTTGGTCGTGTTTACTAGGTAGAGTTTAGTCTGATGCTGCATCAAGGAAAACTCTTTATTGACACAACCCACAAATTTGTGGAACTGGAACATTTCTCTCAGATCTACAATGAATTTAATTGGATAAAAATACTTTTAATGTTGACAAGATGATTGTAAAAATGTCCATGTGAACTTTTTTTATGACCTTGAATTGCTAGAAAGCTTACATTTTGACCATTTGTCAATAGTACAATAGAATTAACGGTGGTGGAGGGAAGGAAAAGGATAAATGTTTCATTCTCTGGAGGTATGAAATATAGACTGACTTTTATGCATATTTTCTTTGATGTCTTCCTGAAGTGTGAGAACACTGGTGAGTTTTACAGGCCTCCTCTTCTGTTGGGCTCCACAACTGGGTAATACCATTCTATAAATAGCAAATCACAACTGGGTATTACCATTCTACAAATAGTAAATCACAACTGGGTAATACCATCCTATAAATAGCAAATCACAACTGGGTAATACCATTCTATAAATAGCATATCACAACTTGGTAATACCACCCTATAAATAGCATATCACAACTTGGTAATACATACAAAGCTCATCTCCATGACTGTTATCTACATATGAAGGCAATGTCTCTCATGATCAATTGAATGTTTAAGTAGTATGCATATCTAGTTGCAACATCCCTGCAAGTTTGGTCTAGATAGGTTTAATAGTTTCTTGGGATGTTCCAAAAATTTAAACTATTTCAATCATCTTGAAAATATAGGTCAGATCATTCTAGAAAGTCAGATGCTGCATCTGAGGAAAGTTTATCCCTAGATGCATCATCCATGCAATTTTGGTCCAGGTAAGCTTATTCCTACTTGAGAATGGACCTGCTCCAAACTGTCGGTCAGATCCAGCATACAAGGCAAGTCTAGAAGTGTTTATCCTAGATGCATCATCCATGTAACTTTTGTCCAGGTAGACCTAAAAGTTACTTTTGAATGGGCCTGCTTTAAAATGTAGGTCAGATCCAGCATCAAAAGCCAGTCTGGTAGTTTGCATACCTAAATGCATCATCCATGCAACTTTGGTCCAGCTTAGGGTTATGGTTACTGGGGAATGGACCTGATCCAAAATATTGGTCAGATCCTGCATCTGAAGCAAGTCTGGAAGTGTGCATTCCTAGATGCATCATCCATGCAACTTTGGTCCAGGTTGGACTTATAGTTACTTCTCCCCTTTCAAACTGTTGCTACAGGCCTGTTATAAATAGCAAAACAATATATGGACCTGCTTCTATCAATCATTGATAATCATACAGATTCCATGATAATTGAACAACAGCTTTAGGAGAATATGAACAACTTCACATGGAGCATGTACTTCTCTGTAATATCAGACATACAAGCCTACATTTTCATATTTCACGTGTCTGTTGTTCGTACTTACACATCACCGCTGGGTGAAGTCTCCATCTGGCTGTCCTCAGACTGGGTGGTGTCTTTAGGGACATCTTCAGTGGTGGTGGTGGTGCTTGGGTTGACTGGCTTCATGAAGGCATCCAGTTTCTGTTCTCTGCTGTCTGTTCTGACCATGTGATGGGCATATGTTTTCTCTGGTCCTAAAAGCAGAGAAAATCTTCTACAATTTGAGTGTATAATGGACATAGTTACATATCTGTATTTTGTCTTTCTTATCCCATTCCTTAGTTTTTCAACAATCTCAATATGTAATAGAAACATATCTCTTTCTCTGTGAAAGATGTTCTAAACTGTGAATCGCTAGTATCATTTTATCAACACACTATTTAAAATTCTGATGAGGAAAATTATGCTAAATTTTGAAACTTGGAGCACTTATTCATGTATAGCAGCTCTCAGTATGGACTGCATGCCCATTTTCATTTAAATGCAAGGTTCAATTTTATATGTCTATGTACCTGTGTTAACTGTTCTAAACAGCCCTATATGGCCTTGGAATGTTGGTTTTAAAAATTTACATTCCGATGTCTATCCAACGAGGTAAATATGTCTATCCAAGAATATACACATGCAAATCTAAATTAATTTTTTTGGAGAGTCAAATAACATCTACATCATCTAAAAAGAATGCAGTATGTATACATAAAAAAAAATACATATTAACTCAGGTGTGTTATTTTACCATGACTTCAACATGGACATGGTTATGATTAGCCATAATGGTTCTTGAGATTTTTTAAAAACCACCACTTTTCGTTTTATTTTCCGATTATCTCTCCCTGCTTAGGGGTCACATCCCTATTTTTAGTACAAATAAAAGCCCTTTGGATACTTTGTGATAAATTAGACAAAAATTGGCCAAGAGGTTCTTGAGATATGGCCTTTTTTGGCTCAGAAGAGATAGATAGCAATAGGTCACATGAGTGACTCAGGTGACCTAAAAATAATATTTTGAACTAGAGAACCACTCAAATATTCTTTAGATCCTAAGGGTTTTTTTCCTTCAACCAATCTAAGTACAAGAATAACTTCTGATCTCGAGTGATTTAACTGCAGGTGTCCATGCCCTTTGAAATACTTTGTTTTTTTTATCCACTTAAATATAGTGCAGGGAAGAGCCTTTCTTCATGGACGAAAATGGAATTGTTAGCCAACTGACCAGAGAAAAAGCTTAACAGGTGAGTTTGATTGCATATATTCGAATTGAAAGAAAGAATATTTGTACTTACAGTAAGACTTGGATACTAGAAAGTCACGTATTGGGACTTGGTATTGAATTTTCTCTCTTTATAACTAAAATTATTTATATCCATGCAAGGAACAATCTTCTATGGGATTAATTAAAGTTTCCTCATCAGCTAGATTTCCTTAAAAGCAAGTTATTTATAACCAAGTTTTACTGTAAAGGAATTGTATTATGTAACATTTCATAATTCTATGATTTACTAAAATTTGAAGAAAACATTTTTTTTTTGTATTTATACACAAATGCACAATTTGTAATGACAAAACTCACTGAAAACTTGTGAGCCCTGAAGTGCAACATTTTAGATCACTGCATTTGGATTATGGAAAAATTATTCCAAAATACATCAGTTTTGCTAAAACATTACTTATTCTGGACTTACAGACTGATTGGAAGTTCATACATTTGCCATACGGAATCTTGTATGCTTTCTAAGCTACAAATAAATTGGATTTATGTATGGAATTAAATATCACCGAGGTCTTCCTTTCCAAACTCTATGACTGTCAAAGCATTGTTTTTGTTTGACACAAATTCTCAATTAGCATACAGATTCAGCTTTGAAAGCAATTACAAAACTTTTAAATGAATCAACTCTCAAGCCAATAAAATCAACTTTTTGACTCCCTCAGGACATGATATAATCAGCTTATATTCCCTAAAATAATTTTTCATATATGGAAAGAGATGCATACTTCCATTTAAATGACATTAACATTGGGATTCTGACCAAAAGAAGCCTAATAAATGTCCTTACTACATCTGCAGTTTTAAAATTGCTCAGTTGCTGCACAAAAGATAGGTTATCTACTCAGCTGTAATTCCCAGCAGCTATTTCAATGCTCTATCATATTCAATCTAGTAAGACCCATAGACACTTTTTCTGCTGTTTTTTAAGATAAGTATCAGAGACCAATTAATAAAGCCATTGCAAAATACCATTCATAGGATGAGCATTTTACAAGTAGAGGGGATGAAAATAGGTCAGTTACTACTAATATATCAAAATCTAGAACAAGTATGAATGGAAGCAACTTTGATCTCAAGAGTTTACTTAAAGCATTGTACAGTACAATGTTTTGTAAAATAAATATAAGTGGAAATTTTATAACTAAGACAAAACAGTAAAAGCCAGCTATAGTTGAACCTCTGTATCCCGACTTTATTTAGTACTTGAAATAAATCTCAGGGAGTTGTCTGTCCTGACCATAATAAGAATATGAAATTCAACTTCAATATCTCAGGGACATGAGTACTTCTTTTTGGACAATCCCACAATGCTCCACAGTTCTGCTTATACGATATCAAATCTCCTATGAGCAATGTCATTGTAATGTCAATTTGTATTACAGTAAAACTCGGATATAATGAAGTCACTGGGACTTTGAATTTTACTTACTTATGACTGAGATTCTTTATATCCATATAAGATTGATTGATTGTGCGTTGTTTAACATCCCGAATTTTTCACTCATATAGAGACATCACCATATTCCGGTGAAGGGTTTCAAATTTAGATCTTTACTCGACACTCAGAGCCATTGAGCAGTGAGGAATCTTTATTGTGCCAATGCCTACCATGACATGGGGCCTCTGTTTTTAAGGTCTCCAAGAGACCCGCAACTTTCACTCCAAAGTGCTAAATAGACTCATTAAAAATTCCTTATAACTGAGGCTTCCCCTTTAACCATGCAAGTTCTTTATACCGCGAGTTTTACTGTATTGACTTGTAATTGTTGCACTTTTTGGCAAATACGTTGTATTTCCACTATTGAAGAGTTATACTTCTTAGTGCGCTCTTTTGTGAAAAAGTCAGGAAATGTACAAATCTCGCGGGATTTTTGGGACAAATGTAACATAAACATGTAAACAAATGTTGAAAGTCGATGAACAATTCCTAAGAAAATGCAGATGAAATATTTTATTGTTGTGGACTTTATATACATTAAGAGTAGAAATGACAACGATATCAATTTACATCTATTGTTGATCGTATGTATCTATTTGTCGTATGGTACATTTAAATACAATACACATGCCTCGGAAACGTCGTATTTTTTATTAATGGATGATAAATTTAGGGTTCTTGCTCTCTTACATATGTCTTTTAGTTCGTATATTCTTTAATTGGAATGATAAATACATTTAACATTTAAAATTGGATTGAGGTTGGCATGTTTTGTATAATCCACACCATACCCAGTCAGACGACCAAACGCGCCTCTAATTTTGAAGAGTTCACTAATGGAAAACAAACGTATTAGGATATTTTTATTGAAAGTACATACTTAACATTATCTTATTTGCTGTGACAATTTTGAAACATTTTACCAGAATGGCAGTGAACAGATCAAATATCCTGTGTAAATATCTCAGATAATACTATTATTGGTTTATACTATACTTCTAAAGCTATTAATGAAATTCCTTTCATCAGCAAAAAATGATGAAGAGAAAAAATACTTTTATTAACTTAATATCCTGTAAACCAACTTTTATTTGGGTGCAAAATATATCCGTGAATTTCACAACCTTGCTTTACGTGTGAATAATTCTTGTCGCCAACTATTCATTTTATTGTGTATATACAGTCAAACTTCATTATCTCAATCACAATGGGATAGGGAAAAAACTTCGAGGTATAAAAGTTGTCACAAATAGTAGTTGGTTTAATGTATTATAACAATTAGATTAATTTTAATTAGATTAATTTTTTGAGTCCATATAAATCTGCCAAATAGATTTAACTAGTCTAAATACAGTCAAACCTCATTATCTCGAACCCAAAGAAACAGAAAATACTTCGAGATAACCGAGGATTACAGATATCCAGGGTGAAATACTTAAGGAATAAGCAGTTGGGACTTAAAAACCACTTTGAAATATCCATAGTATTTGAGATATCCATGTTTGAGATACCAAAGTTCAACTGTATTCTTACCACCACTGGTAGATTTAGAAGAATTTGGATCCTCCTCTTTACTGTCTAGGGACACAGGTGCTCCTGGTAGCAGGGCCTACAAAAGAAAAAAAAAAATTTATTAGTGATTTAAATCCTTCCACTACTAAATTTGAAAGCAGCTAATTTTTTTTTTTTTTTAGAGTAGTACTAGTGTAAGCATATTTTAAGAAATAGCAATATTTTAAGCAAATTTTGAAATGTTAAGTAAATTATTAAGTATTTTGTGACTTGTGCCACAAAAAAATAGTTACAGACATATATTTGTAAATCTAGATTCATACATAGAATTTGGACCCATAACAGCTCAACCATTTCTATGTAAAGTGAATGCACATGTGTGAATCATTTTGAATAAAACCATTAATCTCTGCCTGCAACTGAAAAATCTAGACTGTGAATGAAAAACTTTGTACACATATATTCCACAGTAAATAATACATCTAGACTGTGAAAGATAAACCATGTACAGGTAATTCCATAGATATCTCTGCCTGTAAATGATAAATCTATACTGTGAATGATAAACTTTGTACTAGTAATTCAACAGGAATCTATAAACCAAGACTTGTATAAACCTGGGTACACGAATCTTAACCTGCATGTGTACAGTAAATGTAGACCTGTATACAGTATATCTAGACTTGTGTACAATTTAGATCTGTGTACAGTAAAACTAGACCTGTTTACAATAAATCTAGACCTGTTTGAAACAAATCTAGACCTGTTTGAAGTACATCTAGTCCTGTACACACTATATCTTTGTACAATAAATCTAGATGTGTGTTTAGTAAATCTAGACCTGTGTACAATAACTCTAGACCTGTGTACAATAAATCTAGATGTGTGTTTAGTAAATCTAGACCTGTGTACAATAAATCTAGATGTGTGTTTAGTAAATCTAGACCTGTGTACAGTAAATCCAGATCTGTATTCAGTAAACCTAAAACTACAATAAATCTAGACCTGTGTGCAATAAATCTTGGATTGTTTTCAATAATAAAGTGCCCCGCCACAGCATGATACACCCGTCAAATATTGTTCAATTATCACAAACATTTTAGAGTGCAAGAAAATCAAGTCAACCTTGATACACGGATTTCCATGATTTTTCCATTCCTTATAATATTTCTTTATACATTTCCTGTGGTGTAGGCATGAATTATAACAAATATTACATTATAGATCCTCAACTGGTTGTGTTAGAGCTTGACAAATGCCCATCTGCAGCCCCCCCCCCCCCCCCCCCTTTTCATATTTGTGAGACATGATGCTCTGAAATTTGTTAGTTGATATTTTCAAAAAATTAAATAAAAATATCATATTATTCAATATGAATTTACTCTTAACAACTTAATCTATACCATCCAAATTAAATTTAAAATAAAAGACTGGCCATCAAATGAAATATGCTATAAACTGACCAGCAGTTCTTCTGTTTAATTCCCAAAGGATACAGATAAGAACTGCTTGATCAGATATGCTCTAACAGAAATGATTGAGACAGCTAGCCTTCCTACACTGAACTCATTAATTAATCTTTAACTGGATGCATGTCCACTCATTACTCCCAAAGGATGAATGAATCTGCGCTATCTGCTTTGTAGTGCAATTAAAATGCATATTTATGTCACACTGAAATTAAATTTGAAAACAAAGATTTTTTTTCCAATTTGTTACAAAGATTTATAAAAAGAAAAAAATGTAATCTTGATGCAACATTTTTAATAAGGTTTCTGCTTGACTCTTAGATTTGTAGGGACTATCTACCATAATTAAAACTTTTTTTTTGAAATACTTAATTTTTTTTTTTTAGACTCAATGTCAGACTGGTTTTAAGCTGCAATTCATATGGAGAACCGGCATGCTAATTCCAATATCACCCCCCCCCCCCTTCCGAGTATAATTAGTTTTAATTAATTAGTTTAATATAAGATATCAAATTAGTTTATAATACATTTAATACAATATCAAATTAGTTTTAATTACTTTTCACCAAATTCATTTTAAAAGTTAGGCTAGCCCACAAAAACTATGTAATCCAACATGGCTGATTCCTCTGCCCAATTCCCAAGAGATATAGGTATCACACCGGTAATTGACCAATCAAAATGAACTTAGTCAATTGTAGTTCCATACATAATAAAGAAATATTTTTTTATTGTGAGAAATTTTTTTAATTTCCCTTATTCTCTTTTTACATTTTTGGTATCTGTGCTTAAGATATTTTATGTACTTTGTAAAATATTAAAGGTTTTTGACAGGAACTATTTCTTTCGGGGCATAGGAGGCCACTTCCTGGGGTGCACACAGGATGTTTATAAACACATTGAATACACGTGGTTTTGAGGGTATTCCTGTTTGCGGATGGAAAAAATCAGAAAATGCCGTGTAGGTACCTTATTTTTTGGTGTCAGCTGATGTGACTGGTAACGTTTAACACTTCCTGCGAAAAATTTTTTCATGAATACGAATACCTGATTTCTAATGATTTTTTATTCTATATAGAATTACATAGTGAAAACAATTACAGGTGTGATACCTTATAGATAACACCTGCTTGATCGGCAATGCTCTACCAGTTAGCTCCTCACACTAAACTCATTAATTTCTCTCTAATTTGACATGCAATTTTCTGTTATCAAAATTCTCCTTGACCAGTGCTTGATAATTACACCCATGGGAGAGGTGGAATTTCTCTTGTAACATTATGTTTCTTATAGATTGCTGTAAAGTATATAATGAAAAAAATAAGTATTTTCTTGATTTTAACATTTTTTAATAAGGATACTGCAACACTTTTACATTTTTTGGGATTGTGTAATATAATAGTAAAAAGACAGGTTTTTTTTAAAATTTCACTTAAATTAAAGGTCACAGTGACCTTGAAATAGGTCGCGACACACCTTCCTCCTAAGATGCATAAACTGGCCAAGTTTGATGATTCTAAGTCTAATAGTTTTCTAGTTATGAGCCGGACAGGATTTTTCCATATTTGGCCATAGCATCTTAATTAAAGGTCAGAACGACCTACTTTTTGTGCGCGACACACCGTCTACCCAAGAAGTATCAGCTGACAAAGTTTGATAATCCTAGGCCTAATAGTATTAAAGTTATGAGCCGGACACGAGAAAAGCTTACAGACAGACAGACGGACAGACGGACGGACATGAACGCCATAACATAATACGTCCCGTCTAAAGACGGGCGTATAAAAATCTAAACCTGTGTACAGTAAATCTAGACCTGTATTTATTAAATCTAGATGTGTGTATAGTAAATCTAGACCTGTGTACAATAAATCTAGATGTGTGTTTAGTAAATCTAGACCTGTGTACAATAAATCTAGATGTGTGTTTAGTAAATCTAGACCTGTGTACAATAAATCTAGATGTGTGTTTAGTAAATCTAGACCTGTGTACAGTAAATCCAGATCTGTATTCAGTAAACCTAAAACTACAATAAATCTTGGATTGTTTTCAATAAAAATCTAAACCTGTGTACAGTAAATCTAGACCTGGGAACAGTAGCTCTGGACCAATTTACAGTATTTCTATAGAACTCTGATTCTTCATCCTATACCTGTATGACTTGACTATGATAAATCTTCACCTGTGTATAGTAAGTTCTGCTTGTGTTTGCTCCCAGAAGTTTGGTCTCAATAGCTGACTGAATACTGGCAATAATCGCATCCTCATGAAGAAAATGAACCTCATGTTTCGTAGGGTGTACATTGACATCAACATTTTGAGGAGCAATTTCTAAACTGAAATAAAAAACTTGAAATTAATACAACATTCTCAAGGGACTATATTCTGTACTGACCAATTTTTGCCCTTAGAATAAAATTCTGAAGCAAAATCATCCATCCCTGGCACTTCATTATAAGAGTGTTTTAATGTACTGAACATTGCTCCTCAAGAAAAAAAAACCTCTACCAAAAATCTATACTTATAAATTAATAAATTTTGCAAATAAACTCCGAAACGGATGCACCAGAGTTTTTACTTACTCCTCTAAGAAAACACTAGATGCAATATGATGTCCGTAAACTATATTTAGATTTCACTCGCATTGTAAGTATCGTACATTAAATCAAAAGTCTACTTTTATTTTCTATAAACAGCCATGAAATAGCAAAAACGTGAGTACGATGGCGTTTCCGGTTGGCGGATCTAAGTTTCTGGCAATTTTCAATGAAACTGACAACAATCGTTTATTTATTTCATAAAACGTCATCACTGAATTATTTAACCAAAACTTGATTTAAATGACATAAAAGAAATAAGTTTTGATAACCGATTAGAAAGGGAAATGTGCAAATAATTTTTGTCATTCACCGATCTTAATATTGACGGAAGCTTCTAGAACATCATATAGCATCGAGCCCGATGTTAAAAATAAAAACGAGACGATTATAGCTGCAGGAACATAAAAAAAAAAGCTTTTGTGTGAATGGTCATTGAAATAATGGTAAATCATTGATAACACTTTAAGTTGTGAATATATTTATATATCGAAAGACTATTACATATGTGTAGTAGGTTTTCCTAATAAATTTATCGGTATAATGTGTATGTTTTCCTTACTGAGAGCATCGTGGCAACGAACCCGAATTACAATTTCTACTTCGTAATAAAATTGCTTACATGAAAAGAGAAAATTAATGAATAAAATATTGCTCATATACAATTAAAGCTGTAAAATTTTGTGCTTTAATCAATACATTTCAGTTTTTTTTTTTCTGAATACAGTCTTTTGTATCAAATACTCGGCCTATACATAGGGCGTTAAAAGCTAATTTTTACACTGGTACTTGCGTCTTGGTTTATATATATGTATGTACCTTATTGACATGTAAAAAAGGTAACGTACATTTTTTACATATCAATAAGGTACATACGTATTTTAAACCAAGACCCAAGCACCTGTGAATTTTTAAACACCCCCCCCCCAAAAAAAATTATCAGTAAAATGTACATATTCGCTGCTTTTATCCTTGACGGAAATGAAATAAAAGCATCTGAAGTACAATATCCATAACATAGTATAACAGATTTCACAATAAACATCAATTAATGAAGTGTCATTTTTTCAAGTTTTTACAAAAGGGGGTGGGGTGGGGGGTTGCAGACGCACATGCGGGATTTTGAACAAAGTATTTCTTCCTGCTATAAGCCTGTAGGCTGTCAGTATAAACTATAATATATTTTCTGTTGGTAGTGGTATTTTAATTACCCGCGCTTGCGCGGGATTTCATCTAGTTTTAAAAAAAAAAAAAAGAACAAAATATTGACCAAAAATATTGATATTAAGGGATCATCTTTATTACTGAATTTCAAATTTCAAAAAATTTCAAATATACCACAGCATATACTAGTGTTAATTACTTATTGCAAGCTGTGGAATCTGTGTTTCGGACAATATAGTATGAAAAAATGTTAAAAACAACACCAGAAGCTTTGAAGTGACACCAACCAAAACAAAGCAATACCAGCACTCATTCTTTATAGACACTGTGATCAAGTGGAACCACCTGGACAAAGATACAGTGAGGGCAAAATCTGTCCAGGCCTTCAAGACCACCCTTGACAAGATTGTCAATAAGATGGACAGCGCTCTCTCCCATCATATAAAAACCAGTACTGGGTGCTAGGACGTATACAGATACAGCATGCAACTTTCACAGCTTTTAGAAATTCCTTTTCAGAGCAATCCCTATTATCAATATTGAATTTTGTAAAAGGACTGTCCATAGTACAGTTAGTACTAGTGCACCAAGCACGAGTCTCTGTCTACAGTCATCTGCATTTGCTTTCATGAAACTTAAGCATCTTTCTGACCTAATGTGTTAGAATGGACAATACTTGTGGCTAATCTCTCAAGGTTGCTCTGATTCATGTCATTTTCTCTTTGAAAAGTCTCTCTACTGACAAAATTCTAAAAATTTCTGATTGAAATTATTAAACTTTAATATAGGTGCAAATATTTTAACACCCGCAAAGATAGGTTAACTGGTATCAAAAAATGAAAAGGGTATTATAATGATATAAGCTTTGACAAAGAAATCTTATTTTTATTGCCAGTTTTGTTTGAATCAACCCCTTTCAAGTAATGAAAACATCTATTTTGTGTTTTAAAAATGTAGAAAAATGCATTAATAAATTATGTTTGCAATTATTAGCTGTTTACAATAAAAATTTCAAAATAACCTAAATTACCTACACACAAAAGAATATTTACAACTGGATACTGACTTGCTCAATAATGCAACAAAAAAAAAGGATGATTAAGAAGCACCTACATATTTCACCTTTGACAATGTTACTTTAACAAAACAACATAACTGACCTATTTTAAATTTGACAACTGAACTGTTTAAAAAACAAACCTGATGACCAATGAAAAACAAAAATATTTTTACCTCTGTTTTGCATAAATGCATCATTTGCTTAATAATAAATCTATTGTTTATTTTATTCAGATTTTCTATCCCCATCACCTGAACAATGATAAACATTCAAACAATTTTCTCCAGATTGTTCCCCAGGGTTTTCCTAATGATGTGGGCTAGTTATAATTAATGGTCTGTTGACTAGAAACTTAGTCCTACTTAGTAATACAATGGGTAATTTGATTTTTCAATTATGTGTTTTCATGGCCAGGGTCCCAGGAGTCTCGACCTTGTATCTGCCATTGTCTACTGACTGAAACAGGTCCCTAAGAATCATAGCATTCGTCTCTACTTTGTATATCCTGAGGCTGAAATACTGAACTCAAGAAAGAATCTTTATCAGTTTGAATTGAAAACATTTAAATTTAGGATTTGGAAAAATGATCAAATCATTATAAAGTTACCCTGCCAAAAACCATTATACATGAATACTGTAAGTCGTATAATTCCATGGTGTTAAAATTTCACCATTTCTCAAAAATTACCAATCGCGATGGTTTTAATTTCACACTGCAAGAAATTGATTTAAATTTTGTATAGGCATTTAAATTTTTTTAAAAACTTATGATAGCATTCACTATGGGTTTAATTTCACAGAAAAATGATGAATCGGGAACATAGTGAAATTTAAACCATCATGATTATTTGCCAATCTACAATATTTAAATTTTCAATTTTTTTTTTTTCGAGATAAAAGTACAAATTAGTAAAAAAAAATTTGATTTCTTCTTAAAACTATCCTTTCTTCGATAGGCATGGTTAACCAACAGTTTTACTGTAAATTGACTTTTTTCTACGACGCTTAACATCTTTTCTATGGTGAAGTCTTTTCCTTAAAGTAAAGAGGGGCTGCATGCTTTCAGCATTTTTTCAGTATTTAATTCTAAAATGTATTACAAACAGGCACATTTGGAGCCAAGCTTCATTCACACTTGTATCTACAGTCAAACTTCGTTATCTCGAAGTTGACGGGACTGTTGATGAACTTCGAGATATCCGGGGGTTCGACATATCGAGGGTTATAATTCAAATGAACTTCAAATAAACTTAGAGCAGTGAACATATACTTAACTGTAAAAACATGTCAAAATTCCTTCTTGTTTGAAATTCTGTATACGATTTCTTTAGTATACATGTACAAGTATTTAGCAATAAAAAGATTTTTGCATCCTCTTTATAATTCGCAAAATAAAACCTTTGTATAATATGCACAGAAGTATAATCCTTCTACCAACACGGCAAGTCAACCACTAGCATCGTTTCCCATGTATACATAACCGGATATCGTCTATGCATAGTAAATTTAAAACCGGTCGCTGTCAGAATAACGAAAACGAAATTTACATTTCTTTTATTGGAAAAACATGATCATACATGTATAATCGGTTAAAATAAAATTATTTTACCAGAATAAAATCAAATGCAAAATAAGAATCACACACTTTTGTCTAAAGAGAACAACACTGAATCACAGGGCACTATATAGCACAAGTTTTCAGTGCGACACACGTTCACATGATAGTTTGTACGGACGATTGTAAATTTTGCACGCTCATATAGGAAAAATAAATTCTAACTGCATAAATTACAGAATTTTGTTTCACTTCGATGTTTATAATTTTCACTTTCATATGCATAAACTATGTAAGCGCGCATATTTCACATAGCATTAAATAGCGATTATCAAGATAAACGTACCCAAGTCACAAAACAATTAACGTGTCATCCATGCGTATGCATTAGACTAATACACACAACCTTTGGCTTGCATGATTAAAATCAAGGTAAGCCATACATACACTTCGCATAATTATCGCGCTATTATCTGTTGATCACAGGAACACAGGTAACCCGAGCGTGACTGACAAGTGGGTGTTATCAATAGAGCATTCAGTTTACCTAACGGACTTGATCATCAGAGCGGAAAGTTATCCTGACTTCGAGATAACGCATATGATTTTAATGAATGGGTACACAATTTTACTTCGAGATAACCGGGGTATTCGACATTACCGTGTTCGACATAGAGGGGTTTATTTTAATCATTTATAAAGCAAATATCGTCGGGACCGCGGCCTTACTTCGACATATCGGGGGTATTCGAGATATCCGTGTTCGAGATTTCGAAGTTTAGCTGTAGTTTGTTTTAAAATCATTACATTATCCTGTACTTGAATTCATAGACAATAAACAGTCTGAAATGCACAAAATATGATTACTGCTAAATTAAACATGTTGGACCACGAATATTATAAATGTGAACAATTCCGTCATCTTTGGAAGGTCGTTACAACTAAGTTTTACCGAAATTTGATTTTCATTTCGTGTTGTGAAAAAACTGAAAATAGTACATCAAATTTATCATTGAAGAGGTAATGAGAATTGTACCGAAAATTTTCCAAGTTATACACAATGGTATACTGAAACTAAACACAAGGTCCATGGGCCACAACATAATTAACTGATTCACTATGGTCCTGCTGTACGTTTACCTGAGATTCTTGAGTCCTCAGATATCATGAAATTTTTTTCTCTGTCGAGTTCAAGATTACAAGGATTGATTGTATATAAAGTCCTCTAATTCTAATGAATAAGAGATATTTCTATTGTCTACAATGTTTGAAGATAATTAAAGCACTAATAGTGATTATCTCTTTTTAATTATAAATTGGGGATAATGAATGCAGACCAATGCAGATGTAACAAGTTTTTAGGCCTGAGTTTTACAATATACAGTCAAACCTTGCTATTGTAACGTATTTACATAAAATTACAGGGATCGTACCTGGTCAATTCCAGGGTTTTGGGTGTTCAACATTAACAGATTAAAAACTGACTAGTATGATTTAAGTGGACTGCCGAAATATACAAATATGTCCTAACCTTATCTAGGTAAACAATAATCAAATGGTATTTTTAAATCATTATAACAATCGGAGGCAAGCAACAATAAATTATTTGGTAGTCCTAACCTAATACTAAAACAAAAGCCCAGTCTCCCTCGGACTACCACATATACTGTAGGATGCCTTATTCAGGACGGACAATATATGTGATAGCCCTTCAACCACTACACTCACTGTAGGATGCCTTATTCACGACGAACAATGAGTATAGCAGCCTGGACGACGGACTGGTCAGCCAATGCAGACAAACTAACTAACTTTATGGCTAGCCTCTTTACTGGAGGACAACCTCTTCGTGGCAGGCCTTATATCTGGTTTGCCAAACCTCAAATGGCCTTCCAAATTCACTCTCAAACTGTGAAAACAGGAGAGGAATTAATAACTGAAAATATTTTATCCAGTATACTTTCATTCGTCTTCTCTCCTTGGCTGCATCCGAAGAATAACCGTAGACAACTGCGGAGTCTCCCTACATATACACAATTAAAGTCACGTGATGTCAACAGTGACTAATTGAGAACTCTGCATGGTCATACCTTAAAATTCCGGAATCATTACACTATGTTAAAACATTTTGAGATTTTTGAGGATTCAAAATATATACATCAAATAAATCAAAGAAAAGTGGTTAAGAATACCAGCTACAGACACAACCTAACACCAGCGCAAACCCCAAGCGCACCCCGGGTTCGCTTTCTGGGTTCGCTCGGGGTCCGCTTTCAGAAATTTTGGGTGCGCTCTGGGTTCGCCTTGGGTAATGTTTTACTTACATCGAATAACAAACTGGCATGCCGATTGGTCGACGCGCTGATTGGTTAACACGTCTTATCCCTAATCCTAATTGACAGTTCTGTTACGCAACACCGAACGCACGATCGCTTTCTGGGTTCACTATTGAATTTGGGGTTCACTTTCGGCATTCGCCAGTGTGCAAAATTAACGGTAGACCGATAGACAAAATCTATAGAAAATGCGTCCGGTCTATTGCAAGGTGAATATCTCAAAACTGATTTGTCTATAGAGTAAACGCGGCCGTTTTTCTCGATACAACTTTTCATGTAAGGTCTCTGAGGAAAAATCACCATGAATTTCCCAAAATTATTACTTCAATGATTCCAAGCCACTGAAAACTTAAGCTTAAATGCTCTATTGTTCAAAAATCTCCTTCATCTAATCCATTTTGCAGTACTAAATTACTACGTACATGATTTATTTATTCCTAAAAATGATCGTCATTTTTTGTAATCCAAATTTCCTCACTTCCTCTGTTTATGGTAAATACGTCTAAATTTCCCATTAAATTATCTCCTGACTCAGTAAACGAAAGAATGGTATTGGTTTGATTTATATCACATAAAAAATATATAATTAAAGTACATTTAAAATTTTAACATAAAAAAATCAATGCTCACTATACAATCTAAAGGCATGCACCTTTGCAAAAGAGGATAGAAAGATAGTTAATGTATATTAAATTCAGTGATATTCATTTTCATGACTGTTGATTAACTAGTACATAAAAATCAATTTCATTCTGAGAAATATGCTTAAAATTTTTAACCAATATAGCCAAAGAAAAAATCCTTGGAGCCTAGCATTTTTTTCTTCAACATGTTGCAGTAAACATTTTTTTTTTTGCCTATTCACACAAGTTTTCATTGACAAGAATTGAAATCTTCTTAGAAATTTTAATGTTCCCTGCATCTGAAAAATTCAACATGTTCAAATTGTACAAAAAAAAACCTGGAATCATTACTTAATAATTGTGGTTATAAACGTCCATGTGTCTAATGTCAATGCATAAAATAATAAAGTGTAGCGAAAAAGGAAAAATCCATTGAAAAATATGCAATTAAAATATAAATATACAGGGTTGTCCCTAAAAATTAAAATAGCAGGGGACATTAAAAGAGTAGAAGGGGATTTGGGGTTCCTCTCCTAACAGGGGAGTGAGGAGGAATACCAAAGTAACTTGGGGGATTATGTCATTATAGGCGGGGAAGTTCCCCGGCTCCCGGGCCTTAGGGACAACCCTGAATATATATATATTTTTTTTTGGTCTATAGGAAATTTGTCAGGCCTATAAAATTTGAAATTATTGTAGACCAATTGTCTACAGCTTAAAAGAGTTAGTTTCGCACACTGATTCGCTCTAGGTGCGCTCGGGGTGCGCTCCGGGTTCGCTCGGGGTCAGCTATAGCGAACCCCAAGTGAACCCGAAGAGGACCCAGAAAGCGAACCCGGGGTGCGCTCTGGGTTCGCTTTCTGTTAGGTTGTGTCTGCTCAGTACTGTAACTTTGAAAAATTCAACATTATATTGACATATTTATCAAAGTCATCAAAGATATCAAATTTTGAGATACAAAAGTTCAACTGTACTCTGATATCTTGAACTTAAATATGTCAAAAAGTTCAACTATACCTGAATTTGAAACAATGTTTTGTCAATAATTCTACAATTACCTCAGGTAGGCAAAAGGATGCATGTTTTTAGGAAGATATGCTTGGTAAATTGTGTCCACGGCTTTACGTAGAGATGAAGAATCCACCAAACGGTCTGAATAAAAAAAAACTACTTAAGCATTAAGATGCAAGAAATACAGCGCCTTGAAAGAAAGTAAATTCCCTGCATTATTTTACCCTTCATGAGATCTGGCTGACTGTAAGTCCTTAACAAGTATTACTTACAAGTCACTCAAATACATATGTACGTAACAAGTACTGTACACAAAACTCGTTTATTACAAACGGATATAGCAAATTTTTCTTGGATCCCCAGCTATATACATTTAACCAATTTCTTATATGGATATAACAAATTACGGATATAGGGAAGTAATTTCACAGGTCCCAGTGACTTCGTTATAACCGAGTTTTATTGTAAACTTATTACATTTGGCTGTGTATTCTTTTTAGTGCCTTTTGCAGTAAGCTACTTCCACTCATTTAAGTACATCGCTAAATGTCTTCCACATATACACATAAATTAGAGCACTACGAAATGCACTAAATCAAATCTACGCTAACTTGTTCAAAAATTAATTTCCGCCAAATATCGTCCCTGTGCATGAGGTAATGCCTTAATTTTTAAGACAATTCATGAATTCTAGTAGATCACAATAAATTTAGTGATCCTGTCTGTTGTGGTTAACAAATGGATAATTTTCAGCTTGAAGACACATGATGCTACATTTCAAATTTTTTACTTACGGTTAATAAAAAGAAGAAATATACATTTCTTCATTGAGTAATTAGCGTTGGTCACGTAACCATGGCATTTGAAGGATAATTTTTTGTCCTCATGTTGAATTTCCAGTAGTTCTCTACAAAAAGACAGAATTGTATTTACACACTCATGAAATTTACAAAATTTTAACTGCATACTTAAATTGGGACTGGACTTCTTTCGAAAGATACAAAACAAATTGAGAGAAGCTCTGAGAAAATTCAATGTAAACATCACTTTAACAATGTAGATATATTGAGTAAATGCTAGTTCTTATAACTGTAAAATTGCAAATTTTGGCAACCTACAACTTTATTTTCAATGACAATTCACAATAAATATTAGAATTGTTCTAAGGTTTCTGTTAAATATTGGTACAACTTTCAATTTTGTTATCTTTTAATGCAAAAAGTTTCCCACCGACATCAGTGTTTGAAACTCCTAAAAGTACAAGTTCTGTTAGATTTTTCATTTACAACAACCAATGCCATACTCTCTGCAATATACTGTCTAACTCAGACTTCTCTCGGACCTATACCCAGTTACTCAGGATATCATTTCAAAACCACATGGCCAGAAATTTTTGAATTCATCAGCAGCTAGCATGAGATTTGAGATGTAGGTACAGTAAAACTTGTTTAATTGAGATATTATGCATTCAATTTTTACTCCCTTTCAGTAAATTCATTGGTTTATAATGTTGCACAAACCAGAATGATGTCTTTTCAGTCTACAAAATAAATGGTGTCCAAATTGGACATGTTTTGAAAGGGTCTGACAATCAACAAGCATAGAAAATTTTAACCCTATTAAATCATGTGGAAAATGTCATGTAGACCCAGCTTATCATCAGAAGCATATATGACAAGCCTTTCATGTAAGTGAATTTAATGATCCTTTATCGATATCACACTAGCAGTAAAACATGGGTAATACTATTGGCAAAAACTTTTAAGCTCAATGGTCAAGATTGAGATATTGCAACATCATCAATTTTGATGTATGAAATAATTGTCTCGCCATTCACAAAATTTTCAAAATCAGCATGCAATTATGATATTTATCCTTTTTTGTTTGTAGCTGCAAAGATAAATGGTCTTACAGTGATTCATTTTGAAAATGGTTATCATGGGTCCAAAGGACCCCTCTTACTGACAAGTCCCATGCCAAAATCAGTGCGTCCAAATCCAAGAGTGTTGTATATATTAAATATTACAGAGGAATTATGGTGAAATATAAAAGGGTATTGCACAAAAGTTTTATTGTAGCTGTGAGTGGTTTATAATTTTACTATTGTCCAAGTAAGAGTACATGATTTTGTGTCATAAAAATAATATATTGTCAACTGTGCACTTTGGTTCTATTTTTATTAAGATCATACATACGATCTCACACATTGCATCAGTCATAAAATGCACAGAAGCAGAATAAGTAAAGAAAGTTTAAGAAGAAATGAAAATAGAAATAAAAGTAATTAAAAATTTTATACTTCTTATCTTGTAAGGAAATAACGAAAAAAAAAAATTATACAGGTTACAGCTGAAATACAAAGGTATAGTATTCGCTTCAGAAATGTTCCACAGTATAATCAGTGATAATCGAACTATGCTATCTAACTTTCAAATATTTTCTGATAATTGCTTGTTAACTGCAATTGTGAAATCTGACCTGTTGTTAGCAACCTTATACCTGTTAAAATCGTTCATGCATATCGCTTAGCACGTGGATTATGATGCAATCGGTCAAGTTTTGAATCAGATTATACCAAAAAAAATTAAAATAATACATGTCATTCTATAAATTTATTGCATCCATTGGGATGCACATTTATTGAAATAATGCGTCCTGAGCAAAATTTGTGCGTAATTTACGCAGGACCGGACCAAAATGAATCACTGCCTTATAAAAAAAATGCTTTCGTGGTATGAATATGACCATTTTTTTATCATGAAGGTTAACATGTTAATTGTCCGATGCTATAAAAATTAGCCAGTGTGTCTCAATCACTTTTATTACAGGTTGTGCTGTGATGACAACTAAAAACATATATGTTTAAGGCAGTTTGACCAAGTTTACACGTTCGTACTTCTATTATGGGTTTTATTTGTTGTTTTTTTTTGATTTTTTGTTTTGCAAAGCTGTCTATTTATTGATTAATGCATAATGCTTATGTGACATCTGCCTGCCCACCATTGCTGGGATCCAAACTCAAATAGTGAAGAAATAAATTCTTCTCTTTTTAACCCCCCCCCCCCCCCCCAAAAAAAAAAACAGTAGTCTCTGACAGAACTGTAGCTGATTTATACTTAACAAAGGTAGAGAAAACTAGCACTTGGACTTGAAACTTTGGCAAAAGCAATAAATAAAATAATGATATGATCCTTCCGTAGTTTAGTGTGTTTTTTCTCCTCCTACAGTTGTCAAGTTTAATTAAGAAATAATAAAATAACAAGGTTAAAAAGTTTTCTGGGACATGAGCTCGGTTGGTCTTCTGAACAAATCCTTTAGGCGCAATAAAACCAAAACACAGCTATCTTCTTTTAATATTTAGTAACCATGGCAACATCATTCATCAAAATCAAAAACTGATAAACAGAATTTTGTACATGTATCTTTAAGTGTAGTCTACTTGTCTACCATGTTATATTGAAACTGGACCAAAACTGTGTGAGGAGTAGCATTTTTGAAAAATTGTTTTTAGACAAACTAACAGACAGACAACGGACACAGTAGCTTTACTATTGCATCAGCTCTTCCGGCTCGAAGACCATAAACTGAGAACAGACTTAAGTCAAAATTTCAAACCATTATAACTTGTGAAATAATTTTGATAATAAAACAAAATTTTCGTCATTTAATTGTTTAAATTGAAATGCTTAACAAAATTGCAATATTTTTAAGCAAATTTTTTAGTTAAATAAAACTCAAGATGTTGAAAATTATATTAAAATTTTGACTTATAGACACATGCCATAAGTCACCGTCAAAAATTCAAAATGGCTGTGAATGAAAAAAAAATACTGTAGAATAAAAGCATTGTTAACCTTCAAACGACGTTGATGTCTGTTCTATTTTTAGTATTGTGGAATTCCCCTACATTCCTTAAATGTTACGTAATTTCCGGAAGCTAGACTATCGTCTGCACTATTTTTAATAGATTGTTTACAGTTTTAAAAATGGCAGAAAAAAAGGAAAGAATTGAATCCTGATGTAAAAAATATTATTGTGTGAATGCGGAATAAGGAATAAACATTACAGCATATTGCTGATACACTCAACATTCGTTGTGGAACAGTTTCCGATGTTATAGTATGATATAAGAAGGAGGGGTAGCACGGAAAACAAACCTTGAAGCGGGGGACCATGAATTCTTGATCTAAGGGATGAAAGGTGTTTAGTGAGACTGGTTCGGACAAACCGTAAAATCCCTTTGGGTGATTTAACCAGCAGATTTAGTCAACAAAGACCCAGACAAGTGTCTCAACGAACAGCTCAGAGGTGTTTATTCGACATGGGTATCACAGACGTGTTGTAAAGAAGAGAGAGGGAGGGAAGTGAACAGGAAAAAGAGACTGAACTGGTGTTGGGGTAAAGTCAGGTGGAATGTTTATGGTCAATGGGATAAAGTCATTTTTTCTGGCAAAAGCCAAGTTGTTTTGGGTGCGAATCAGAGGATTTTCATTTAGCATCGCAAGGATGATGCCGAGTCTCCCAAGTGCGTGTGCCCCCCAGCTCAATGAAAGGTCAGTGTTATGATTTGGGGGTGCATAACCTGGCATCGTGTGGGAACTGTAACAACTGTTGACGGTACTATTAACAGACACAAGTATATTGAAATCTTAGAAAATAATTTATGGCTCGTTATAGCACAGCACTTTCCTAATGGAAATTTCTTGTTTCAAGATGATAATGCCCCTATACAAAGAGCCAGAGATGTTGAAAATTATAAGGCTAGGAAAAATATTAATTCTATAAGCTGGCCAGCACAGTCGCCCGATTTGAATATAATAGAAAATGTGTGGTTGAAACTTAAAAGATGATTGCAATGTCGTGCTGAATACATTCTGAGCGCTGCTGAACTTTCACATGCATTAACACAGGAGTGGAAAGCTTTGACAGTAGGATATATACAGGGCCTCTACAGATCTTTACCAAGGCATAAGAGAAAAGTAATCAGGGTGAAGGGGGAAATGACAAAATACTGAACACAGGTATGTCATTTTATTATATTTATTTTCCATTCAAACAATCCCGTAACACAGTGTAAACAAACGCCGAGACGCCATTTTTGCCGGTGACATGGCATGTGTCTGCAAGTCTGTTCTCAGTTTATGGTCTTGGGACCTGGTCTCTGACAGTAGAGCTAAAAATATGCGAGCAATGACTCCATACTCAATATCACAAAGTCTTTAAAATTAATCTGTTAATATTTAGACAAAATAAGTTTAAGTTATTATCCCCTTGCAACAAAATATCAAGGGTAGAGGATATGGTGGCTAGTCCATTATTTCTTGCCTGTGTGTCAATCTCCCCAAAAACAAATTGTGGAAACAATAGACTACTAGGACTATATAGTTTCACTTTCAAAGGACAAGATAGGCTAAGACCCCTTTTTGGCCCCTGGTTTGGGGTGTCTTTTAGAATGATACAACAGTTTATCAATTAAAAACCTGTTGTCATCTCTGCCACAAAAAGAGTATTGTTTCTAAGTTATGGGATACACTGAGGTCATAGGAAGGTCAGAAAATATGTAAATTTCCGAATTTTCTCACTTTTATGCAAATTTTCATCGATTTTACAGCACATTTTGGTTCAGAAAACATAGAGCACAAGCTTGTCTATCTACCAAATTGATATATTTCATACACTAGTATCAGATGCTTCTTCTGTATAAAAATCTGATAGACAAGCTTGTGCTCTATGTTTCCCAAAGTGAAATGTATCTCAAATTTGACGAAATTCTGCCAAAATTGAGGAAATTTAGGAAAATGTCTCACTTCTGCACTCTCTTGTGGCCTCCATGTAAGCTTTGAATCAAAATTAGTGCTGGTTTTAAAACAAGCATCATTTTAAGTTCTTAACTACAAACTATCACAA